TTGACGACTACTCGCGCTACACCACGGTCTTCCCCTTGCGCGCCAAGGGTGACGTCCCTGGTGCTTTGATCCCCTGGATCAGCCGAGCCCGTCTCCAGCTAGGCGAGCGCTTTCACTCGGACTTTCCTGTCCTGCGCTTGCACTCTGACAGGGGTGGTGAGTTCGCCTCCGACCTCTTGGCAGCCTACTGTGCTGAGCACGGCATTGAGCAGTCGTACACGCTTCCGGCCTCTCCACAGCAGAATGGGGTTGCTGAGCGCCGCATTGGCTTAGTCATGGAGGTCGCTCGTACCTCCCTGACCCATGCGGCTGCTCCCCACTTTCTGTGGCCGTTTGCAGTCCGGTACGCAGCGCACCAGCTCAACCTCTGGCCCCGTGTCTCCTTGCCGGAGACTTCCCCGACTCTACGGTGGACGGGAGAGGTTGGCGATGCGTCGCGTTTCCGGGTCTAGGGATCTCGAGCTTTTGTCCGCGACACGTCCGCGGACAAGCTCTCGCGTCGCGCTGTTCCCTGTGTCTTTCTTGGCTTTGTTCCCGACGCGCCTGGATGGCAGTTTTACCACGTCACCTCGCGCCGGGTTCTGGCCTCTCAGGACGTCACTTTTGACGAGTCCGTCCCCTTCTACCGCCTCTTCCCCTACCGCACTGCCCCGCTCCCCCCCCCCGCCTCTCTTCCTCGCTCCAGGTGCTGAGGTACCAGACCCCCTCCCCCCTCAGGGTGCCGCTCCCTCAGGTGTGTCCCAGGTAGACCCGAGTGAGCCTGTCGAGGTAGCTGTTGACTCGCGTCCTGCGTCTGGGGGTGCTGAGCCTGGTAGTGCTGCGTCTGAGGGTGCTGAGCCTGGGGGTGCTGAGCCTGGGGGTGCTGAGCCTGGAGGTGCGGAGCCTGGGGGTGCTGAGCCTGGAGGTGCGGAGCCAGGGGGTGCTGAGCCTGGAGGTACGGAGCCTGGAGGTACTGAGCCTGGAGGTGCGGAGCCTGGGGGTGCTGAGCCTGGAGGTGCGGAGCCTGGAGGTGCGGAGCCTGGTGGTGCTGAGTTTGGACGTGCTGAGTCTGGGGGTGCTGAGTCTGGGGGTACTCCATCTGGAGGAGCCCTCTCCTCCCAGCAGCTGCAGGAGAGGTACCTCGAGTACTGCCGCCTCCGGAGAGGTGCTTCTGGAGCTCGTCCCGGTACTTCCCCTCCTACCCAGGAGCTCCCCCCCATTCAGGTGATCCGCGAGTGGTACACGCGGCGCTGCAGTCTTCGTAGTGGTACTCCTGGTGCTGCGGACCCGAGCGGTGGTGCTGTTGCTGGTGCTGAGGACCCGGATACTGGAGCTGCGGCTGGTGCTGAGGACCCGGGCGTTGGAGCTGCTGCTGGTGCTGAGGACCCGACTGGTGGCGCGGCTGCTGGTGCTGAGGACCTGACCAGTGCCCCTGCTGCTGGTGCTGAGGACCCGGGCGTTGGAGCTGCTGCTCGTGCTGAGGACCCGACCGGTGGTGCTGCTGCTGGTGCTGAGGACTCGGGCGTTGGAGCTGCTGCTGGTGCTGGGGACTCGGACGTTGGGGCTGCCACTGGTGTCTCTGCTGCTTCTGGAGACGCTGCGCGGCCGCGACCGTACTTCGTACCGCTCCTTCAGCAGGTTCTTGATCAGGCTCCTCCTCCTTGTCCTCCTTCCTCCGTCGAGTGTCCTCTGCCTGTCCAGCCGCAGTCACAGTTACCGCCTGTCTCGCCTCTCCCTGCTCCCTCCCCTTACGCTGGTCCCACAGGAGGTCTTACAGAGCGTCGTGAGCCTGAGTCTCGTCCTGCGTCGCCTGTTCGTACTGCTCGCACTGGTCGTCGTGTCCCACGTGAGCGTCCTCCTCCTGTCCCTGGCACTCACTACATGACTCTGCGTCCCTCCACTGCTCCGCAGCGTGTCCCGCTGCCGTCTCCTCCTGCGTCCTCTCTTCCTACTCTTCCTGACCCGGAGTCTGACTCCCGTCGTGCTGCCAGTCCCACTGTTACGCGTCTCCTCGCTACAGTTGTCACTGACCCGACCTTTGAGTCCTCTGCTGCGTCTGCTCTGGTCGCTGAGTTGGTTGACTTTGCTGCTCGCTGTCGCCTAGACTACGCTGCCAGCCTTGTCGCTAGGTCTGAGTCTGCGTCTGCCTGTCCTCCGTCCGTCGGGGGTGAGTGTGCCCTCGGCACGGACGTCCTTGAGGACAGACAGGAGGAGTTCCACTGCCTTGCTGCTGCTTTGCCCCGTCTCGTGTCCTTGCTAGTTGCCCCTGAGGGAGACCCGGATGCACCAGACATCCCGACCCCACGCTCTTACGCTGAGGCGATGGCGGGTCCCTACTCCTCTCAGTGGCAGACAGCCATGGACGCAGAGATGGCCTCCTGGAAGTCCACAGGCACCTACGTAGACGAGGTTCCCCCTCCTGGGGCGAACATCGTCAGTGGCATGTGGATTTTCAGGGTGAAGCGGCCGCCGGGTTCTCCACCTGTCTTCAAGACGCGCTACGTGGCTCGAGGCTTCAGTCAGCGAGAGGGAGTAGACTTCTTTCAGACCTTCTCCCCCACCCCGAAGATGACTACTCTTCGGGTGCTGCTGCACATAGCCGCTCACCGCGACTACGAGCTTCACTCTCTTGACTTCAACACTGCTTTCTTGCAGGGCAGCCTGCACGAGGAGATCTGGCTGCGCCGCCCCCCTGGCTTCACTGGGTCATTTCCTCCTGGCACCCAGTGGAGGCTTCAGCGGCCGGTCTACGGTCTCCGCCAGGCGCCACGTGAGTGGCACGACACACTGAGGACGCCACTTGCGGCTCTTGGGTTCGCTCCCTTTACTGCTGACCCGTCGCTGTTTCTACGCACCGACACCTCGCTGCCGCCGTTCTACATCCTCGTGTACGTCGACGACTTGGTCTTTGCCACTGCTGACACCGCGGCACTCGCTCACGTGAAGTCGGAGCTGCAGAGGAGACACACTTGCACAGACCTGGGTGAGCTGACGAGCTATCTTGGCTTGCGGATCACCCGGGACAGAGCGCGGCGCACCATCACCCTGACTCAGTCACACATGGTGCAGCAGGTTCTCCAGCGCTTCCGCTTCACGTACTCCTCGCCTCAGTCCACTCCTCTGCCTACCGGTCACTCGCTCTCAGCTCTGCCTTCGGATGAGTCCGTAGAGCCGAGTGGCCCGTATCCAGAGCTTGTGGGCTGCCTCATGTACCTGATGACCTGCACTCGACCTGACCTTGCATACCCTCTTAGCATCCTAGCACGCTATGTCGCTCCTGGCCGTCACCGGAAGGAGCACATGGATGCTGCTAAGAGGGTGTTGCGCTACTTGTGCAGTACGTCGGGCATGGGGCTTGTGCTTGGAGGGCGAGACCGGGTTGTTCTCACAGGGTACTCAGACGCTTCTTGGGCAGACGACCAGGCTACTCAGCGGTCGTCCCAGGGTTACACCTTCAGCCTTGGCTCTGGCTCAGTTTCTTGGCGTTCTACTCGCTCTTCTTCTGTTCTCAGCTCCAGTTGTGAGGCTGAGATCTACGCCACAGCCATGGCTGCTCAGGAGCTACGCTGGCTGACCTACCTGCTGACCGACCTCGGAGAGCGGCCTCGTTCTCCTCCAGTGCTGTACGTTGACAACAAGGCTGCCATTGCCTTGTGTGAGGAGCACAGACTGGAGCACAGAACGAAGCACATCGCTCTGCGGTACTTCCTTGCTCGAGAGCTGCAGCAGCGTGGTCAGCTTTGTCTGCGTTACGTGGCCACGGAGGCCAACACTGCTGATGTGTTCACCAAGGCGCTTCAGCCTTGTGACCATCAGCGCTTTTGCACTCTACTAGGCCTTGTACCTACTGGGCCTCACTTGCTTACCTCTTGACCTTGCTTGTACTGTGATCACTATATATATATGCCTACTTGTTTACTTTTGCTAGGTTGTGATCACTGTATCTCTTGCTTTGTTATAAACCTGCATGTGAACTGGTCTTGAGACCACTTGCTTGTGCTCGGAATTTGTGTGGAATCCTTGAGATCCACTCTGAGCTTGCTTTACTTTGCTTTGACTGGTCTTGTGACCCTGTGGTTGTCTCCCACTGCGCCTATGGGGGTGTGTCAAACATTGCATGTTTATATTGTCTAGGCTGTAGTGGGTTACACCTTAGGGGGTACACAAAGTTAGGGTTTACTACTTGTACCAAACTCTGTTCTAGTTTATTCATTCCTGCTCAGTTATTTCTGACACTTAACACATCACGCGCGCCTTCCTCACCTGTGGCATCAGCAACGCGCTCGACGGCAACGAGGATAACCTCGCCATGGCGCATAGGCGGACCTAGCTGACAGCGGAGGTGGATGTCGACGTTGACATCATCGCTGATGGTTTTTTTGGCAACAACTGCCGGGAGCCCGAATCTGACGAGGAGGAGTAGGAGGGGTACTGGCTATTGCATGTTAGGTAGAAGTACCCCGGCTGAACTAGCTGTTAGAGGTTAGCAACATGATGTTGTAGTTGCTAAGAAAAATAGGCAGTTTCGTGAAATCGTTTGTAATGCCTCCCATGTACGGTTAACGGATGCGCTTATATTAAGGATAGAAATTTCAGGGGGTGCGCTTTAATCGAGTTCCGGCCATAGGCGCCATGCTCCAGATAGAGGCGCCGGCGCCGTTATTCGGACGGCGCCTATATCCGGGGCCATACGGTATTGCCCAACGGGTGAGATGGCAGCCGACTTCCTCACAAAGGAACTGCCCCGTCGACAGTACCAGCGCTGCTCCGAACTCAGCGGAGTAGTCAAGCGACTCAAGACTTGCTATGGCGAGGAATGAAGAGAGGTGTTACGAATAGTGAAATGAGAAGTGTTACTGTGCAAGAACGAGGAACACATAAGAGAGTACAAAGGCGAAGGGTCGAGGCGACACGCACGGTTACACAATGAAAAACTTGCCACAATAGAACACATTCACTTCCCTGAGATGTGAAAGACTGGAAACGAGTGCGAACGAGATGATTCCTAGCTCCACTAGTGTTTACGTTGTCTGGCGTTTTGCACACTGCATCAGTGTAATCTCATTGCAGAAGTGTATATTAGTTGATGGAGAGAGGATAGACAGCTAACATAAATAACCTCTACTCTACACGCCCTTTAGGAGATCCTAAAAAAAACTCGCATGTATAATTCTCCATCCAATAGTCATTGCTTGTTGATGGTAACTCGGAAGGACTTCACAATCTGCGGTTATGAGCGCGGCGTGGAATCATTGAAGAGGCAGCGGCAAGTATAACGAGTGACACCCTGATGACCATAGACGGGTAACAATGAACTCCCCTGAGAGTGGAAAAGGCCCGGCTTACCTTGTCCACTGTTGGCTTGAATGTAGCAGCCTCATCCTCAGGATACTGCAAGCAAAATGTAAGTAAGAAAGAAGCATAGCGACATCGATGATAGAAAGATGCTGGCGTCTCCGGCATGAACGATGCTCACTGCACGAATTCAACGACTTCCAAAATCGGGCGCGAAAGGTGAAAATGTTGGTGTACCACTCATCCTGCTCTGGAAGGCAAAGGTCAGGTTTCCATCCAGCTCTGTGATTGGGGTACTCATGGACAAAACCAGCACAGAAAGATGGTTCTTTCCTGTCCGGTGAAGGTGAAGAGGTTGTTGGACCACACTTTCTGCCCCGTGGAGGCATAGAGCAGGCAGGCATCGAAGAGGCAGGCAGGCTCGGAACAAGCAGCAGGCACAGACAGTTCTGACCTGTCCAGTGAGGGTGAAGAGGTTGTTGTACCACACGTTCTGCCCCGTGGCCACAGCAGATAAGAGGTGGATGCAGGGCTCGCTGGGCTTCTGCAGCGTGTACTCCACCAAGTAATTGTCTGCGCGGGGGTGGGAGGCGTGGGAATAAAAGCAGGCATTCTGAGGAGCCTTGAAAGCTTTGCAGAGTGCACTCCACCAGGTTTGTGTCTGCAGGGAGGGGGGGAGCGTGGGAATGGAGGCAGCATCAGAACAGAAATGACCTTCTGAGGTGCCGCAAAAGGCCGCAAAAGGCTTCTGCAGTGCAGCGTGTACCCCATCAGGTATGTGTCCACGGGGAGGGTTGAGGTGAGGGGATGGCAGCAGCAGAGCGGAGGAGAATGGGATCTGGATAAGTCCATTCAGGCCCTGCCATGCTCAGCAAGCCAGGGCGGAGTCCAGCAGGAATCCAACGGTAACCACTTGCTGCTGAAACAACGGGCTAAGGCGGTGTTTCAGGAGATTAAGTCGTTTCGTCTGTTTGCTCATTTGCTTGGCGACCGCACGGACACCAAGAAGAAAGAATGGATTCTAAAAGCAAGATTAACGTAATCGTGGCACAATTGATCGCGCAGTCTATGCTCCCACTGGGATGCCACTCACCGTTGGCGGACTTGGCTCCCAGTAGCACTGCCTTCTGCCCGGGACTGGGCTGCCAGCTGCGGTCCAGCGTGTTCACCTGCTCGCCCCAGCAGCAGCAGCAGCAGCAGCAAGATGCAGGAGGAAGTGAAGGCACAGGGACGTGAAGTAACTGAGCTGACACATGTATGCCCATGTAACGTGATGCGTGACGATGCATTGTAATGCATGCTGATGCGCGGTGATGGAAATTGATGAGTGACGACTGCAGTGCATTGAGTCATGTGCATCCCACGAACTGCATGAAGCAGAGTCTGAAAGCATACATATGCCAAGCATTATCCCTTTCAGTCAGCTGCATGCCACATCACATGCTACCCCCCAATGCCCAGCAATTTCACTACATTTGCGACAACAACCAGGTGACTTTTGAGTCGACTCAAAAGTCACCAGCATACATATGGCAAGCATTATCCCTTTCAGTCAGCTGCATGCCACATCACATGCTACCCCCCAATGCCCAGCAATTTCACTACATTTGCGACAACAACCAGGTGACTTTTGAGTCGACTCAAAAGTCACCAGCATACATATGCCAAGCATTATCCCTTTCAGTCAGCTGCATGCCACATCACATGCTACCCCCCAATGCCCAGAAATTCCACTCCATTGCGACAATAACCACCGATGACTCCACAACAACCAAGGCGGGCGGCTTGCCCAGTGCAGCAACGCAGCAGTGCTGCAGCAGCTTACCAGCACAGCAGCAGCAGCTTACCAGCACAGCAGCAGCAGCTTACCAGCACAGCAGCAATGAGAAAGCAAGGCAGAGACCCACCAGCGTCTCAGCAAAGGCTTCCACAGTGCCAAACGACCCCAGCGACGTGAAATCGGCTGCCAGCGGCGTGATGAGGATGGTCACTGCGACACGCGTGCATGGGATGGGGACGAGCAGGACGGCAGGGGACGTGCCGGATGGCAGGGGAGGGGAGATGCAGGAAGGCAGAGAACATGTAGAGGAAGAGAATGGAGCTAGGATTGGCTTGGAGGAGGAGGGTCAGATGTGAAACCACAATGTATGATGTGGCAATCCACCAGTCAAGCCACACATTAACATGTACCTGCGTATGCGCCTTCCGGCCGGCCCATGGGGAAAAGGGTTCATCACGCAAACAGGATCAAATCCAGTGCCCTTTTTGGGATTTTACCTCTTCCAGAACAGGCAGGAAAGGCTCATGAGCTTGGGGCTGCAGAACGTTGCATTGAGCGGTTCCCCACTCTCCTTCCCTCACACTCTCCCTTCCCAGTGAACCCTCCCCATCCCACCCCTTTAACCCTCCTTTTCCCCTGAACCCTCCCTCCCGCGTAAACCCACCCTTCCCCGTGAACCCACCGTTAGTGTCCGTGCGGTCGGGCGGGTGGAAGGCGATCACCTTGCGCACTCCCGCCGTGCCCTCGCTCTGCACCCATCCTTGCCTTTTGACGCGCCTCACAAGTGAACTCTCCCGTCCCAGCGGTAAACCCTCCCTTCCCAGTGGACCCACCAACTCACCGTTGGCATCCGTGCGGTCGGGCGGGTGGAAGGCGACGACCTTGCGCACTCCCGCCGTGCCCTCGCTCTGCACCCAGCCTGTGCGCGCGGCCACGGCCGCCACACGTCACACGGGAGAGGACCGGGAAAAGAAGGTTGGAAAGAGAGTGGGCGCGTGCGCGCGCGCGCGAGTGCGAGGGAGGGAGACAGAGTGCGATGAGGGGGAGGGGTGGGGCTGTCCATAGAGCACGAAGCGGATTCTTACGGTAGTGAACACGAATGGGCTCAGGTGATACTGGGAAACGACGGCCTTACCTGCAGGAACCTGGAAGGTATATTTCTCCTTGGGATTGTCGAACGTCACAAATTCCGAAGCCTCTGCGATGGGAGCATGAATAATGCCAGGAAGGAGGAATCCAGACGAAGGGTTGCAGCAGATGGGAGCGAGTCGGTTTGGACACTGACGCTGATATGATGAATATTTCACTTTTTTCGGAGCTATCTTCTACAGCGCAACAGTTATGCGAGTTCCACTAATGCTGGTATCGTTCAATGTGAGCACATTTCCCACAGCTGATGCGTTTCCCGGATGCGGTTCTTAAACGGACCTTGATCTGCGCTTGCTGCTTCCGCGAGAGTCAGCGTCAGCGGAGCAGCCAGTGATCCAGCCAACAGATCCCTTCGGTTCAGGACGCCTGGTCTGTGGGTGAAAACGGTTCAGGCAAGCCACGGAACAGCGACAATGTGAGGTTTAGTCGCCATGGATCTGACACAGTGCTGGAAGCCTATGTCCCAATTGCTGAAACAGATGGTTTTATTTTTACCGAGCATCGACATTCGGCGACTTCGATTCGGCTCTAAGACGCACTGGTCCGACGCATCGCGCCGACGGCGACACCGGCTTGGCTATTCTGGGGGCGACGCGAGCGTGAAGCGCGGAGAGTGCGGACGACGAGGCGAGCTGAGAGAGCGAGGAGGCCATGGATCGCCGTTTACTGTTCGTGCTGTATGATTAGCCGCTTGGGAATTTTGGACAAGACGGCTGTTTTGTTCAGCGAGGCTGCTTTGTCTGAAAAGAGGAGTGGTGCCTGTGACTGTCAGTTTCGGAGCTGAAGAATTCAGTGTTCACTACGCGTCACCACCAGCCTCTCGTTTGCATATCAATTGTGCAATATCAAACCGCCACCGCATTGAAATCCCGATTATTGCATCCAAAAATTTCGGTGACGCGTCCTCAAAGGCTGGGCTCCACGACCGCGATCAGTCCGATTGGCTGAATGTTCCCAAACATACTCGATTGTGGTACATGCACCATTCTTGGTACGTGCATCAGCATGGATTAGTTGGAATAGTGTGGGCTTTTTTACTGGAACGCTAGTGTATTCGATTATGCTGATAAGTTCGGTACTGTAACGAGCGAGCTTATTCGGAGTTTCCAAATCAGTAGTTCGTGTAACGTTCACTCCGATTGGTTGTGGCAGTTCATACAGGTGGTGTCAATCGCAGTTGTGACGTTTGGCTTTGATGAGGGGCAAGTGTGTCCGGTTGTTTCTTCCACAGCTTCCGTCGAAACTGCCCGTCAAGCGCAACGTTAGATTTTGAAGGCAAAACCAACGGATTTCGCTGGTGAACCCGCATATATAGTTATTGGAAACATTGTTCAGTGTTTATATTATTCGTCATTTCTCAGGTCTGCTTCTTTCGTTGCACGCAGAGAGGGCGGAACAGTCGGGCTCAGCTCCGAAAATGCTAGCTGTCTGCCAGAACATAGGCAAGGGGCGCTAGCCAACCGAATTCGTCCAGGTGTGGCAGATGGGGGGTGAAATGGCGGAGCGCGGAAAGACCCGCAGCAGCTATCCCCGCCGAGCCCGACAACCTGCGCCTTTTGGACAGGCAGACAGTGGGATCCCCTGCTCCACCACATTCAGCACCTGCGCGAGCGCCCCTAAAAAATATCAGCGGAACTCCCGAGGCGGGCGGATTCAGAGGTTCGGTCCGGTTGGGTGATTGACGCGATTTGGGGCGCCATGATGTCTGTTGGAGCGCACGTGAAGCATGACAACCGCAGCGTTTTCAACCTGCTATGCACTCGGGAATTTCTGCTCTGAAAGTTGAACGTCACGGGCAGGAAAGAGCATGGCAAGGCTTTGTTTCTTGGGCGCCAAGGCGAAACGAAAGGGCCGAATTGGCACGGCGCACCGACCGGCGAACACCCCGAAGGAGCAGAAACGGCCCAAGAAGCATCATCCCGCTCAAGTGTAGCATCATTCACACGAGTCTGCCCGTGATGGGTTCAACGAATCCTGCGTTGGCGTTGACCGCGCGAAACCGACGCTTGTGGTGCGGGGTCCTTCCTTCCGCTGCCCGAGCCTCACTCGTGCTCCAGCCTGAGTCCAGAGGAAAACAGTGCGCCTCGCCTCGCGTCGCATGGAAAATGGTGAAAGGTGTCGCGTGCACGGGCTCGACGAACCGACGAAGGAATTTGCGATTGAACGAACAATTACGTACACCTGTTCTCCGGTATTTCCACACCCCCTACCCTCGTTTTTGCCAGACACCCTATACGGCTTGAGGATCGATGAGACGGACACCCTGACACTACGGGTCTATCAGTAAAGAGCCGTCAGGTTCTGGCCATTCGAAACTCTAATTTGTAATCAGGGTGAGCGGGGAAAATTCCCAGTGCCATAATGTTAGAGTGTTAACTCGCATTGAGGTCGTGTCTTAATACCTTCGAAACTCCCGCGTTCGTTTCTAACTACCTTTGAAATCAAATTTTTACGAGGGTAGGTACCCCAGGGCGTGAAGATAGGGGGTATGGAAATACCGGAGAACAGGTGTACACCCGTGCCTCGCGCATCCATGTGGCTTCTGTTGCTCCCTCCCTTCTCCCCCTCGCCCAGAATTCCTCCCAGTTCCTCCCATCCCACCACCCATCTGACTGGATTCCAGCTCTTCGCCGCTCAAGTATGTAACGAGCTCCTCTACTCGCCTGTGTTGCGTCCACAGCTTCCATTCATCCTGTGAATGTTCCACCAAGAAGGCTGGAAAACCTTCCAACGAATAGCACAAACGATATACCCTGTGACTGTCCGACCTTCTTGAGAATCCCGCACGCACGCAGCAAAACCAGAATCGAACATCTTACCACTGTTGTTTTCGCTCGACGAGACTAAAAGACCTCGTCTACTTCTCTCAGTTTCAGTCCGCTCGGAGCGCGGATCACCAAGGGGACCGTAGCAGCCATGGCGACTTCCGAAGCAAGCAGGCCGCAAAGCGTTGCACTCAAGAGAATCGCCACGGACTCAAGCGCGCAAGCGAGACCACAGATCCTCAAAAAGACCAAACGAGCACGGAGAGACGACCGCCGAAGCGCAGCTGCCTTCGCAGCGACCCTCGCAAGCCCTCCTTACCCGACGAATCTCTCTTTCCCTCCGCAGCTCTCGGCTGCCCTCCCTCCCTTCCAGCCCTCTCTTCCTCCTCCGCTTTGGACGGCCGCTCATCCGCCTGGCTATTCATGGGCCTCGATGTCCCCCATTCACCAGAATCACATGCTCTTCAATCACTACCTGCCGGGGTTCCAACTTCCGGCGTTTCAGAACGGCTCCTGGGCGGTTCCGTCAGCGCTTCCTACGCTCTCGCCCCTGCCGCTGCGCCAAGAGGGCGCCGACTCAGCAGCAACCGATGCTAACGCGGAAATGCCACGTGTCGATTCTTCGACGCACATTAACAGCCTCGTAGCGCAGTACTCGTTCGCGCAAGCCGGTGCAGCCGCAGCCGCCGCCGCCGCCGCCGCTAGCGCTAATAGCCCGGTTTCCACCTTCCAGCTCGTCTCGCCGCGTACGGGCTGGCCGCACTTTGCGGCGTGTTCCCCGTTCATGGGCCCCATGGGACCTGTATCATACGCGCCTGGTTTCGGCGCGATTCGATCTCCAAAGCCGGCTGACGGAAGCGCCTCTGCCGGCGGAAGCCCTTCGCCGTCGAGTCACCTGCCGTCGTTGCTCGAGTCGCCTTTGCAGAGCGAGGCTCTGCCAGCCGAATCCGACGGCGAAAGCTTCTGCAAGGTCGAGTTGCCGACGGAGCAAGTCGGCGCAGAGGCAGAGACCAAAGCTGACGAATCGCGAAGGCTTCTTTTCCCCTCGGAGCAAGCAGCAGCGGACGGCGCGGCGGAAGGGGCGGAGAACGCGGAGCAGGATTTGCGCGTGACGAAGGGGACTCGGCGCGCCATGCAGCTGTGGCTGGAGGGCGGAGCGGAGGGGGACGTGCAGGGCATGGGTCCGTTTGATTGGCTGGAAGAACCCTCAGGCGCGGAAGACGCGACAGGGCTTCCGCACTGGGTGCTGGCCGAGCTGGGGGAAGGGGGCGTGGGGAAGAAATCGGGGGAGGCCGTGGAGGAGGAGGTTTACCGTGTGCTGTTCCGTGCTGACTCTATGGAGAGTGCCACAGGCGAGCACGTCAACAGCACTGGAACTACTTTAAAAAACGAGCAGCACGTTACGGCTCCTCTGTGTGAGACCCCTGTACAGGCTCACGAACCTAAAAAGGAGCAGTATGAGGATGAATCTATCCCCACGGGTACCAACAAGGCTCTAACTGATACGCCTGCAGGAGAGGAGCAGGGATCAAATCCTGTCTCTGACGCGGGCAGCGCAAATATAGGGATTACAAGCATTGGAGATTCGGTGTCGGCTGGGCTTGTTGACACGCCAAGTGTGCAGGTTCTAGAGGACAGCAGCACCGATGATATTTGGCACGATGTGAGCGTGTTGTCTGATTTTTTGGCTGCTCCCAGCAGCCCCATTGTGGATAGTGACCTCTGCCTGGAGCTTCAGGATGTTCCGGACTGGCAGTTTTGAGGAAGTAGGCACTTCCTTGGAGTTTGTTTGTGCTATACTTCGCACTCATTACTGAGTGCTTGCTGTATGCTTGTTGTGGAATCATGTGTGCCTGCCATTACGAGGTGTAAATACAAATCTGTCCGAAGCTTCCTTCTATGGTCTGCCATTAGCCAGAAGAAGTCTCTGCCAAAGTGCGAATAAGAGTGAGATCTACCTGTGAAAGAAAAAGAGGGGCTCTAGGTACATGTCTAGAAATGCTTGAAGGAAGATGAGGAGCTGATTGTAATGTAAGAACATAAAAAGGTGTCGGTGCTGGGTTTCGAGCCCAGGTTTCCACGGCCACAACGTGGGATTCTAACCACTTTTCTTTACAATATCATATTTGTACAGAGAATACAAATGGTGTCGAGCATAAGAAGCTAACCAGCGTTGCCTGCTATCCTAGGACAGAGACCCCGATGAGGTCTCAAGAACCAACACCGAGGTACGCAAAATCAGCCAGGGAAGGTGGAGTGGGATTCTAACCACTAAACTACACCGACTTACTTTTGTTGTTCTAAATTTAATTAGGATGTTTGTTTTGTATCACAAAGTTTGAATCTTCAAACTTTGTCGTTGTGGTGACGCTTCTTGCCTGTTCCCTCCGCCCGATCTGGTCAATCATGAGGCAATGTTGGTGCTGCTGGTCAACTGGCAACACAAGTTTTTCTTGTCTGCCAGTAGCAACTGCACTGCATCATAGTAGTTGCTCTGCTAGCAGGTCTTCCTTCGGGTAATTAACAGCCATGGGTATCACTGGCCTGCTTCCGTTGCTCAAGTCGGTTACGAGACGCACGCATATACGAGAATATGCTGGACGCAGGGTAGCCATTGACACGTATTCCTGGCTTCATCGCGCTTCGTATTCTTGCAGTCAGGAGCTTTGTCAAGGCACGCCGTGTACGAGGTAGGCAATGCCAGACTGATTCAGTGGAGATCGCGATCGTCTGACAGGTATTCTCCTGCAGGTCCGCAACGCATTCACAATGATCTCGTTGCAAGACGGTTTTACCTTGATACTAAATGTTAAGAACCCCGAGGGTATTCGAAGGAGATTTCGTATACCATAAAATGTCGAAGTCGCAGGTCTCGTGTGATAGGCCAGCATTGTCTCAAATCGTCCTTTTATAGACAACGATCGCATTCTTACCACCACCTTGCTTGGTGAGATACACGTTGCACTTTATCAGCAGGGATCAGGGAGTGACAAGCATAGGCATTTAGTTCAGGCGAGCAGGGTAGCTTCTAGAATTGAGTTAACAGGGTTTGAGCTTTCAGGACACGAAGTGGGTTTCGTAGTATGTAAGTCCAATGACAGCGAAGCCGCTGCTGGAGGGTCCAGTCACACTAAAAGCAATTCAGCCGCCCTCTCTGGCCATTTATTTTCCCTCGATTTCGTCCTTATTCTAGACGCTTTCAGTACAAAATGTGTTCTTTTATCGTAGTCGTATCGCTCCCTCGTCTCTCCCCGCGCTGTATTTCCGCCAGGCACATTCAATACTGCATGAACAGGGTCAATCTCTTAAGAGACAATGGCGTCATTCCCGTGCTCGTCTTCGACGGCGGAAAGCTTCCCTCGAAATCCCAGCAAGAATCTAAACGAGACAAGTATGTTATTTTCCCCTATGACTGGAGTTACGTCCATGGAAGCGAATATTGCTAAAATAAAATCAGCGGTTCTGTATGTTTCAGCATTTGTAAGGGTTTCAACTCTCGCGTACACCTTCGAAAATGATACATCCAAGACGTTCTTTCATTTTTCTGCAATCTCCTCAGTATACAAACCACAACCCCCGGTCCCTGCGGATTTCCTTTTTATCACAAAATTTATGCTGTTCTGTTTATCGTCTGTATCCTGCAGATCAAGGAGGGAGAACCTTGAACGAGCGGAGCAGCTACTGCTGAAGGGCAAACGTAGTGAAGCAAGAGAGTGCTTTCAGAAGGCTGTTGACATCACACCTGCCATTGCGCACCAGCTTATCAAGGTCTGGCCATCACCAGATAGTTATGGTTGGCATATCAGTTATCTCTTCCGCTTTCCTGATTCTTTCACCATAGCCATTGCACATTATAATGTTGATACAATTCAGTCACATTGTTTGCAAATTGTCACCTTTTTTCATTACCCCATATTTCCAGGTGCTGAGGCAGGAGCATGTGGAGTACGTGGTGGCACCCTACGAAGCCGATGCCCAGATGGCGTTTCTCTGCACCAGCGGCCTCGTGCACGCAGTCATCACAGAGGACTCCGACCTCATCGCCTACTCCTGCCCACGCGTCCTCTTCAAAATGGACAACATGGGGCATGGCGACGAGATCGTGTACGCCAACATAGGCCAATCCCAAGAGCTCGCTCTGGCGGATTTCACCCCGCAGATGGTCCTTGAAATGTGCATCCTCAGCGGCTGTGACTACCTCGACAGCCTGCCGAAAGTCGGCCTCAAAACAGCCCACGACTGGATCCGAAGGCACCGGGATTATCGGTCTGCGCTGGCTGCAGTGAAGCTGAATGGGAGGGTGGTGCCGGAGGAATACGGGGCGGCGTTTGAGCAGGCGCTGCTGACGTTCCTGCACCACCGCGTGTACCATGTGGCCAATGAGCACATGACTCATGTCAACCCGCTGCCAGCGACGCTTGGACCAGACACGGATCTGTCGTTTCTTGGACCATATCCTCCTCAGCATTCTTGCTCCCTGTCCTCGCTTGCCCCCTTTCTTGGGCCATGTCCTCACTTGCTCCCTTTTTTGCCCCTACACATGCTCAAGAGCACATGTTCTTCCGTTTTGTTCCTTTTTTCCTTTCCAGCTTGCCAAACCAAGATGCTCGTTTTCATGTGATAGATTCTCCTTGACTGTCTGCTTTCACTCTCTCCCGTGCTCCCTATTTCTTCCCCTCTTCTCCCTATTTCTTCCCCTCTTCTCCCTATTTCTTCCCCTCTTCTCCCTATTTCTTCCCCTCTTCTCCCTATTTCTTCCCCTCTTCTCCCTATTTCTTCCCCTCTTCTCCCTATTTCTTCCCCTCTTCTCCCTATTTCTTCCCCTCTTCTCCCTATTTCTTCCCCTCTTCTCCCTATTTCTTCCCCTCTTCTCCCTATTTCTTCCCCTCTTCTCCCTATTTCTTCCCCTTCTCGTCCCTCCCTTTGTCCCACACCTTCCATTCACTTGCTTTCTTCCCACTTTAACAACCTCCACTGAGCTCGCTCCAAGTCTTGTCCGTGCAATTGCGCTCGGCTATGTGGATCCCATCACATTCGAGCCTTTTGATGCGGAACCCATACCCCAGCCACTGCCACCAGCTCGATCACCCCGACTGAGGCAACGCACCCAGGCAGGCGCAGCAGCTTTTGCAGCAGCGGCAGGAGCGGCAGCTGTAGCAGCAGCGGCAGCAGCAGGGGGGGGGGGACAAGGCGCAGTTACCAACAACAGGCCTGGCAGTGGTGGGCCAGGGAGATCGCCATTGCAGCTGCCAGTGCAGAAGAACAAGCTGTCTAAATACTTTCGTGAGTGCTTTGGTTTGTGAGTACTTTGGTCTTATGAGTGCCTTGGTCTGGTGAGCGCCTTGGTGCATGCGCGCAGCCCCCTTTATGCACAATACACCGTTTCCTTTCCCCACCTCACTCTTCTCTTCCGCTTTCCTCACCATCCACATCTCAACAATCCTTTTTCTCCAGTCCCTGCCCTGTAGCTTGTGCTGCCAAGAAGTAGTTCCAGCCACCATGTGGCTCGCCCGTAACGTTTTTTTTTTTTTTTTTTTCAAGCACTGTTTCTTCACTGACGTCTCTTTCCTTCCCCTCCCCTCATCCTGGCTCAACAACGCTTCTCCTCCAGTCCCCACAGCTCCGGCTGCCAAGAAACAGTTCCAGCCACCACGAAGCTCGCCTGTAACGCCCCTGGTCCAGTCAGCCTTCGATCCGTCCCGTCCCGAAGCTGCTGCCAAGCCTGGCCCCGCTGGCTCGGCAAATCAGCCACGTGGCAACAGCAGCGGACGGGGCGGGCGGCCTGTGAGGACGTCAGCAGTGGGGGTGGGGTCTGCAGGGCCCACAGAGGGTGACTGCTTGGCGGGAGCTGAAAACGGCAGTGGAGAGCCGATGCTGGGGGAAGACTTGGTGCAGTTTATGGCAGGGACGGTTCTTGAGGAGGAGAGACAGCAGAAGCAGCCGCAGCAGCAGCAGCAGCAGCAGCAGCTGGTTGCATGTGGGCCAAGAGCAGCTGTTGCCCGTGTGTTCCAACGATTCACTCCGCCCCGCTCCATTGCCGAAGCTGGGACCACTCCCGAGCCACCATTGCAGCGGTACAGGCGAGCAGCAACACGTGCAACAGCTGAATGGCAGGAGAACACGCCGACTGATTGGGACCAGTTTGTGTTCCGGGGTAATGAAAGGGCCCATTCCGAAGGGGAGGAGGAGCGAGCAGAGCAGCGATCGGAGGGTGTGTTGGGAAGGAACCGGGATTTGGACGAAGAGCGGGAACTGGGTGCTGCTGATCTGGATGCGGATTTGGATGAGCTGCTGCTGCCTCCTGCGTTTGACCTCGTGAGTGACGTGCCGGGCAGTCACGAAGTAAGGCAAGTAGGACGGAGGCCAGGAGGGTGGAGGGCAGGCGGATGGATGGGCATGCGAGGGGCAGCGGGCGCAGCACGGGGAGGAAGAGGCGGAGGAATGGGTATTGGAGGAAGGGGGATGGTAGGAGTCGGAGCGGGTGGGGGGATGGTAGGAGTCGGAGCGGGTGGGGCCGGCAGCAGCAGGCAGCAGGGAGAGGCTGTTTTTGGCACCCCAAGGCGGATGCTGGGGAGTGGGCGAGGGGTGCAAGGGCGAGGAGTTCGGGGGAGAATGGCGGCGGCGCATGTGGTGGTGCGGCAGGAGATGTCCTGCTCCACATGCGTGGTGAGTCCCTCCTTCCTTCTGTTCCTTTCTCCCCTTTTAAGACGTCTCGAAATCCGCATGTGATGGATGGTGTGGCAGCTGATGTCCTGCTCCATATCCGTGGTGAGTCCCTCCTTCCTTCCCTTCTCTCCTCTTTCTCCGGCCGTTTTCTTGACGATTAGTCACCCGTCATCGCCCCCAGGTCACCCGTATAGTAGCTTGTATTGTTAGTCTAGTCAACTCGAATGGCTGAAAGTTGAGAACCGTCGTCCTTAAATCATCGCCCGGTCAGCCTCGCTCCTTGAAGTGTATCCTCGCTCCTAGAAGTGTATCCTTGCTCCTAAAAGTGTATCCCTTCCTTCACATATTGTTCTGGTTTGGTCACTTGGCTGGAAGGCGAAGCTTCCACCCAGTAGAAGAGTCGGTCCAGCTTCCACCCAGTAGAAGAGTCGGTCCAGCTTCCTTTCAGCAGAGCACAGACGCGCAGACGCGAGGCACTGGCCTCTTTCCCTCCCTTTTTCCCTTGCAGACTTCCGTCAAGCCCTTCAGGTCACTAGGGTAAGTCCCAGCCCGTTTCAGTCCCAGATTCTCAGCCGCTCAGGCTGTCAGTATCAGTTTCAAAGCAGCTACAGGGCTTCCTGTGCGCCACAGCTTGGGTCCTTGACTCGCGTTGGGTGTTGGGTTTTCACTAGCACTTTTCCACGAGCCTTGTGCTATATTCCACCGTCCCTCTTACCAAGATGCGTTCTGTGTGCTGTGCTGTGCTGTGTGTCTTGTCGTGCTCATGAATTCGCTGCAATCCCGCCTGCTTTTTCCATGGAAACGCCGTGGTGTGATGGTGGATCTGCTCTGCTCGACTCTCCTCCACGGCGGATCATTCGTTGGCTGGCTGTCACTATCTTTGGACGCGCTTTGGCCGTGCGATGGGTGACCACAGGGCTCCGAGTTTCTGCTAACTCCACCCACCAAGCGCCCCTGCTTTGACGATGGTATGTATGTATTGCTTCACATTCATTGTTATGTGACTGTTTCTGTGGCATCTATCTTATGAATCCACTGTAGGCATCTGGGTAGAGGCCGTTTTTATGCAAGTTCTTTTTGTCCAAACTCTCAGTTGTCGTTTCTCTGCATGGCAGGTGCATCTGCAGCCGACGCCAGTTTCTTCTCGGTCACAGCAACGCACACCGTCCACACAACACACACTCTCACACACGTGCAATCACACAGCATGCAACACGTCGACATTGACCCATTCTCAGACCCATGGCCCGTGGGCCACAGCAGTGACCCCCTCCTCCCTCACGTCCTTCCGTCCATCAGCCCCTTCGCCCCTGCCAGGCCTTTTTCTGTGAGAGAAATGCAAGGAGAGGCGGAGGCGGCGGAGGAGGAGGAGGCAGAGCAGCAGCAGGAGCGGGAGGGGGAGGAGGAGAGTCCTTTTTTCAGGCCTGCCAGAAGCTCTTTCCCTCTTGCGCCTTCTCCTCTGCTGCGTCCCTCTCACTGCAGTGCTGCTGCTTCTCTACATCGCCGCCCTCCTCCTTCTCCTCTTGCTCCTCTTCATCCTCGTCGTGCAACCACAGGTTCATTCACTCCCACAACTCTAGCTTCCCCACCCTCAGCTGCTGCGGCAAATCCGTTTGCTTCACACGTTTACCGTAGCCGCATGCCTGGTTTTACCACCCCTGCTGCCACCACTCCTGCCGCCACTGCTGCCGCTCCTACTGCTGCTGCTGCTGATACTGCTGCTGCTGCTGCTGGAGGGGGAGGGGGGTCGTTCTGGCATGGCCAAGGCTCTGGTTCGGCGAAGGGAGCAGATGCACCAGGTGCTGATGATGCAGATGCAGTGGACCGGGAAGATGGGACGGGTGAGAGGGAAGGTGGAGAGGATGGGTCTGATGGGCCCAATGGGGCTAGTGGCGGTTTAGATAGGTTAGCACGACATGGAAGGGCCGGTTCTGCCGTGCAGGCAGAGGTTGAGGAGCAGGATGTGGGGCTTGGAAGGGTAGGATTCGATGCACGTGGACGGCAGGGGCTTGTGTATAGCATGCCGGTAGCTGGTGTGCCTCCTGGTAGGTGTTTGAATGCTGGTGCTGCAGAGGCGGGGCGAGCAGCAGGAGGTGGCAAAGGGAGGGGATTGGGTGGAGTTACAGGGTCAGTACGAGGGGGGGATCGCAAGAGAAGTCTGGTGCGGGGGAGCACGTTTTTCAGAGGGAATGCCGCTGTGGGTTGTGAAGATCGTGATGCTGAGGACGCAGGGAATCCTGAGGGCTCTGAGGGCGGTGACGCAGGCAATGGGGATGGAGAAGCGGAACGTCGTGGCGATGGTGGTGTAGATAGAAACGAGTTGGGTGATACAGGGGATGGGGCTGCGGAGGATGTACACGTGAGGAGCGGGAGTAGTGGTATGAGTGGGCAGTCTTTTGCTACGGATGTTTCGCATGTGTTACGGTACTCAGCGGTGGGGAGGGATGCAATGGGCAAGGTGGCTGCGAAACTGGCCAGCTTCAGGCACACTCCATCGGAGAACAAGCCGAGAGGGAGGATGGGGCGCCAACTGGGGGGCTCAAAACGACATCGGTAAGGGTGTATTTTGACTTCTTTTGTGAATATGTTTGTAGCATGGCTGGGTTGAGAATACTGATCTTGGCATTTGCTGTTGTGTTTTTTGTCTGATGCAGATCTCTGCCAGGGCAACAGGCTTGCTCGTTTCAATTCCGCCTTAAAGACGCGAAGATGGATCACTGTCAGGCGCAATGCCTCTCAGCCTACCAGCGTTGGCGGCGTTTGTTTTTCGGCCAAAGAACATTCACGAGCAATCTTGGAGTTTGACCTCTAGCATCACACCATTTTTGCATGTTAGTTTTCTCATCATTCTTTCGTTTGTTACCAGTGACATGGTGCATCCATCACATTTATTTATAGCTCTCCCGTTCTAGGTTATTCGGGCAGTAGCAACGTGAACCGCTATCATCTCTCAAGCCAGTAACGCGGACATTGCCTCTTTCCCATCTCCTGGTCTGTTGGGCCAGTTTTCCTCAATTTCATCACGGGAGGAGCGAATGGACAGCACTGCACCACCAACTGACACCCTGCTCCGCTCAGAACACGTCTTGCCCATATTGCTCGCCTCAAATCACTGCCCATAGCTGCCATCATGGATACCAGAAGCGTCGCAATGCTCCGTTTGCTTCCCGTCCCAACAGCCCGAAGATCGTCTATCTGTGTGATGACGTGTCGTAGCACCACTGTTACGAGTCAGCCCGCCGTATGAAGCGCGTCGAATCAAAAGCCATAACTGTTGTGAGGCCTGTCGCGTGATGGCTCCTCGCAGCAGCACTGCTCTAACCCAGTCCGCCTCGCGGCGCTCGCCTCGCCGATGGCTGCTCGCCGCCCTCTTGCTTCTTCTGCTCCCCTCCTCGCTCCTCATCCTCTCCCACCACTTCCGCCTCCTCCATGATTCCCCCACCGCGTCTCACGCTCGCGTCTCAAGCCAACTCTCATCTCCCCTCCCTCATCCCCCTGCCGAAACGCCTCATAGTCTGACTTTCCAGCTTCCCGCTCCAACCGCCGCAAGAACCGCCATAAAATCCGCTTCGGATGGGTTTACCGAGCATCCCTCCTCCATCATTCGGCTGCTGAAGACGGAGTTAGGGAAAGAGGATCCGGACACGTCAGCATGGAGGGACGGTGCGGATGGACTTATTGAAACCGGCTTTGCGGGAGACACAGAGGGGATCAGAATAGGGAGAAGTGGAGCAGACGAAGGGGTGGATGCTGTGGTGCAGCAGCAGCAGCAGGAGGAGGAGCAGGAGCCGGAGGAGCAAGAAGAACAGGAGCAGCAAGGGGAGCAGGAAGAGCGGAAGCAGGAAGAGGAGGAGCAGCAGCAGCAGCAGCAGCAGCAGCAGCCTAACGGCCAGCACATACCAGATCCAACAGTCCACTCCAATCATGACGATTCCGATGCTCCTCTAATTTCCACCGACCTCCCCTCCCCTGACATCCAGGCTCCTGTTTTCTCTTCCTTTTCCTCCTCCTCTTCTTCGTTCGCGCCCTCAAAGCTGACGTGGCACCCACACCCGGACCGCTACCTGCTGGCAGTGTGCGTGCGTGGGCAGGTGAACCACCGCATTCAACCGCATTGTCTGCCTCTTCCGCCACTTTATCCTTTTCGCGCTGCTCACCCTCTACTCTTCTCTGCCCTCCACACCCCAGCTGTCCACCCAACTCCTCTCCTCTCCACCCTCGTGAGCGATTTTTGAGAAGTTTCAAAAATCGGTCAACTCCTCTCCTCTCCCCCCATGGTTTTTGCCAGCTGGACAACCCGATTGGCTGTCTCTACGGCATCCTCTGCACCCTCCTCAACCGCACCCCTGTGGTCCCTTTTTCCCTCTCTTCTTCTTCTCCCATTTCCCGCTCCTCTTCTGCCATTACCCCCCATCAGGTGAACAACCGCATTGGCTGTCTCGACCGCCACCTCATCCGTGTCGCTCTGCTCACCGCACCCTCTCTGTTCTCTGCCTGTCCACCCCACTCCTCTCCCCTCTCTCCTCATGCCCCATCAGGTGAACAACCGCATTGGCTGTCTCTACCGCCACCTCATCCTCGCTGCTCTCCTCAACCGCACGCTGCTCGTCCCGGCCCGCCTCCCCTCCCTCACCCCCCTCCTCTGCCAGCGCGGCGCCTCCGGGCGTGTATGCCCCTCCTACCCGCCCCCCCTCTTCTGGGACCTCAACCACACGCGGCGCTGCCTGGGGGCGGCATCCGTGATCAGATCAGACGAGTTTGCCGCCCGGTTCGGCCGCCCGGTGGAGGTCAACCACATGCGGTGCTGGCACGGGCCGGAGGGCTTGTGCCGCCCGACATATTCCATTGTAAAGAAGAACTGTCTGGTGGGCACGGCGCTGAGCTACGTGGCTGAGAATCTGCGGAAGAAGTTTGGCGGGCGGAGAGTGGTGAGCGATGTGGTTCATGCCATGCTGCTCAACGGGTCTTCTCTGCAGCCTCACAGTGGTGTGCCTGTCACTGGTGTGCCTGCCGCTGGTGTGCTTCACAGTGGTGTGCCTGCCGCTGATGAGTCTTTAGAGGACACGGAAGGGTTATCCCCACCTTCCCTGTCGCCTGCGCCAAATGTGGGAGAGCACCTGCTGCAGCTGACAGGGAGAACGCTCAAGCTCTCCTCCTCTTCTTCCCCCTCCATTTCCTCCTCCTCCTCCTCCTCCTCCTCCTCCTCCTCCTCCTCCTCCTCCTCCTCCTCCTCCTCCTCCTCCTCCTCCTCCTCCTCCTCCTCCTCCTCCTCCTCCTCCTCCTCCTCCTCCACCCCCTCCTCCCCTACCTCGCTGCCCATCCATCCCACGCCCATCGACCCGATCCGCATGATCATGCTGCACCAGCCAGGCGCCGTGTCCATCCCGCCCTCCGCCACCGCCTCTGCGCTCTGCCTGCCGCGCTTCGTGCATGTCTCTGACGTGCTCCGTGCGTACGGCCCTCTAGGGGAGTCGGTGCGCGTGCTGGCCGTGGGAGATCTGGTGGGCACAGCTGTGCTGGGGCTGCCTCACCGGTACGCGCTGCTGCAGGAGAAAGCACAGAGGTGGGAGGAGAGCAGGGGGAGGCGGCAGGGCGGGGCGGTGAAAACGGAAGGCAGAGTGGTGGGTGGAATAGTGGGGCCAGTGGAAGAGAAGGGGTTTCATATGGAAGGCTTGTCTGCGGGTCAAGGCAAAGATGGTTCATCTGACCCGAGGCATACAGACGGGCGAAACCTGTGGCTGGATAAGGATTTCGTCCGCCCGCCCGGCGGCCGGTGGCTGGGGAGTTCGGGCAGCGGCGGGCTCCGTGATTGGCTGAGTATTTTCCAGTTCCTGCCCGAGTGCCGTAACACAGCGGTCATCGTTCCGCCCCTGCCGGTCTTCAAGAGAGCTCAAGCCATCATCCGGTCCCTCTTTGGGGCCGAAAGGGTGGATGCTGGTGCTGGTGCTGGTGCTGGTGCTGGTGCTGGTGCTGGTGCATCTGGTATGGTTGATTCTGTGGAATCCGGGACACGTCGTTTTGGTAGTGACGCATCGACAGGGGAGGCTGGAGCAGGGGAGGGTAAAGCAGGGAGAGCTGAAGCATCGACTGATGCTGACCTGCCTGTCCCGGCGGACCTGCCGGCGTTCCTGGCGGTGCACTGGCGGCGTGGCGACTTCCTGGAGTTCTGCGCGCGCTCCGGGCCGCCCGGCTTCTGCTTCTACTCGCCCGTGCAGGCCGCGCAGTGCGCTGCTGACGTGGCGCGCCGCAACGGGCTCGTGAACGTCTATGTGGCGACGGATGCTGATGACAAGGAGGTGAGGATGTGTGCGGATTTGCTGTCCTGTTCCTGTTGTTTTTGCCCAGGGTAGTACGTCTTATGTTCAATAGCAGGATTCACTTATTTCCCCTTCTTGCTCTGTGTGTGCCTTCCTCTTTCTCCCACCACTACTATACTTGCGTTCCCTTCCACCCTCCCTCTGCTCCTTGTCTCTTCATTGGCTACAGTTCCAAGAGTTTCGAGAGACATTGGGTCCAGAGTTCACTGTGGCGAGGCTCCCCTCTTCCCCATCCCCTCTATTGCCGGACCCACATCAAGACCCTCTTTTGGGGCTTAGGCAAGGGGCTTTCCTCAATGATGCAGCAAGCCTGCTGTACACCATATTAGACAAGGTTATATGTGTTTATTCTACTGTGTTTCTAGCCACACCATCCTCTACACTCTCAAATGACGTCGCTCGGATGAGGGAGGGGCTTGGCATTCCTGCTGCAATCGCTGCTGCTTCAGCTGTTGGAGCGGAGGAGGAAGCAGTGGGGGAGAGTGCAGAGGTGAGAAAGGGGGTTGAATTTGGAGAGAGTGCTGGAGTAGAGGAGGGGAGGGATGGGGCTCTGTGTGAGGGGCAAAAAGAGTGGCATCCTATGGATGGCTTGCCCAAGAAGCTTCAACAGTTGAAGGCCTTGAGAATTTTGTCAAACGATAAAGGAGAGTGGTAATTCTTCGAAGGAGCTGCTTTCTACGCAGTCGTAGTGTCTTCCATAGTGGTTATGCTGTTTATTTATTTGTAGCATAACTGTACGTCCCTAGAGGATATCAATCAGCCCAAGTGTACAATTCTACCAGAAGCCAAGCTTTTCCCAGTTAGAGCGCTACTGCGCGTCACTTTTGTCCACCAATCACTTCTTGGTGCTTCTTGCTCATTGCTGTGATTGAGCCTCAGCAATACGTCGATTTATAGAGCTCCATTTTTAGAGCTCCACAGCAAAATGCCGATTTTTTAGTCAAGCTATTGCACCGTGTCCTCTTCCCGGTTAGCGTCCGATTCTTTTTAGGCATAGCGTACTTGGGAGTACGTAGTAGCTCACACGAAGCAGTTCATGCATTTCCGAGTCGACTCAAACAAAATCACGATTTCTTGATTCGACAAGAACAACACCACGTGCAGGACACAACTGATTCAGGTCGACAATTGAGCTGACTCAAAGGTCACCTGAGTTGACTCAACGGACAAACCTTGTGCTTATCGGTACCCAGCTAGCAAGAGCGAGTTCATGAATTCTGGAAAGCAAGTACGGAGCGACCATGAAATTGATTGTGCTAGGGCTCCTGCTGACTCATCAACAAACGCAGCCAATGGTGTCGCACGACCGGACAATCATTCGACGGTCGGACCAGACGTATGCGAAAGCGCATCATCGTTGACGCGACATCCCTCATCGCCAATGAAGCAGCCGCAGCAGCGCCAGCCGGTGGAACTGTCCCGTCTTGAAGACCTCGATAGCTTACCTCTGCTAAGTGGCAGTCCGATTACAGATTCCACCCATTCTACCCACATTTTTGGTCGCCTCCACACGTTGCTCACACCTGAAGGCTTCTCTTCCATATTTAACAGTTCCGATCTCCGTAGCTGGCTTTGCTCGAGTAAATCCCCTTCTTCAAGAGTCTTCCGGTCCCTCACTGTCCTCCTCGTCCTCTCCCTCTCCTTCCTCCTCGTTTTCCTCTCCACGCTTTTCCTGCAACCCGCCTCGTTCCTTTCCTCGGATACTGTGGACTTATCCATCGGATCCACCAATGAGCTGCTGCCAGGTCAGACCCAGAATGCCTCCCCTTGGGTTCAGGCATCAGACTCACCTTCGACTACCAGTCAAAAGCACAATGCAGCGGACCTCGAACCTGGTTACGACCCTGGTTCCGACCCTGAGTCCGATCTGAACCATCACGGCCCGGATACAGTAGTAGCAGATGGGCACGCGCCAGGGGAAAAAGGCTCTTTGGGATCTGAGGAGGAGAGGGGGTCGCTGAGCAGTGGCGAGGGTGGGACGTGGCATGGCAAGCTGGTGTGGACGCCACAGCCCGACAGGTTCCTACTCGCCATCTGCCTGCGCGGTCAGGTGAGGCACGGGACGGTTGGCGGTCAGGTGAGAAGCAGGTGGGATGGCGGTCAGGTAAAAGGAGACTGAAAACATCCACGCTTTTCTCACACGCACCTGCCTTCCTTCTCTCCTTGCGCCTCCCTTCCAGCCATTGATCCCACCCATCCACTTCTCTTCCAAGCCACTCAGGTCAGCAACCGCATGGGCTGCCTCATCCTTTCTGGTCCGCACCATCCACTGCTCCCTTGTAGTAAGTCGATTTCTGAGTCGACTCAGAAATCGGCTTACTACACCTCATTCTTTCTGGTCCTCACTATCCACTGCTTTCTGCCGCTCCTCTCCACCACTGCCGTCCTTTTCTACCCCGAACCCCACCCCTCCTCCTCCCTCTTTTCCGGCCTTTCCTTACCCGACCTGTCCACCCCACTTCTCTCCTCGCCGTCGCCAGGTGAACAACCGCATTGGCTGTCTCTACCGCCACCTCATCCTCGCAGCCCTCCTCAACCGCACGCTGCTCGTGCCCCCCGTGCTGCTCTCCACCTCCCTCGCCTACTGCAAGCACGGCGTCTCCGGCTCCCCTTGCCCCTCCATCCCGCTCCCTCGCATCTGGGAACTCCACCACATGCGCACGTGCCTGGAGAATGCCTGCGTCTAACCTCCCTTTTTCCCTCTTCTTTTCTCCCTTTTTCCCTTCCCTCCTCCCTTCCCCCACCCCCAGGTGAACAACCGCATTGGCTGTCTCTACCGCCACCTCATCCTTGCAGCCCTGCTCAACCGCACACTGCTCGTGCCTCCCGTGCTGCTCTCCACCTCCCTCTCCTACTGCAAGCACGGCGTCTCCGGCTCCCCCTGCCCCTCCATCCCACTCCCCCTCATCTGGGACCTGAATCACACGCGCACGTGTCTGGGCGGCGACACTGTCCTGCGCACGGACGAGTTTGCCGCCCGGTTCAGCCGCCCGCTGGAGGTGCATCACATGCGGTGCTGGCATGGGCCGGGGGCGACGTGTCCGAATGGAAATCCTGGGCTGCTCAAGAATTGCTTGGTGAATGACACGGCACAGGGGGGTGGGGGAAGGAGGAGGCTTGGGGCTGTGTCTGGGATGAGAAAGCTGTTTCGAGTGGGAGTGGGAGTGGGAACGGCGGCGGCTGATACTGCCGATGCTGTGAGAGGGTGGTTTGGAGGGGGATCGATGACGTGGGTGAGAGGGAGCAGGAGAAGGAAGCTGCAGCAGCAGCAGCAGACCCTGCAAGGCACTCCCTCCCCCAACCGCTCTCCACCCCTCTACACAGTCCAGTCTTTTGCCGACTCGCCCATCCAAACATACGCGGCCCATCTGCACCTGCTGCCCCACCAGCTCTCCCCAGACGTGCACATCAGCGCCAACGCCACGGCGTCAGCAGTGTGCTTCCCCCGCTTCGTGCATGTGCGCGACATACTCCGCGCCTATGCTCCGCTCTCTGCCTCTGTGCCCGTTCTCGCGGTCGGGGACCTGGTGTTCACCGCCTTCCTCGGCCTCTCAGACAGGTGCGTCTTGAGGCGACCCAGAATGCTATCAGACGGCGCCCCTCTCTCTTCCACCGTCTTTGTGCTCGCAGAGGAGGCTCTTGCATTCACTCACTTGATCTTAAAGCCCCTCTGAAGTTCTTCATGTGCTCGTATTGAAAACCCTTGTGTTACCCCTTGTCTTCCTGCACTCTCTGCCAGGTACGAGCCCTTCAAGGAGCGTCTGTTTCGGTACAAACGGTGGCGCGAGCGCAAGGAAGCTTCACAGGAAAGAGAGGGCACCTCGACGGGCGATTTCAATGGCATGGTGGCGAGCAGCAGCAGCCAGGTGATTCTGGAATCGGACTTTCTTGGGCCGGCAGGGGGGCGGTGGCTTGGCAGTGCAGGAAAGGGGGGTCTGAGAGAGTGGAGGAGCGTGTTCCACTTCCTGCCTGGCTGCCCGGTGCCCGTGCCCATTCTGCCCCCCAAGGAGGTTATTGAGGATGGTAGGCGGCTTGCCCAAGCCCTGTTTGATGGTGGTGAGAGGGATGCCGGAGGTAGCAGTAAAGGTGGCGGAGGCAGCAGCAGTGATGGCAATTTAACAAACGATACACTTGCAGCAGGGGAAAATCTTCCAGCAGGGGAAAATCTTCCAGCAGGGGAAAATCTTCCAGCCGGGGAAAATCTTCCAGCAGTTTTACCCGCAGCTGCAGGCGGTGCATCGGAGGGCGGGGAAGGGGGTTACCTGGCGGTGCACTGGCGACGCAGCGACTTCAAGGACTACTGCGTGTGGTCGGGGCCTCCTGGCTTCTGCTTCTACTCCGCGGAACAGGCTGGCAAGTGTGCTGCTGACGTGGCACAGCGCAACGGGCTGAGGAATATTTATGTTGCTTCTGACGCCAATGTGGAGCAGGTCAGTTGGTGTATTTGTTTCCAGTAATTAAGTCCCATGTTTGCTTGCGTCGCTGTCAAGTTTTCACTGTGCTTAACCTGCATCCCCCGTACCTCTACTGCTCTTCCTCTCTCACCTGCCTCCCATCCCTCTTCAATCCCCCGAACCTCCTTTCCCCCGGCCTTTTTCAGTTTGAAGAGTTTCAGAAGGCAGCAGGCCCTGCCTTCAAGGTCATTCGCTACCCAGACAACCCATCAGCCTTCCTCACAACCCTCACTTCAGAGCCTCTCATTTCCAGCCTCCCTGCCTCCATAGATCGAGAGGAAGCTTCCCTGCTCCTGCACATGCTCCTTGACAAGCTCATCTGTGTACGCTCTACAGTGTTCCTCGCTACCATGTCGTCGACTCTATCCAACGACGTCGCTAGAATGCGCGAGGGGTTTGGCGTGCCAGCAGCCTTAGCAGCTGCTGCAGATCCTGGTGCTGGCACTGCAAGGAAAATGGTTGCTCCCCTTGATGCACCGGATGGTGTTGGGTTGGAATTTGTGGTGAGCTTGGGTGTAGAGGAACTGAGAGATGGTGGGCTGTGTGAAGGGGAGAAAGTATGGCAACCCCTTGAAGGGTTGTTTGGGTGGATGAAGGACATGAAAGCCAAGAGAATGGTCGAGCATTCAGCAGGAGAGTGGAGAAGATGACTCTCTTGTGGATGGCTTGTGTGGGTAGTATCCTCTAATATACTCCTAAATATCTACCCCACCACTTTCTGCCTGCCACAAAATGGTAGTTTTCAAGTGAGGCCTCAGTTATAAATCAATGTAATAGATACACGAGAAGAAGTCCACAGGCTTTACAGAGTGTCAGGTGTGTCACAAGTGATCTGTACGACCAAGTGCGGTACAGTAATCCTGCATCCAAGTTATCTAGCTGCCTTTTCCTTTATTCTGACCACCACCAGCTGCAGCTGCTTTCTTGGCAGCCTTCTCTTGCAGAGCCTTGGCGTCCCTGGAAGCAAGAATGAAACAGCAAAGAGCGAAAATTGAATAACAAGAATACCATCAATACAGCCATTAAAGGGGGGTCGGGGAACAGCAAGAATACCATCCTGGTTAGTCCCCTTTTCAAAACCAGCTCGGACGCGTTGAAGAGTTGTGCGCATGAGCGTTTGACAAGCAAAGTGGGAAGTTTACCTCTCACGGCGCTGCTCCGGGGTCAGACCGTCGGCCTTTTTGTTCGCGCCGTTCTTTGCTGCACGGGCCTGAGCCCTGGCGCGATCAACCTCCCGCTGATTGCCGCGTAAATTGTCAAAAGCACATGAAGAACAACCAGTTAAGGAGAAACTTGTTTTCTAATCATACGGAACACGGAGAGCAAACGGCAAGTCTGAAAAAATGCAAACGTATTCACAAAAAAGCGAGAATGAAAACGGACATGTTGCCACAAAGGAACTGTCAAAGTACAGTAAAAAAAAGAGTTCTATAGGTGCAGTGTTAATGGGGAAAGATAAGCGCTGTGCAGGATATGACTCATTTATGACTGGACGGATGCGCCTCTGGCAGACAACACGAACTTCCTTGAATGAAGGAACTGCTGCAACACCGGAGATGAGCTAAGGATGATTAAGAGAGCCACAACTATTTTGTCTTCCACCTGAAAGAGAACTTGCTACAGTCCTTAACTTTGTGAGCGAAATCCCGCGAAAAAACGGAAACAGAGAACTATCCAACAAATATGAAGACTACTCTTGGTTGCAAATCCTGTTTTTCTCCCGTGAAAAAGGAGGATTGAAAGGAGAAGTAGCAGAACAGAAGCAGGGAAAGGGATGGGTTGGGAGGCAAGGAGTTGGTATGGTGCAAGGAACGAGGTTACGCGAAGGATCGCTGGAGGGAACGGCTTCCTCGCGCGAATCAGCTTCAGCAACAACTATTCGCTGACGACGGCCCTTGTGGTTGGCGAAACCTGTGTTGTTTTCGCGGAGAGAGAAACAGTTCTGGAGCGTGTCGCGATGTGCCAGGGGCTGCGCCTAGAATGTTCCATGGCGGATTGTGGACCTCAAATGTTGAAGAGCCTGGAAACGGAATCTCGAAGACTTCCAAATCGGCAGCAGTGAACAGTGCCGTTGCGGCTTTGCGAGTACCAAATCGCGACGACCGTGCAGAAGCAATCGGCGACGTTCAAGCACACCACAGAGACTGCCGAAACGTGAAAATCATGGCGGGACCCAGCGGATTGGGCACACAGCACACAATCTTCAAGCGGATATGAAATACACTTCCACATTCTGTCAGTGCAGGCAACAATACAGGAGCAATGTTTTCTCATTACTTTGACATTGCCGGAATCATACAGGCCAGCAGTACAAGCACAAGCAGATTGCCTGGGAAGAACAGCAGGCGAGGCACATACCACCAGCCCTATCTTTTTATAAGCTTGAAAATCTGATCCACTAAACCAGCTCATGTCACAAAACGTTTCGTTACTAGCTCCAGCTTAGTTCATGCGCCGGATGAGCGCGTTGATCTTGTCCTCGCGGTTACCAGCATCGCCACCCTCCACGAAGTGCAGGCGCTTCTTCTTCATGCCGCCGTTGGGCGCCGACAGCTTGAAGGGCCACAGGAAGTTGTTGCATGCCTTGAAGTGCGGGCCCGTCGTGAAGATCTGGTAAATCAAATCCTCCACACACAGAATCTTCTTCTGCCCCAGCACCTGAGAAGATAGGGTGGGACAACGCGTGGCAGGGATACAGATTAAAAGTAAGGATCAAGCATTTAAAAGCAGGTCCTAACTCTGAACCAGGGGCAGGTGCAAGGGAGCTGGAGGTGCTTCCTGTGAGATACACAGGAAAACTGCTAATAGAATGCAAGTACTAAGGGCGAGTGCAGCAGCGGGAGATGGGGCAAACGCGAGGGAACTCACTTTTTGCACGACGGAGTTCTCGGTGAGGGGGATGCGCTGGTGCCCGACCTTGCCGTAGATGTTTCAAACATCAAGTGCGGGAGATGGGGCAACTGGAATTGGACTCACTTTTTGCACGACGGAGTTCTCGGTGAGGGGGATGCGCTGGTGCCTGACCTTGCCGTACCCGCGCTTGTAGATCAACTCGCGCACCGACTTCAGGTTCGGGTAGCTGTGGGGTGCAAAGTGCAGGGAGCACACAGGAGTATTTTCAGGTGGTTAACAAGATTGAAGGACACATAGCGCAGTGCAGCCAGGGAAGAGCAGAAAAGCATTGCATGCAAGCAACGGATTACAAGAGGGAATCCCACCCTTGTGACAGTATCAAAACGGCGTTAGTGACAATAACGAGCTCACCCGTAGGTGACGTAGGGCTCCACCAATCGCAGCATCTGCAGAGTCGCCTTGGTGACCCTCAGGAACACTCCGTTGAAGATCTGCCAGCAATGGTGCCCAAGACGAGAGTTTAGGATGGGAGGCGAAAGGGGGGTGGAGCAGGGGAGTGGGGGTTGGGGAGGAGGAATGAGGGTATGGTCCGCGCAAAAGGAGAAAGTGGAGGGTGCTGTGGCTGGGGGAGGGGAAGTGACGAGGGAAAAGGTTGCGCGTCTGATTCTTAGGTGTGTAAAGATTTCAACCGGGGGGAAGGGAGAAGGTTCCATCCTCTAACCTGGCGGAAGGGCAGAAGCTGCACGCACGTGAACGCGTCTATTTCGTAGGTGCACCAAGCGCGCAACCAGGAGACCGGGAAGGTTCTGCTCTCACCTGGCGAAGGCGCAGCAGCTGCAGAATCTTGCGCGTCTTGGGGTGCATGTCGTTCACACTGGCACCATGAGACGCGTGCAACAGCGGGGCGGGGGGAGAGGGAGGGAGGGGAAGGGGCAGGGGACGAAAAGGAGGAGACGTGAATGAGTGGAAGGAGGGAGTAGATCCACATGAATGCAGCACGGAAAATGGGGAAGTGGAGCGAGAGATTGCAGCAGTATGCACGCCAGGATCCAGCGGAGGGGGGAATAAGAATTGCGAGCGAACAGGGGATCGTCACAGCACGAGAAAGGGGTTGCGAGGAGGGGAGGGGGAGTGGGGAAGGGTGAGGTGAGGGGGGGGGAGGTGGGAGTAGAGCTAAGGCAAGGAGCAGGTGAGGCAAGTGGGCGCTCACCCACGGATGCGGATGATGAAGAGCAGCTGGGGCTCGGGCTCGACATAGAAGGTGTTTGGGCGTTCTCAGAACCACCTGCAACCTGAAGCAACCGGAAAAAAAGAGACTCACCCACGAATGCGGATGATGAAGAGCAGCTTGGGCTCGGGCTCGACATAGAAGCCGCCGCTCAGCTTCGCCTCACGCTTCAACTCCACCAGCTCGCGCTCCTGATAGGTGGGGGTGGGGAGAAGAGGGTTGGGGGAAGGGGGGGAGGGCGCGCGCAGAGCGGCCACACGAGCGCAGCCATTGGTCATGCACACACACGACAAAAATTGGCAATGCAATTGGCTTCGTATACGAATGGATTCGCGACAAAAATTTCGCTACGAAATTCGCTCCTGACGAAACGCAAGGAAGCGGTAGGTCCCACTCTAGGATAAAGGCCGACGGCAGGCGGAAACGAACGTCACGAAGCCAATGATTCTGTCGCGGTCAGACGAAGCACAACCCGAAATCCCCTCGAAAAGCTCCCACAAACGCGCGTCCAGCTGCGCGACTACTCGCCCCTCCAGCCGGGCCCCTCACACAATTAGACGCAGAAGCCTGCTCTATGATGCAGGGGCCCCTGCACGCACTCACTTCATACAAACAGCGCATTCGCCTCCTACTCTGCATTTGCTCCCTGATTTGCCTGCAGTCTAATCCACCTGGCCTATCGTCGCCATCACCACGCTTCCCAATACCTCGCCTCGCGGCACGGCCGCATCAAGACTGCGTCCCACAACTTAACCCCTTCCATGATCAGCCAGCGCCTCGCCGCACCACCCCACCCGTTGATCACCTCCCCCTGCTGCTCCTTCTGCTCTCCAGTCTCTCAGAAGCCGATCGACAGGTGGCTGCTGCCGACCCCCTTCCAAGAATCTCTCGCTGCTGCAGTGCATAACGCCCAAGACCCAACTGTTGCAAACTAGGTCAGACCCGCTGAGTGAATATAGTCCCTGCGCGCCGCAAGAGGTTACTAACCGCCCGAGTGTGTGAGGGCACCCGCGCCTATATCACGCCTACAAATCGTTTCTAACCGCGCCGCTGTGCTGGTGATACCTGCCGCGCGTTTGTACCTTGGACCTGCTTCCGAACGTTGCGACAGATGACACGTGGATGGGAACTAATCTCCGCGTCCCACCTTGCGCGCGTACGACTTGTCATAGGCGGCGGCGCGTTGGTGGATGATTTTGCGGATGAGCTTGTTCTTGGCCTTGCTCTCCGCCGCCTTCTTGGCGATCGCCGCGCCCCACTTCTCCTCGCGCTCGCGCTTCTTCGCGATCGACTCAGGCACCGCCTCCGAACTCATCTTGACTCACCTGCGGGGGGAAGGGGAAGGGGGGCAGAGAGGGGAAGCGGAAGGGGGGAGGAAAGGGAATGGGGGGAGCGGAGACGGGGGAACGGGGGGGAGAAGGGCAATGTGAGGCGGTGCGCCCTAGTTTGCGCTTGCGCTACTTTGCGATCGACTCGAGCGTCGCCTCAAAACTATATTTCACATCACTCTAGCAAGCGGGTGGGGTGAGGGGAAGCGGACGAAGTGGGGGGGAAGCGGACGGGGAGGGAGCGGGATGGGGGATGTAAGGGAGAGATATCGTGGAGAGCGGAGAGTCGGAGAGTCGAGGAGGTAGGGAAGAGAAGGCGGGGACCGGGGGACGTGGGCCAGATTGACGAGCGTTGGCAGAGGGGGGAGTCACAGGCGCAAAGAGCACGGAGGGAGCGGGGAGAGGGGAGGAAGAGAGCAACGGAGCTGAAGGCTGAGCAAAGATTGACGGCAGCGGTACAAAAGAGAATCCTGGCGCGATGCAATGGATGCAGGGGAACTCAGCGCTCAATCCTGCTCAGGTCGGTGCCTCTCTAGAATGACCATTCGCCTAACTGCCCGGTTAACACGCGCAGGCCCGAAAGTGCAGAAACACTGAAAGTTGTGCTCTCGCGAAATTCTGCGGGATTTCCCACGCGAGACAAGCTAACCCTAAAAACCAGTTCGTGTGCGCAATCCATGCCGACCCTGCGAAACGGGGTTGTCACACAAGCATGACTGCATACATGCTGCTTCTAGCTATAACAAGCGCGAATCGCGGCGAATCAGCTACTCACTTTTGTGTGGGGTGTCCTCCCAAAATTTTACAAGGGGTGGAAAGGGGACGGGAAAGGAAAGAGAAAAGGCTTTCAAGGGAAAGAAAAGAAGAGGAAGGTGGAGGTGGGAGGGAGGGGCGCGGAGTAATTCAACAGCACGAGCGGGGGAGCTTGGGGGAAACGGTGGGCGAGGGAGGGGGTGTTGCGCTTGTCTGGGGACGATCTGTGCGCGCGTGTGCATGTGCGAACAGGGTGAGGGGCAGGGAGCAGGGAATTACGAGGCAAGGGGTAGGGTGTGGAATACCACCATCGCAAATTGCCGCTCCGTAATCCACGAAGTGCTGTAACAAAACGTGATTGTCTGTAATGAAATATCTCAAACACTATCAAAAACCTTGGTATAATTCATAATCGGGCCTGCTATTGAATAGCTTCAAGTTCAGAATCAGCATACAAGATACGACCAGTTCTTTATTTCACAACAGCAATTGTGGCAGTCACACCCTTTTACTTTAACCGGTTAGCAGCACATCTTTTCCAGCACAATCACTAATTTGTGTAGGCCCATGTATCCAGTCCAGTGCAGCATTCAGCATTGCCTTTGAAAACATCTCATACAAAAGGCCAGAAGAACTAAGACACAGGGCAGCACAGTGTACACTACCCTCCAAATTTGGTACTGTAAGGTGCTCCTTTCTAGTCAATATCAGGTCTCTGCCTCAATGCGCTTTACATGCCGCTGAATCCCTTCTTGGTCTTGGCATCAGAGCCATGTGGAATCACCTTGAGCACATTGAATCGCACCGTCTTCGACAGCGGCCTGCTCACAAAAACACAAGGTACAGTACGTTAAAATCTTTTGCGCGCACCCATCAAATACACGGACAAACACTAGTACCAGGCGTGATAATAACCTAATCTCTCTCTTTACAGTCCTCTGCTCTTGCCCACAATTACAGCAGAATACTGCCCGTCCAGCGGTGACCTACAGAACAAACGTTCCCTACGCTCTTCCCACCGACTTGCACTGCCAAGCAATGAGGGCGGCACACAGACCAGCACTAACTGACTGGGCGGACGAAGGGGGTAGTTCCCCCTAACACCCTCCCACACCCAGTGGGTCCTAGGTCCTGCACTGCCCCCAAGCACCCACTGGCCTGCACTTCCCCCCCCCCGGAATAATGACCTGCACTGCCCCACCATACAGCACAGCACACTGACGCACCAACAGTGTCATTCCCCATCCCCCCCGCCTCCTCCCCCTCCACTGACCTGCACTGCCGACCTGATCCCCCCTGTCCTGCTCCACCATACAACACACTGGTCGTCTCAATCCCCTCAATCCCCCCTTCCGTCCCCCCATACCCATTAAGTCCACTGACATGCACTGCCCCCCCCACACACTGACCTGCACTGCCCCACGATGACCTGATCCCCCTCCTTCACGCGGAAGCACGGCGACACGTGCGCCGACAGGTTCGAGTGCCTCTTCTCGTACCTGCGCGCCCGGGGGGGGGGAGGGGGCGGGGAAAAAAGGGTGGGAGCAGCGGAGTTGGGAGAAGAATTGAACAGGTCGGTAGTTAGATGATGAGGAACACATGAAATGGCGCTCACTGCCACTCACCGTTGGAGCGTGCGCTATGAGACGTGCGAGGCGACTCACCTTTAGAGCTCGCTATAAGTCACCGAGCGTACTCGGTATAACGCACCGTTGGTACTTGTGCACGAAGTGGAGAGGAGGTACTCGCGGCGGATGGTGATGGTGCGGTTCATCTTGGTTGACAGCACCGTGCCCGACACAACCGTTTGTACTCGCTATAAGTCACCGCTGGCACTCGCTGTAAGTCGCACTCGTTACAACTCACCGTTGGTACTTGCGCACGAAGTGGAGGTAGTCGCGGCGGATGGTGATGGTGCGGTTCATCTTGGTCGACAGCACCGTGCCCGACAGAATGCGCCCGCGGATCGACACGTTGCCCGTGAACGGACACTTCTTGTCGATGTACGTGCCTGTAGCGAGGAAAGGGGGAAGAAGGGAGGAAAAAGAATGTCAAGGCAGCTCAATATACGTTGCCCGTGAACGGGCACTTCTTGTCAATGTACGTGCCTGTAGCGAGGAAAGGGGGAGTGGGGAGGGCGAAGCGGAATTGGAAAGGGAAACGAATGTAGAGGGGTCTCATGACACGCTGCCCATGAACGGACTCTTCTGTCCATGTACGTGCCTGTAACGGGGGGAATGCGGGAAGAATGGCGCGGGAGGAGGCAGGGGAAGCGCGAGGGGAGAGGGCACGACGAGTAGAAAGTTGTTCTGAAACTGCGACTAGAACAGGGAGACGGTGGACGTGGAGAATCGAGGACACGTGAAGGGCCAGCGAGTGGACAGTGCTGGTGGAATCATGGTCATGGCTCCTCACGGAACGCCCGTGCAGAAATTTCGTATCTAGACGACAATCTAGCGCGTACTGTTTCGATCTCTCGATCCCTTTACACCCCACGCGTAGGGAGACAGACAAACTCCGCGACGGCCATTCCCTCCCATAAGACAATTAACAAAAGCAGATGTTGTGGAGGTGCATAGGAAATTCCTCGAAAGCGACGAGCGCACCTTCGATGGCCTCGCGGGGCGTCTTGAAGCCCAGCCCCACGTTCTTGTAGTAACGGTTACCCGCCTTGCCCGGGGTCCTCAGCTTCTTCTTCGCTGAGTAGTCGCCGCTGCGAATCCCACGCGTGGGCGGCACGGCAGAAGTTGGGGGGTGGGGGGCGGGGGGTGGGGGATTGGGGAAGGCGGAGTGAAGCTTTGAGAGCGAGGGGGAGGGATGAATGTCACGGATGGGAGGGAAGTGCACAGAACGATCAAAGATATCGCGTCGCCACAGTCTTTTACATCACCGATCCACGCTCCACGATTATGGCCGAAGGGACTTACGACACATGACACATGACTTGAACCTAGCTACACACACACACACACACAGACACACACACACACACACACACACACACACACACACACACACACGCTCCCCAACTGCCCATAGGCTGACAAACCGTGATTCTCATCTGGACGTGGCTGATCCAGGATTCCCAATTATCGAAACTCCCTTTCGCAACTAACTAGATCGGCGACAATGTCTGGCAAACACGAAAATGAAAGGCATCCTTGTGTCGCTGTAACCATAATGCGCTACATCTGCTGCGAACAAGCCCACGATGTAACCAGGCGCTTGGTGTAACCAAGCCCTGACTTAACCAAGCCCATGGTCTTAGTCCAAGAACCTACGTACCAGAGGAAGACTCCCTGCTGCTTCTGAAAAGCGCGCTCCGTCTGTACTTCAAACACAGAGAAGCACGAAGACGAGGAAACACGAGAGCAGGGCTATATTAGTGATGTGGTTCGCAGACTCTGCACTCTCTCAGTGTACGAATCAGATGAGGCGAGATCTTGACGTTCGACTACGAGGCTTTTTGTACGGATACGACGGGGAATCGGGTAGAGAATGTAATTGCGATGAAGTCATATGCAAACCCGAATACTGCGTTCCTCGATAAAGAAGGTAATTGGCCGCAGGAAACAAAGCTAGAGGCTATTCACTGCGTAACTACTGAACGATCACTAGCTCGACTCCTCAAAATCGGGTGACAACACCCTTGGCAGCAGCGGATGTGACACGGGAGCTCATCCCGTAAACCTCGCTTCTCTGATCTAAAATCGAACCGACAACCTTAGCGACAGTAATCTAAATTGCATGTAGAATTATCACCTGTTCAGCCATGCCTGCTGCACGAAGCTGTCCTGGTTCAAGGGGAGGAGTTAGGCAGGTGTGCCAGATAGAGGTGGAGAAAAGGAAACCAAGGCAGGGGGCTTAGAGCGGATGTAGGAGACGATTAGGAGTCGGGGCTCGGGGGAGCGAGGAGAGGAAACGGGAGGAGGGGAGGGAAACTGAGGTGAAATTGAGGTTTGTCGCGGTGTGATGTGCATTGGAATGCAACTGCTGGCACGTATTGTGAATGCATGTATCCCGCACAAGCTGCACCATGCTAGTTGAACGAGCATCAAGACTATATCGAGGAACAGAATAACACAAAGCATGGTGGAATACCACCGATTGGGTTTGACATCTTGCTTCCCCCGTAAGGCAGCTAACTTTTCATTGGGGTTAGTAGTAGTTGTACACAAGCCGAATTGCTACGCCACAACACTATCGGATCAGGTCACAGCGGTTATAAATGATCTCACAAATTCCATGAAACCGAATCACGCCACGCCATCTGGCCCACACTGTACAGTACAGGCGACCTGACATTCGCTTACTGTATTGACAACGCCGTTCCGCGACGTCAGCGATTCCTCCACCATGTCGCCTCCTCTATCTCAATCCCGAATCCGAATCCCGATACTGTGCTGTAATTGTAAATACACCTGGGCTCCGATAATTTCAAAAACGGGGCACCGGGGCGCACCCTTGTCGTTTTGCCCTGGGGTTGAAATTGGGGGGAACAAAAACCTTCCCCCTAATTTCAACACCCCCCGCGCAGATATTTTGCCGCTGAGTCACTCCAGCCTGTAGTGCTCTCATCTGGTGTTGTGTGTGTTGGTCCTCAGTGGTCCCTATCGTTTTGATTTCGGTTTTGCTGGTTTCTACCCATTTTCGACTTCTTCGCTTGGGCCGCTCATTCTATGCCACGTAAGATTCTGATGCGGCTGGTTTGGCTTGTGGGCCACGCAAAAACTGTCACTGTACCTTCTCGAAATTCATTCACCGGGTCCCTCCAGCGTGGAACTGTGCTGACGCGTCAAGTCACACGCTGGAAAGCCTTACACTGCACTGTTGCAACCCTCCGAAGCGCTCGGACTCCTGACCCCATGTGACGACAGGGGCCTTGCAATTAGGGGGAATGAAAGTACAGTATCGGAGCCCAGGTGTACTGTACTTCGCAACCGCAAGCCCCGCCCACAACATTCCATCCCCCCTTCCCGCACCCTCCCCCCTCCCCCCCCAATCTCCCCCAGCACCCCCAGCGCTGCAACAGCACGGGATTGGTTGGTTCCTCTCCCCCCCTCAGCTAACACCCCCACTTGCAGCTTGGACTCCCATCACTGTAAAGATAAACAAGGTTTTGTGCGCTTTTGCACGGTAGATTACGGTACAAAGCAATTTCTGCCAAACCAGGCAGACAGATCCGAGGCGGGGAAATTGGGAATCTGTAGCGATTGGAAGTTGGCGTCCCCCCAATGGGCGCCATTTCAGCTCACACCCAGCTTGCGTATCTCAATCTGCATAACCAACATTTCTTCTTCAATTGTTTGCCGCATTTCTACATTTTCACCTTTTCACTGCTCGTACTCCAGTGACCGGCTGGCTGGTCCCCTCTAAACCGCCTCTTCCCATGGCGGACGACGCGCCGTCGCTGCAGCAGCCGCTGACGGGGAACTCAGCGGCGCCGCGAAAGAAGCGCACATGGTCCATCGTGGATTTCCTGGTGCAGTTTCGCTGGATCCTCGTAATCTTCGTCGTGCTGCCCGTCTCCTTCGCCTTCCAGTGCAACAAAGACTTCTGGGACTGGTGGTCGAACCGCAAGAGCTTCGCGCAGCGCGAGCGCGAGCACCAGGCTGCGGTGCAGAAGCTCGTTAATCGCCTCAAATCGCGCGACCGGCGCCGCGACGGGCTGGTGTGCACGTCGCGCAAGCCATGGCTGTCCGTGTCGATGCGCAACTCCGACTACAAGCGCGCGCGGCGCTTCGAGGTCGACATGAACGAGTTCTGCCAGATCCTGGCCGTCGATACCGTGAACCGCATCGCGCGCTGCGAGCCGTACGTCAGCATGGGGCAGCTGAGCGCCGTGACCGTGCCGCTGGGATATGCGTTAGAAGTGGTCCCGGAACTGGATGATCTCACCGTGGGCGGGCTGATCAACGGCTACGGCATCGAGGGCTCGTCGCACATCTACGGCCTCTTCCAGGTGGCACCCCTTCCCGCCCGTTTCCGCCCCCGCCCGCCTTTTGTTAATCCATTCTTCCCACCCCCCTTCCGCCGCTTCCACCCTTTCCGCCAATTCCGCAACGTCCCGCTGCTTCTGCCGATGTTCTCGTCGTTCGTTTCGCCCCGTATTGCATAAATATAGACGCGCTGTTGCCACCTTCTTCCCCCATCCCCACCCCCCCCCCCCCCCCCCCCCTCTTCCGTCTCCTCCCGCCGCCGTTCGGCAACTCCCCGCGCAGGACACGGTGGAGGCGTACGAGATCGTGCTGGCGGACGGCACGCTGGTGCGCGCGACGCGCGACAACGAGCACGCGGATCTCTTCTACGCGATCCCGTGGTCGCAGGGCACGCTGGGGCTGCTCGTCGCCGCGGAAATCCGCCTCATCCCCGTTAAAGAGTACATGCGCGTTACGTACACGCCCGTTAGAGGCACGCTGCGCGAAATGACCCAGGCGTATATCGACTCGTTCTGCCCGCGCGACGGGGACCAGGATAATCCGGATAAGGTTCCGGATTTCGTGGAGGGGATGGTGTACACGCGGTCCGAGGGGGTCATGATGACCGGAAAGTACGCGTCGCGCGAGGAGGCGACGCGGCCCGGGAACGTGATCAACAACTGCGGGTGGTGGTGGAAGCGGTGGTTCTACCAGCACGCGACGGACGCGTTAACGCGCGGCGAGTTTGTCGAATACATCCCGACGCGCCAGTACTACCACCGCCACACGCGGAGCCTGTACTGGGAGGGGAAATTAATCCTGCCGTTCGGCGACCAGTGGTGGTTTAGGGTGCTGCTGGGGTGGATGATGCCGCCTAAGGTGTCGTTCTTAAAGCTGACGCAGGGCGAGGCGATTCGGAACTATTATCACGAGCGGCACGTGTGTCAGGACATGCTCGTGCCACTCTACAAGGTGGCGGACGCGCTCGAACTGAACGAGCGGGAATTCGAGGTGCGTTGGGGGGGATGGTGGGAGGATGCGATCAAGTGGAGGGGGAATGAAAAGAGGTGGAAAGGCGGTTGCGTTTAATGTAAACATGGGAGCAGAGAAAGCTGGGAAATGAAAAGATTGGGGGAAAAGCGGAGGGGAATTGCGGCTCCGTTCACCGCCCTGTTTCCTGCAGCTGTACCCCATCTGGCTGTGCGCCCACCGTCTCTTCAACCACCCCATGCGCCAAACCACCCCATGCGCCAAACCACCCCATGCGCCAAACCACCCCCTCATCACCCATTCCCTCCTCAATCCACACACTCCCCCTCCCCGCCTCCCTTCCCCCAGGTGTACCCCATCTGGCTGTGTCCGCACCGTCTCTTCCCCCACCCCATGCGGCAGATGATCAACCCTGAGCCGGGCTTCTTGTTGACCTCCCCTCTCCATGCCCCATTTCCCCCCTCCGCTCCCCCTCCGCTCCCCCTCCCTCCCCACAGGTGTACCCCATCTGGCTGTGCCCCCACCGCCTCTTCCCCCACCCCATGCGCCAGATGATCAACCCTGAGCCGGGCTTCTGGGAGCACAGGCGGCAGGGCGACACGGCGAACGCGCAGATGTTCACAGACATCGGGCTTTACTATGCGCCGGGTGCCGTGCTGCGCGGGGAGGAATTCGATGGCGTGGCTGCTGTGCAGCGCATGGAGAAATGGCTCATTGAGAACGCCTCCTTCCAGGTGAGTGATTCCAGGTGGTTCAGTCCAGGTGGGAGCGTTGGCGGCAACAGCAGCTTGTTTCAGGTGGGTTGCCGGCAGCAGCAGGGCGACACTGCAGCAGCACAGATGTTCACGGACATTGGTCTCTACTATGCGCCGGGTGCCGTGCTGCGCGGGGAGGAATTTGATGGGGTAGCGGCGGTGCAGCGCATGGAGAAGTGGCTCATTGAGAGCACTTCCTTCCATGTAGGTTGGTTTTGCTGGCAGCAGCACCTTGTTTCAGTTGGGGTGCTGGCAGCAACGGCTTCTTTCAGGTGGGTTGGTGGGACCACAGGCGGCAGGGCGACACGGCGAAAGGGGGAAGGGAGAGGGAGAGGGAGAAGGAGTTGGACGGCGTGGCTGCTGTACAGTGCATAGAAAAGTAGATTCGACCCAGACCCAGCTATTCTATATTCTATGGCTCATTGAAACCGCGTTCTTCCTGTTCCCTCCCCCCAATTCCCTCACCAGGCTCTGTATGCGGTCACAGAGCTGAACGAGAGGGACTTTTGGCGCATGTTTGATGCATCCCTTTATGCCGCGTGCCGGGAGAAGTACCAAGCAGTGGGCACTTTCATGAGCGTGTACTACAAGTCCAAGAAGGGGCGCAAGACAGAAGCTGAGGTGATGCAGGAGGAGAGGAAAGAGAAGGAAGTTGCCATTGCCGAGTCTGCTTAGGGTGCTGTGGTGCTGTGGTGCTGTGGTGGGGGTTCCGGTGTGGGTTGTTGGGAGTAGGGGGCGTGATGGAACGAGTATATAGCAGCGGGCACGTTCATGAGCGTGTATTACAAGTTGAAGAAGGGGCGCAAGACAGAAGCTGAGGTGATGCAGGAGGGTGGTGCAGGAGGAATGAAAGGAGAATAAAGTTGCCATTGCCGAGTCTGCGTAGGATGCTGTGGACAGTGTCATGTGGGGTGCAGGGAGGGGTGGGTGATGCAGGGAGGGGTGGGTGATGCAGGTAGGGGTGGGTGATGCAGGGAGGGGTGGGTGATGCAGGGAGGGGTGGGTGATGCAGGGAGGGGTGGGTGGTGCAGGAGTAACGCCAAGAGGAAGAGGTGCGTTGCCGAGGCTGTTTAGGGTGCCGGAGGGTGATTTCAGTGCTGTGGGCTGTGAGGTGGGGTGCCGGCAGGGGGTTGGGAGTTGGGGCTGGTGGTTTCACACTAACTTGGTGGATGTCGTAGTTAAGTGTGGCATAGGATTGAAGGACCTTAGTGCCGAAAGCATTTTTAACCAGGTGCTGAGGGGTGTGGAGTGATGAAGGACGTGCCATGATCGGATCGTCTATGCTCAGAATCAATTTGAAAATAGGGGTGCATGATTAGAATCAATGTCGCATTCGGTCTGGTTCGTCCATGGAGGTCTGCGTCTAGACTTGAAACCCAAGGAAGAAACCTGTGAATGGGTGGAGTGAGTGGAGTGGTGGTGGTCCGTGGACCTTTAGTGGGGGGGGTAGACCTGACCAGACCTTCAGTGCTGTAAAAGCGTACCTCTGTGATTAACTGTACATGGACAGCCACTGTCACTGTCAAGCTGCAGAAGCCCAGGCTGTGTTGAGAGGTTCAAGATGCGAGACTACCACCTTACCGTAGTTTGAACATAGCTGGTGGTGCAACAAGATGCAAGAGGCTCAAGCAAGCTGTATAACTGCTGGTGGCGGCGTGGGCAGCGGCGGGTGGAAGTTGTCAATGGTCCACACAAGGGCCCACTCGAGGTTGCACAACAGGTACGGTACTCTATACGTGCTCAGTGGACCAAATATAGCCGGGCAGAGGGGATCTGGTTGCATGGTTAGGCTGGGTTGAGGGGTTCAAGGTGTGAAACGAGGTTGAGGATGGCGGGTGGCGGGGTAGGGAGAGGAGGGTGGAAGGTGGTATTGGTCCACACGAGCGCCCACTTGACGTCGCACAGCAGGTACTCAGTCAACGCTCAGAGCGTATTCCTACGGCCCCGTATCAGGCAACCTCGTAGCAGATTTGCGTCGAACTGCACTAAAACGCATCCAACCGCAGTCGAACACACTGAAACGCATTTCACCACACGAAGCTAATACGAGGTGGATCTGACACGAGGTGTAGGAATACGCTCTCAGTGGACCAGCGATCGCCAATACAGAGGGTGTAGTTGCAGGGTTACGTTGGGTTGTTCGGGTCAAGGTGTGAGACTAGGTTCAGTATAGCGGGGGGTGGCGTGGGCAGCGGCGGGTGGAAGTTGGTCATGGTCCACACGAGCGCCCACTTGAGGTCGCACAGCAGGTACTTGAGCGCCTTGGTCCACCTCTCCTCCCGGTTGAAGCTCTGCTTCACTGTCAGCCCTTGGATCTTGTCACCTTCAATCCTGGATGGAGGGGAGGAAGGGGGTTTAAAAAGGGGATGAGGGGAGGGGAAGGGGAGCGCCTTGATCCATAGCTCCTCGCGTTTAGAACTCTGCTTCACCGTTAGCTAGCACCTGGATCTTGTTGCCCTTAATCCTGGAGAGGAGGGAGGAGGGGGGGAGGGGGGAGGAGGAAGGGGGAGCGACGACGGTGCATGAAGCAACGATGGTTAGGAAGAGTACGGATTTGCCAACACATGAACTAGGGGGAGCCTGAGAAAGTACGGACTGAAATAGACCTGCAAGGCTCAATTCTGACTCCTGCCTGGGGGGAAAGAATTTCCCAGACTGACACAAGAGCTTACCCACTGGTAGATTAGCTGCAAGGAGGTTGGAAGGACTGGCAGAACGAGACTGCCGACAAAAAGAGAGCAGAGCTGAAACTGTTCGTGCCCTACGAAGGATTAACGAGTTGACACTCACTTGTAGGGCAGCTGGAAGGACTTGCTGACTTTTGAGTCGACTCAAAAGGGTTAACGAGCTGACACTCACACGTAGGGCAGCTGGAAGGACTTGTCAGGCGGGACGTGGTTGGCATGATTGTGCTGTGCATGTTGGCAAAATCGTTTTTACATCCCCAAGTGTGGGTGAAGTATCTCCCAAACGCACACACAAGAGTACCTACGGGACCAGTCACCTGCTGCTGGTAGCAGCTCACTTGTAGGGCCACTCACTTGTAGGGCAGCTGGAAGGACTTGTCAGGCGGGACGTGGTTGGCGCGGTCGTGTGCGTTGGCAAAGGCAGCGAACTCTGTGAGCGCTTGCAGGAAGAGCAGCATGGCCCGGTCGTAGCGCGTGCTCCAAAACAGATTCACTGGACCGAAACTGGCATGGTGAGGGCGAGGGGAGGGGAGCAAAGTGGGTAAGGGGCCAGGGAACAACGTTAGAGAGGTGACTAGAAAAGAAGCATGTAGTCTGTGAGGGCGTGCAGGAAGAGCAGCATGGCTCGGTCGAGTCGTAGCGCGTGCTCCAACCAAGAACAGATTCACCAGGCCGAAACTGCAGTTCACGGGTTCAAGTGATGAGGTGGAAGGAGGGAAGGAGCCCCAAGACAGTGGATATGCTAATTTTAGGAAATTTGCTTAGCAGGTTGGATGGCAGGGGCGAATGCAGTTGTGGGACGAGGGGGGATGTGATAGCTAATGCGTATGGCATGGTGCATGTGTGCCTGCGTGTGCTATTCCAGCAGCAGTAACGCCCAGGTGTACTATGGTGCGAGAAGCGGCAGCAGCAGCAAAAGCAGCACATGGATGGCAAGAGCGGTAACCACAAATGCCACATACAGCTCAAACTGGTTGTGGCCGTCGGAAATTGTTGAGACGTCTCAAAAATAACCTCATTACAAGCAGCACATGGATGGCACGAGCGGTAACCACAAATGGCACATACAGCTCAAACTGGTTGTGGCCGTCGGAAATTGTTGAGACGTCTCAAACATAACCTCATTACAAGCAGCACATGGATGGCACGAGCGGTAACCACAAATGGCACATACAGCTCAAACTGGTTGTGACCATCGGAGATTCGAGGGAAGCTTCCCATGGGGATGATACGATGGCTGCACGGAACAGCAGAGAGTAGAAGTGATTGGAGATGCGATAAGGGCGGGTCCAACTTTGCACACTTCCGTTTTTTTTTTTTCGTAATTTTAACGTCAATGGTATCGTCAAATTGACTGTACCCAAAGGTGTACCCCGAACATTCCTTGTCAAGTTAACGAGTGTACACCTGTGCCGACTGACAAGGTACAATATTGATGAAATGTACAGAGCCATGGATGGGGTTACTGGATATCACAGGTGGTTTGGCGGCAGTCTCTCGCGCCTGTGGCGGAAGGGCGATTTTAATGACGAAAGTCATCTGGCGAAAAAAAAGAGTTTACTGTATGAAGTGTTTGACCTGAATAGAGGTCTGAAATGCATAGCCGGTCGAAATTCGGATGTGTGCCGCACGTTGCGGGGCACGTTTCCGAATTGTCATCAGTTATGTACAGTATCGCGTCAAACGCATGTGAGTACGTTTAAAGTTCTGTTACATGCGTACTTTAACTGTCTCGAAAAAAAATTGTACATGTGCAATTTTGGACCCGCCCTAAGTGCACGCAGATGAAGACAGGGGACATGGAAGATCGATGGGACGTACATGATTAGATTGCAGCGAGAGATGTGAAAAAAGGAGTGTTTTGAGACGTCTCAAAACATTAGATTGCAACGAGAGAGGGGGGGGGGAGGGAGGGGGAAGGGGTGGGGGCCCACGGGGACTTGAAGGAAAAGGCGGTGAGGTGGAAGGTGGAAAGGTGAGGAGAACCAGAGGTGCATTTCGTGGTGGTGGGCATTGCAAAATCGTGGGCAAGCAGAGGGAAAAGCATGTGGGTGGAGGGTGGAGGGTGCGTTACGCGACGGGGCAGTTGGCAATGCGGGCGAGTGTGAAGAGCAGATGGCACGCCTGCCCCCATGCTGCGTTCAGCTCCTCCCACTCCACCTGCGGTGCGGACACATCAGCGGGAAAAGAAAAGAAAGAAAGAAAGAAAGAAAGAAGGAAAAGAAAGAAAGAAAGAAAGAAACAAAACGGTGAGAGGGCAAACATCAGTGGGGGCCAGAAGGGATTGATCCATGGCGCGAAAAGAGGGTGTTATTGAGAATTCTCAGAAACACCCTGCATCACCATGATCGCAGGCCGAATGGAAAAGTGCTCACAGGCCGCGCTCACACTCACGGGCATGGAGGGCAGACGGCCAAGTCGCAGGATGTTGATGGTGCCTAAGTCCCCGTCATGCCAGATGTGGAAGGCGACGCAGGAGAATCTGCAGCTCCAGGCGCAGGAGAATCTGCAGCTCCAGGCGCAGGAGAATCTGCAGCTCCAGACGCGGGAGAATCTGCAGCTCCAGACGCGGGAGAATCTGCAGCTCCAGACGCAGGAGAATCTGCAGCTCCAGACGCAGGAGAATCTGCAGCTCCAGACGCGGGAGAATCTGCAGCTCCAGACGCGGGAGAATCTGCAGCTCCAGACGCGGGAGAATCTGCAGCTCCAGACGCAGGAGAATCTGCAGCTCCAGACGCGGGAGAATCTGCAGCTCCAGACGCAGGAGAATCTGCAGCTCCAGACGCGGGAGAATCTGCAGCTCCAGACGCAGGAGAATCTGCAGCTCCAGACGCAGGAGAATCTGCAGCTCCAGACGCGGGAGAATCTGCAGCTCCAGACGCGGGAGAATCTGCAGCTCCAGACGCGGGAGAATCTGCAGCTCCAGACGCGGGAGAATCTGCAGCTCCAGACGCGGGAGAATCTGCAGCTCCAGACGCGGGAGAATCTGCAGCTCCAGACGCAGGAGAATCTGCAGCTCCAGACGCGGGAGAATCTGCAGCTCCAGACGCAGGAGAATCTGCAGCTCCAGACGCGGGAGAATCTGCAGCTCCAGACGCGGGAGAATCTGCAGCTCCAGACGCGGGAGAATCTGCAGCTCCAGACGCGGGAGAATCTGCAGCTCCAGACGCGGGAGAATCTGCAGCTCCAGACGCGGGAGAATCTGCAGCTCCAGACGCAGGAGAATCTGCAGCTCCAGACGCAGGAGAATCTGCAGCTCCAGACGCGGGAGAATCTGCAGCTCCAGACGCAGGAGAATCTGCAGCTCCAGACGCGGGAGAATCTGCAGCTCCAGACGCGGGAGAATCTGCAGCTCCAGACGCGGGAGAATCTGCAGCTCCAGACGCGGGAGAATCTGCAGCTCCAGACGCGGGAGAATCTGCAGCTCCAGACGCAGGAGAATCTGCATCTCCAGACGCGGGAGAATCTGCAGCTCCAGGCGCAGGAGAATCTGCAGCTCCAGGCGCAGGAGAATCTGTAGCTCCAGACGCGGGAGAATCTGCAGCTCCAGGCGCAGGAGAATCTGCAGCTCCAGGCGCAGGAGAATCTGCAGCTCCAGACGCGGGAGAATCTGCAGCTCCAGACGCAGGAGAATCTGCAGCTCCAGGCGCAGGAGAATCTGCAGCTCCAGACGCGGGAGAATCTGCAGCTCCAGACGCGGGAGAATCTGCAGCTCCAGACGCGGGAGAATCTGCAGCTCCAGACGCGGGAGAATCTGCAGCTCCAGACGCGGGAGAATCTGCAGCTCCAGACGCAGGAGAATCTGCAGCTCCAGACGCAGGAGAATCTGCAGCTCCAGGCGCAGGAGAATCTGCAGCTCCAGACGCAGGAGAATCTGAAGCTCCAGACGCAGGAGAATCTGAAGCTCCAGACGCGGGAGAATCTGCAGCTCCAGACGCGGGAGAATCTGAAGCTCCAGACGCAGGAGAATCTGCAGCTCCAGACGCAGGAGAATCTGCAGCTCCAGACGAAGGAGAACCTGCAGCTCCAGACGAAGGAGAACCTGCAGCTCCAAGCGCAGGAGAACCTGCAGCTCCAGGCGCGGGAGAACCTGCAGCTCCAGGCGCAGGAGAATCTGCAGCTCCAGGCGCGGGAGAATCTGCAGCTCCAGACGCGGGAGAATCTGCAGCTCCAGACGCGGGAGAATCTGCAGCTCCAGACGCGGGAGAATCTGCAGCTCCAGACGCGGGAGAATCTGCAGCTCCAGACGCGGGAGAATCTGCAGCTCCAGACGCGGGAGAATCTGCAGCTCCAGACGCAGGAGAATCTGCAGCTCCAGACGCGGGAGAATCTGCAGCTCCAGACGCAGGAGAATCTGCAGCTCCAGACGCGGGAGAATCTGCAGCTCCAGACGCGGGAGAATCTGCAGCTCCAGACGCGGGAGAATCTGCAGCTCCAGACGCGGGAGAATCTGCAGCTCCAGACGCGGGAGAATCTGCAGCTCCAGACGCAGGAGAATCTGCATCTCCAGACGCAGGAGAATCTGCAGCTCCAGACGCGGGAGAATCTGCAGCTCCAGACGCGGGAGAATCTGCAGCTCCAGACGCAGGAGAATCTGCAGCTCCAGACGCGGGAGAATCTGCAGCTCCAGACGCAGGAGAATCTGCAGCTCCAGACGCGGGAGAATCTGCAGCTCCAGACGCAGGAGAATCTGCAGCTCCAGACGCGGGAGAATCTGCAGCTCCAGACGCAGGAGAATCTGCAGCTCCAGACGCAGGAGAATCTGCAGCTCCAGACGCGGGAGAATCTGCAGCTCCAGACGCGGGAGAATCTGCAGCTCCAGACGCGGGAGAATCTGCAGCTCCAGACGCGGGAGAATCTGCAGCTCCAGACGCGGGAGAATCTGCAGCTCCAGACGCGGGAGAATCTGCAGCTCCAGACGCAGGAGAATCTGCAGCTCCAGACGCGGGAGAATCTGCAGCTCCAGACGCAGGAGAATCTGCAGCTCCAGACGCGGGAGAATCTGCAGCTCCAGACGCGGGAGAATCTGCAGCTCCAGACGCGGGAGAATCTGCAGCTCCAGACGCGGGAGAATCTGCAGCTCCAGACGCGGGAGAATCTGCAGCTCCAGACGCGGGAGAATCTGCAGCTCCAGACGCAGGAGAATCTGCAGCTCCAGACGCAGGAGAATCTGCAGCTCCAGACGCGGGAGAATCTGCAGCTCCAGACGCAGGAGAATCTGCAGCTCCAGACGCGGGAGAATCTGCAGCTCCAGACGCGGGAGAATCTGCAGCTCCAGACGCGGGAGAATCTGCAGCTCCAGACGCGGGAGAATCTGCAGCTCCAGACGCGGGAGAATCTGCAGCTCCAGACGCAGGAGAATCTGCATCTCCAGACGCGGGAGAATCTGCAGCTCCAGGCGCAGGAGAATCTGCAGCTCCAGGCGCAGGAGAATCTGTAGCTCCAGACGCGGGAGAATCTGCAGCTCCAGGCGCAGGAGAATCTGCAGCTCCAGGCGCAGGAGAATCTGCAGCTCCAGACGCGGGAGAATCTGCAGCTCCAGACGCAGGAGAATCTGCAGCTCCAGGCGCAGGAGAATCTGCAGCTCCAGACGCGGGAGAATCTGCAGCTCCAGACGCGGGAGAATCTGCAGCTCCAGACGCGGGAGAATCTGCAGCTCCAGACGCGGGAGAATCTGCAGCTCCAGACGCGGGAGAATCTGCAGCTCCAGACGCAGGAGAATCTGCAGCTCCAGACGCAGGAGAATCTGCAGCTCCAGGCGCAGGAGAATCTGCAGCTCCAGACGCAGGAGAATCTGAAGCTCCAGACGCAGGAGAATCTGAAGCTCCAGACGCGGGAGAATCTGCAGCTCCAGACGCGGGAGAATCTGAAGCTCCAGACGCAGGAGAATCTGCAGCTCCAGACGCAGGAGAATCTGCAGCTCCAGACGAAGGAGAACCTGCAGCTCCAGACGAAGGAGAACCTGCAGCTCCAAGCGCAGGAGAACCTGCAGCTCCAGGCGCGGGAGAACCTGCAGCTCCAGGCGCAGGAGAATCTGCAGCTCCAGGCGCGGGAGAATCTGCAGCTCCAGACGCGGGAGAATCTGCAGCTCCAGACGCGGGAGAATCTGCAGCTCCAGACGCGGGAGAATCTGCAGCTCCAGACGCGGGAGAATCTGCAGCTCCAGACGCGGGAGAATCTGCAGCTCCAGGCGCGGGAGAATCTGCAGCTCCAGGCGCAGGAGAATCTGCAGCTCCAGGCGCAGGAGAATCTGCAGCTCCAGGCGCAGGAGAATCTGCAGCTCCAGGCGCAGGAGAATCTGCAGCTCCAGGCGCAGGAGAATCTGCAGCTCCAGGCGCAGGAGAATCTGCAGCTCCAGGCGCAGGAGAATCTGCAGCTCCAGACGCAGGAGAATCTGCAGCTCCAGACGCAGGAGAATCTGCAGCTCCAGATGCAGGAGAATCTGCAGCTCCAGACGCAGGAGAATCTGCAGCTCCAGACGCAGGAGAATCTGCAGCTCCAGGCGCAGGAGAATCTGCAGCTCCAGGCGCAGGAGAATCTGCAGCTCCAGGCGCAGGAGAATCTGCAGCTCCAGGCGCAGGAGAATCTGCAGCTCCAGGCGCAGGAGAATCTGCAGCTCCAGACGCAGGAGAATCTGCAGCTCCAGACACAGGAGAATCTGCAGCTCCAGACGCAGGAGAATCTGCAGCTCCAGACGCAGGAGAATCTGCAGCTCCAGACGCAGGAGAATCTGCAGCTCCAGACGCGGGAGAATCTGCAGCTCCAGACGCGGGAGAATCTGCAGCTCCAGACGCAGGAGAATCTGCAGCTCCAGACGCGGGAGAATCTGCAGCTCCAGGCGCAGGAGAATCTGCAGCTCCAGGCGCAGGAGAATCTGCAGCTCCAGGCGCAGGAGAATCTGCAGCTCCAGGCGCAGGAGAATCTGCAGCTCCAGACGCAGGAGAATCTGCAGCTCCAGACGCGGGAGAATCTGCAGCTCCAGACGCAGGAGAATCTGCAGCTCCAGACGCAGGAGAATCTGCAGCTCCAGACACGGGAGAATCTGCAGCTCCAGACGCAGGAGAATCTGCAGCTCCAGACGCAGGAGAATCTGCAGCTCCAGACGCAGGAGAATCTGCAGCTCCAGACGCGGGAGAATCTGCAGCTCCAGACGCAGGAGAATCTGCAGCTCCAGACGCAGGAGAATCTGCAGCTCCAGACACAGGAGAATCTGCAGCTCCAGACGCAGGAGAATCTGCAGCTCCAGACGCAGGAGAATCTGCAGCTCCAGACGCAGGAGAATCTGCAGCTCCAGACGCAGGAGAATCTGCAGCTCCAGACGCGGGAGAATCTGCAGCTCCAGACGCAGGAGAATCTGCAGCTCCAGACGCAGGAGAATCTGCAGCTCCAGACGCGGGAGAATCTGCAGCTCCAGACGCGGGAGAATCTGCAGCTCCAGACGCGGGAGAATCTGCAGCTCCAGGCGCAGGAGAATCTGCAGCTCCAGGCGCAGGAGAATCTGCAGCTCCAGACGCGGGAGAATCTGCAGCTCCAGACGCAGGAGAATCTGCAGCTCCAGACGCAGGAGAATCTGCAGCTCCAGACGCGGGAGAATCTGCAGCTCCAGACGCGGGAGAATCTGCAGCTCCAGACGCGGGAGAATCTGCAGCTCCAGACGCGGGAGAATCTGCAGCTCCAGACGCGGGAGAATCTGCAGCTCCAGACGCAGGAGAATCTGCAGCTCCAGACGCGGGAGAATCTGCAGCTCCAGACACAGGAGAATCTGCAGCTCCAGGCGCAGGAGAATCTGCAGCTCCAGGCGCAGGAGAATCTGCAGCTCCAGACGCGGGAGAATCTGCAGCTCCAGACGCAGGAGAATCTGCAGCTCCAGACGCAGGAGAATCTGCAGCTCCAGGCGCAGGAGAATCTGCAGCTCCAGACGCAGGAGAATCCGCAGCTCCAGGCGCAGGAGAATCTGCAGCTCCAGGCGCAGGAGAATCTGCAGCTCCAGGCGCAGGAGAATCTGCAGTTCCAGACGCAGGAGAATCTGCAGCTCCAGACGCAGGAGAATCTGCAGCTCCAGACGCAGGAGAATCTGCAGCTCCAGACGCAGGAGAATCTGCAGCTCCAGACGCAGGAGAATCTGCAGCTCCAGACGCAGGAGAATCTGCAGCTCCAGACGCGGGAGAATCTGCAGCTCCAGACGCGGGAGAATCTGCAGCTCCAGACGCGGGAGAATCTGCAGCTCCAGACGCGGGAGAATCTGCAGCTCCAGACGCGGGAGAATCTGCAGCTCCAGGCGCGGGAGAATCTGCAGCTCCAGGCGCGGGAGAATCTGCAGCTCCAGACGCAGGAGAATCTGCAGCTCCAGGCGCAGGAGAATCTGCAGCTCCAGGCGCAGGAGAATCTGCAGCTCCAGACGCAGGAGAATCTGCAGCTCCAGCCGCAGGAGAATCTGCAGCTCCAGACGCAGGAGAATCTGCAGCTCCAGACGCAGGAGAATCTGCAGCTCCAGACGCAGGAGAATCTGCAGCTCCAGACGCAGGAGAATCTGCAGCTCCAGACGCAGGAGAATCTGCAGCTCCAGACGCAGGAGAATCTGCAGCTCCAGGCGCAGGAGAATCTGCAGCTCCAGACGCGGGAGAATCTGCAGCTCCAGACGAAGGAGAATCTGCAGCTCCAGACGAAGGAGAACCTGCAGCTCCAGACGAAGGAGAATCTGTAGCTCCAGGCGCGGGAGAATCTGCAGCTCCAGACGCGGGAGAATCTGCAGCTCCAGACGCGGGAGAATCTGCAGCTCCAGACGCGGGAGAATCTGCAGCTTCAGACGCGGGAGAATCTGCAGCTCCAGACGCGGGAGAATCTGCAGCTCCAGACGCAGGAGAATCTGCAGCTCCAGGCGCAGGAGAATCTGCAGCTCCAGGCGCGGGAGAATCTGCAGCTCCAGGCGCGGGAGAATCTGCAGCTCCAGGCGCGGGAGAATCTGCAGCTCCAGGCGCGGGAGAATCTGCAGCTCCAGACGCGGGAGAATCTGCAGCTCCAGACGCGGGAGAATCTGCAGCTCCAGACGCAGGAGAATCTGCAGCTCCAGACGCGGGAGAATCTGCAGCTCCAGATGCGGGAGAATCTGCAGCTCCAGACGCGGGAGAATCTGCAGCTCCAGACGCGGGAGAATCTGCAGCTCCAGACGCGGGAGAATCTGCAGCTCCAGACGCGGGAGAATCTGCAGCTCCAGACGCGGGAGAATCTGCAGCTCCAGACGCGGGAGAATCTGCAGCTCCAGACGCGGGAGAATCTGCAGCTCCAGACGCAGGAGAATCTGCAGCTCCAGACGCAGGAGAATCTGCAGCTCCAGACGCAGGAGAATCTGCAGCTCCAGACGCAGGAGAATCTGCAGCTCCAGACGCAGGAGAATCTGCAGCTCCAGACGCAGGAGAATCTGCAGCTCCAGACGCGGGAGAATCTGCAGCTCCAGACGCGGGAGAATCTGCAGCTCCAGACGCGGGAGAATCTGCAGCTCCAGACGAAGGAGAATCTGCAGCTCCAGACGAAGGAGAATCTGCAGCTCCAGGCGCAGGAGAACCTGCAGCTCCAGGCGCGGGAGAATCTGCAGCTCCAGGCGCGGGAGAATCTGCAGCTCCAGACGCGGGAGAATCTGCAGCTCCAGACGCGGGAGAATCTGCAGATCCAGACCCGGGAGAATCTGCAGCTCCAGACGCAGGAGAATCTGCAGCTCCAGACGCAGGAGAATCTGCAGCTCCAGGCGCAGGAGAACTGCAGCTCCAGGCGCGGGAGAACTGCAGCTCCAGGCGCGGGAGAATCTGCAGCTCCAGACGCAGGAGAATCTGCAGCTCCAGACGCAGGAGAATCTGCAGCTCCAGACGCAGGAGAATCTGCAGCTCCAGACGCAGGAGAATCTGCAGCTCCAGACGCGGGAGAATCTGCAGCTCCAGACGCGGGAGAATCTGCAGCTCCAGACGCGGGAGAATCTGCAGCTCCAGACGCGGGAGAATCTGCAGCTCCAGGCGCAGGAGAATCTGCAGCTCCAGGCGCAGGAGAATCTGCAGCTCCAGGCGCAGGAGAATCTGCAGCTCCAGGCGCAGGAGAATCTGCAGCTCCAGACGCAGGAGAATCTGCAGCTCCAGACGCAGGAGAATCTGCAGCTCCAGACGCAGGAGAATCTGCAGCTCCAGACGCAGGAGAATCTGCAGCTCCAGACGCAGGAGAATCTGCAGCTCCAGACGCAGGAGAATCTGCAGCTCCAAACGCGGGAGAATCTGCAGCTCCAGACGCGGGAGAATCTGCAGCTCCAGACGCGGGAGAATCTGCAGCTCCAGACGCGGGAAAATCTGCAGCTCCATACGCAGGAGAATCTGCAGCTCCAGACGCAGGAGAATCTGCAGCTCCAGACGCGGGAGAATCTGCAGCTCCAGACGCGGGAGAATCTGCAGCTCCAGACGCAGGAGAATCTGCAGCTCCAGACGCAGGAGAATCTGCAGCTCCAGGCGCAGGAGAATCTGCAGCTCCAGGCGCAGGAGAATCTGCAGCTCCAGACGCAGGAGAATCTGCAGCTCCAGGCGCAGGAGAATCTGCAGCTCCAGGCGCAGGAGAATCTGCAGCTCCAGGCGCAGGAGAATCTGCAGCTCCAGGCGCAGGAGAATCTGCAGCTCCAGGCGCAGGAGAATCTGCAGCTCCAGACGCAGGAGAATCTGCAGCTCCAGACGCAGGAGAATCTGCAGCTCCAGACGCAGGAGAATCTGCAGCTCCAGACGCAGGAGAATCTGCAGCTCCAGACGCAGGAGAATCTGCAGCTCCAGACGCAGGAGAATCTGCAGCTCCAGACGCAGGAGAATCTGCAGCTCCAGACGCAGGAGAATCTGCAGCTCCAGACGCAGGAGAATCTGCAGCTCCAGACGCAGGAGAATCTGCAGCTCCAGACGCGGGAGAATCTGCAGCTCCAGACGCGGGAGAATCTGCAGCTCCAGACGCGGGAGAATCTGCAGCTCCAGACGCAGGAGAATCTGCAGCTCCAGACGCGGGAGAATCTGCAGCTCCAGACGCGGGAGAATCTGCAGCTCCAGACGCAGGAGAATCTGCAGCTCCAGACGCCGGAGAATCTGCAGCTCCAGACGCGGGAGAATCTGCAGCTCCAGACGCGGGAGAATCTGCAGCTCCAGACGCAGGAGAATCTGCAGCTCCAGACGCAGGAGAATCTGCAGCTCCAGACGCAGGAGAATCTGCAGCTCCAGACGCAGGAGAATCTGCAGCTCCAGGCGCAGGAGAATCTGCAGCTCCAGACGCAGGAAAATCTGCAGCTCCAGACGCGGGAGAATCTGCAGCTCCAGACGCGGGAGAATCTGCAGCTCCAGACGCGGGAGAATCTGCAGCTCCAGACGCAGGAGAATCTGCAGCTCCACACGCGGGAGAATCTGCAGCTCCAGACGCGGGAGAATCTGCAGCTCCAGACGCCGGAGAATCTGCAGCTCCAGACGCCGGAGAATCTGCAGCTCCAGACGCGGGAGAATCTGCAGCTCCAGACGCGGGAGAATCTGCAGCTCCAGACGCAGGAGAATCTGCAGCTCCAGACGCAGGAGAATCTGCAGCTCCAGACGCAGGAGAATCTGCAGCTCCAGACGCAGGAGAATCTGCAGCTCCAGACGCAGGAGAATCTGCAGCTCCAGACGCAGGAGAATCTGCAGCTCCAGACGCAGGAGAATCTGCAGCTCCAGACGCAGGAGAATCTGCAGCTCCAGACGCAGGAGAATCTGCAGCTCTAGACGCGGGAGAATCTGCAGCTCCAGACGCGGGAGAATCTGCAGCTCCAGACGCGGGAGAATCTGCAGCTCCAGACGCGGGAGAATCTGCAGCTCCAGACGCGGGAAATCTGCAGCTCCATACGCAGGAGAATCTGCAGCTCCAGACGCAGGAGAATCTGCAGCTCCAGACGCGGAGAATCTGCAGCTCCAGACGCGGGAGAATCTGCAGCTCCAGACGCAGGAGAATCTGCAGCTCCAGACGCAGGAGAATCTGCAGCTCCAGGCGCAGGAGAATCTGCAGCTCCAGGCGCAGGAGAATCTGCAGCTCCAGACGCAGGAGAATCTGCAGCTCCAGGCGCAGGAGAATCTGCAGCTCCAGGCGCAGGAGAATCTGCAGCTCCAGGCGCAGGAGAATCTGCAGCTCCAGACGTAGGAGAATCTGCAGTCCAGGCGCAGGAGAATCTGCAGCTCCAGACGCAGGAGAATCTGCAGCTCCAGACGCAGGAGAATCTGCAGCTCCAGACGCGGGAGAATCTGCAGCTCCAGACGCGGGAGAATCTGCAGCTCCAGACGCGGGAGAATCTTCAGCTCCAGACGCGGGAGAATCTTCAGCTCCAGACGCAGGAGAATCTGCAGCTCCAGACGCAGGAGAATCTGCAGCTCCAGACGCAGGAGAATCTGCAGCTCCAGACGCGGAGAATCTGCAGCTCCAGACGCGGGAGAATCTGCAGCTCCAGACGCAGGAGAATCTGCAGCTCCAGACGCAGGAGAATCCGCAGCTCCAGACGCAGGAGAATCCGCAGCTCCAGGCGCAGGAGAATCCGCAGCTCCAGGCGCAGGAGAATCCGCAGCTCCAGGCGCAGGAGAATCCGCAGCTCCAGGCGCAGGAGAATCTGCAGCTCCAGCCGCAGGAGAATCTGCAGCTCCAGCCGCAGGAGAATCTGCAGCTCCAGCCGCAGGAGAATCTGCAGCTCCAGACGCAGGAGAATCTGCAGCTCCAGACGCAGGAGAATCTGCAGCTCCAGACGCAGGAGAATCTGCAGCTCCAGACGCAGGAGAATCTGCAGCTCCAGACGCAGGAGAATCTGCAGCTCCAGACGCGGGAGAATCTGCAGCTCCAGACGCGGGAGAATCTGCAGCTCCAGACGCGGGAGAATCTGCAGCTCCAGACGCAGGAGAATCTGCAGCTCCACACGCGGGAGAATCTGCAGCTCCAGACGCGGGAGAATCTGCAGCTCCAGACGCAGGAGAATCTGCAGCTCCAGACGCCGGAGAATCTGCAGCTCCAGACGCGGGAGAATCTGCAGCTCCAGACGCGGGAGAATCTGCAGCTCCAGACGCAGGAGAATCTGCAGCTCCAGACGCAGGAGAATCTGCAGCTCCAGACGCAGGAGAATCTGCAGCTCCAGACGCAGGAGAATCTGCAGCTCCAGGCGCAGGAGAATCTGCAGCTCCAGACGCGGGAGAATCTGCAGCTCCAGGCGCGGGAGAATCTGCAGCTCCAGGCGCAGGAGAATCTGCAGCTCCAGGCGCAGGAGAATCTGCAGGTCCAGACGCAGGAGAATCTGCAGCTCCAGCCGCAGGAGAATCTGCAGCTCCAGACGCAGGAGAATCTGCAGCTCCAGACGCAGGAGAATCTGCAGCTCCAGACGCAGGAGAATCTGCAGCTCCAGACGCAGGAGAATCTGCAGCTCCAGACGCAGGAGAATCTGCAGCTCCAGACGCAGGAGAATCTGCAGCTCCAGGCGCAGGAAAATCTGCAGCTCCAGGCGCAGGAGAATCTGCAGCTCCAGACGCGGGAGAATCTGCAGCTCCAGACGCAGGAGAATCTGCAGCTCCAGGCGCAGGAGAATCTGCAGCTCCAGGCGCAGGAGAATCTGCAGTTCCAGACGCAGGAGAATCTGCAGCTCCAGACGCGGGAGAATCTGCAGCTCCAGACGCGGGAGAATCTGCAGCTCCAGACGCAGGAGAATCTGCAGCTCCAGACGCAGGAGAATCTGCAGCTCCAGACGCAGGAGAATCTGCAGCTCCAGACGCAGGAGAATCTGCAGCTCCAGACGCAGGAGAATCTGCAGCTCCAGACGCGGGAGAATCTGCAGCTCCAGACGCGGGAGAATCTGCAGCTCCAGACGCGGGAGAATCTGCAGCTCCAGACGCGGGAGAATCTGCAGCTCCAGACGCGGGAGAATCTGCAGCTCCAGACGCAGGAGAATCTGCAGCTCCAGACGCAGGAGAATCTGCAGCTCCAGACGCAGGAGAATCTGCAGCTCCAGACGCGGGAGAATCTGCAGCTCCAGACGCAGGAGAATCTGCAGCTCCAGACGCAGGAGAATCTGCAGCTCCAGGCGCAGGAGAATCTGCAGCTCCAGGCGCAGGAGAATCTGCAGCTCCAGACGCAGGAGAATCTGCAGCTCCAGGCGCAGGAGAATCTGCAGCTCCAGGCGCAGGAGAATCTGCAGCTCCAGGCGCAGGAGAATCTGCAGTTCCAGACGCAGGAGAATCTGCAGCTCCAGCGCAGGAGAATCTGCAGCTCCAGACGCAGGAGAATCTGCAGCTCCAGACGCAGGAGAATCTGCAGCTCCAGACGCAGGAGAATCTGCAGCTCCAGACGCAGGAGAATCTGCAGCTCCAGACGCAGGAGAATCTGCAGCTCCAGACGCAGGAGAATCTGCAGCTCCAGACGCGGGAGAATCTGCAGCTCCAGACGCGGGAGAATCTGCAGCTCCAGACGCAGGAGAATCTGCAGCTCCACACGCGGGAGAATCTGCAGCTCCAGACGCGGGAGAACCTGCAGCTCCAGACGCAGGAGAATCTGCAGCTCCAGACGCAGGAGAATCTGCAGCTCCAGACGCGGGAGAATCTGCAGCTCCAGACGCCGGAGAATCTGCAGCTCCAGACGCGGGAGAATCTGCAGCTCCAGACGCAGGAGAATCTGCAGCTCCAGACGCAGGAGAATCTGCAGCTCCAGACGCAGGAGAATCTGCAGCTCCAGGCGCAGGAGAATCTGCAGCTCCAGACGCGGGAGAATCTGCAGTTCCAGACGCAGGAGAATCTGCAGCTCCAGACGCAGGAGAATCTGCAGCTCCAGGCGCAGGAGAATCTGCAGCTCCAGACGCAGGAGAATCCGCAGCTCCAGGCGCAGGAGAATCTGCAGCTCCAGGCGCAGGAGAATCTGCAGCTCCAGGCGCAGGAGAATCTGCAGTTCCAGACGCAGGAGAATCTGCAGCTCCAGACGCAGGAGAATCTGCAGCTCCAGACGCAGGAGAATCTGGAGCTCCAGACGCAGGAGAATCTGCAGCTCCAGACGCAGGAGAATCTGCAGCTCCAGACGCAGGAGAATCTGCAGCTCCAGACGCAGGAGAATCTGCAGCTCCAGGCGCAGGAGAATCTGCAGCTCCAGGCGCAGGAGAATCTGCAGCTCCAGACGCAGGAGAATCCGCAGCTCCAGGCGCAGGAGAATCTGCAGCTCCAGGCGCAGGAGAATCTGCAGCTCCAGGCGCAGGAGAATCTGCAGTTCCAGACGCAGGAGAATCTGCAGCTCCAGCCGCAGGAGAATCTGCAGCTCCAGACGCAGGAGAATCTGCAGCTCCAGACGCAGGAGAATCTGCAGCTCCAGACGCAGGAGAATCTGCAGCTCCAGACGCAGGAGAATCTGCAGCTCCAGACGCAGGAAAATCTGCAGCTCCAGGCGCAGGAGAATCTGCAGCTCCAGACGCGGGAGAATCTGCAGCTCCAGACGCAGGAGAATCTGCAGCTCCAGGCGCAGGAGAATCTGCAGCTCCAGGCGCAGGAGAATCTGCAGTTCCAGACGCAGGAGAATCTGCAGCTCCAGACGCAGGAGAATCTGCAGCTCCAGACGCAGGAGAATCTGGAGCTCCAGACGCAGGAGAATCTGGAGCTCCAGACGCAGGAGAATCTGCAGCTCCAGACGCAGGAGAATCTGCAGCTCCAGACGCGGGAGAATCTGCAGCTCCAGACGCGGGAGAATCTGCAGCTCCAGACGCAGGAGAATCTGCAGCTCCAGACGCAGGAGAATCTGCAGCTCCAGACGCAGGAGAATCTGCAGCTCCAGGCGCAGGAGAATCTGCAGCTCCAGACGCAGGAAAATCTGCAGCTCCAGACACCGGAGAATCTGCAGCTCCAGACGCAGGAGAATCTGCAGCTCCAGACGCAGGAGAATCTGCAGCTCCAGACGCGGGAGAATCTGCAGCTCCAGCCGCGGGAGAATCTGCAGCTCCAGACGCAGGAGAATCTGCAGCTCCAGACGCAGGAGAATCTGCAGCTCCAGGCGCAGGAGAATCTGCAGCTCCAGACGCAGGAGAATCTGCAGCTCCAGACACCGGAGAATCACCACAGCACAACACAACACACTACACCACACCACACCACACCACACCACACCACACTCACGGGAACAGAGGGCAGGCGGCCAAGGCGCAGGTTGTTGATGGTGCCGAAGTCCCCGTCATGCCAGATGTGGAAGGCATCGTTCAAAACGAAGCTGCGCCTCAACGCGTCCGACTGCGCTGCCGCTGCCTCTATAGACGCTAGTAGCCCGTCCCTTGCCTCCTGCAATTCAATGGGAACCCAAGAAGCGGGAAGTAGCAGGTCGACGTAGGTGCTATTTTCTCAACGGCCAAGACGTTGCCGAGTCAAAGGTCGGCCAGGATGGGTGGAGGGGACAGCAATGGTGGCGGGAGGGGACAGCAATGGTGGTGGGATGGGGACAGCAATGGTGGCGGGAGGGGACAGCAATGGTGGCGGGAGGGGACAGCAATGGTGGCGGGAGGGGACAGCAATGGTGGCGGGAGGGGACAGCAATGGTGGCGGGAGGGGACAGCAATGGTGGCGGGAGGGGACAGCAATGGTGGTGTGGTGGGACACCACAGTTAAAAACGGACAGGTGTTTAACATCTGAAACGCCTCCTAGTGCCATTTCTGAGGGGCCTCAAAATAGTGCCAGCAAAGGACTTGGTGCGTTTCACATGAAGCAGCCCACCTGATAGCCGCTTGACCACCTGGGACACCTGAACCTTATCCTGAGCGCCCCACCTGGAGTACCAACCTGGTGCACGGATACTTGGTACTGAAACTCGTTGAACTCGTGCCAGTACCTGCCAAGGGGAAGGGGGGACGGACAGGAAAGGAGAGCGAAGGCGGAGGGCTTTGCTGGGTTGTGTGAGTCAGCTGGGCTCATGAGCCGGAAATCCGACAGTGCCACATGGTGCAAATCGGAAACGTTTTCTTACGCTACTCAAGACTGACTCCAATCCAATGTAGCTCGGCTGTGTGAGTCAGCTGGGATGTGTTATCAAAAACACATGCCAGATATGTTGAGTTTACTTTTGAGAAATTTCAAAAGTAAAATCAACTCAACTAAAATGTATTATCATACACATATGCCAAATGGTGCAAAGCACAGTCCTTTGAAGCTGGATTTGAGGGGGAGAGAAAAGGTCCCCTCCCCACCTTCCTTCCCCTCCTGTCTTTCCCACGTCCTCCTTCTCTACACTACCTCCCCATCCACCCATTCCCAAGCCCTTAATTTCCGCCCGCACCTCTCCTCAGCAGCATCCAGCTCAGCCTGTTCCGCCTCCACCTCCCCCAATTGCGCCCTCAGGTGTGTTTTGAGTCAACTAAAACCATCCTGCCCTACCCTACGCACCTCTCCTCAGCAGTGTCCAGCTCAGCCTGTTCCGCCTCCACCTCCCCCAGTTGCGCCCTCAGCTGCGCCCTCTGCTGCTCCAACTCCTCCGCCTCCTCCTGCAGCCGCCGCTCCTCCTCCTCCACCTGTTGCCGTGGCATGCCATGGCAGGGACGGGATGGGATGATGGCATGGGATGGGATGATGGCATGGGATGATGGCATGGGATGGGATGGTATGGTATGCATATGACATGGCATGGGATGGGATGGTAAGCATATGACATGGGCGATTAATCTCAGGGTAGGGTGTGACTTAGGTTGGAGTACAGTCCACGGAATGAGCATGAAGCGTGGCAGGGAGAACAAGAGTCCCAGACGCCTCACCCTTGGGCGCCCTCACCCTCACCCTTGGGCGCCCTCACCCTCACCCTTGGGCGCCCTCACCCTCACCCTCACCCTCACCCTCACCCTCACCCTCACCCTCACCCTCACCCTCACCCTCACCCTTCACCTCTGAAGCGTGACAGGGAAAGAAAGGGACGCCTCACCTCGGCCATGTGCTGCCTGAATGCGTCCTCCCCCATGGGCGCCCCACCGGCAGCAGTGCCAGTGGGGGCGAACGCAGTATTTGCATGGTTGACCGGGAAGGGAAGGTGCGAGGCAGAGGAGAAGGAGGAGGAGGGGAAGGCGGAGGAAAGAGAGGGGGAAGTGGCGAGAATGGAGTGCAGCGCTGCTTCGTATGCTGCTATCTCCTCCTCTGCCTCCCTCACCTGTGCGCACGCATGGGGTGGACGCATGGAGGGGTGGATGGACGCATGGAGGGGTGGATGGATGGATGGATGGATGGATGGATGGATGGATGGATGGATGGATGGATGGATGGATGGATGGATGGATGGATGGATGGATGGATGGATGGATGGATGGATGGATGGATGGATGGATGGATGGATGGATGGATGGGATGGATGGATGGATGGATGGATGGATGGATGGATGGATGGATGGATGGATGGATGGATGGATGGATGGATGGATGGATGGATGGATGGATGGATGGATGGATGGATGGATGAATGGATGGATGGATGGATGGATGGATGGATGGACGAATGTGAGAGAACACATACACGGATGCACACATGCGCACAGCAGTGATCGCACATGCGCACACTCCATGCCTGCAGCGCATCCTTGATCGCATCCTTGATCACATCCATGCACATCAATCTCACCCTCACCTAGGAATCAGCTTCGCCAACTGCACCTCTCCTCATCACACCACACCACCTCACCACACTGCACTGCCCCTCACCTGGGAGTCGATCTCTTGGCAGACGTGGTGGGCGCAGTGGCAGCAGAGGGGCATCTCCACCTTGGTCCTCAGAGCCACCAGGTCAAACACTCGATCCACCGCCTCTATCTGCCCCGCCAGTCCCCCGGTCCCAGTCCCAGCCTGCACCACCCTTGCCTGCCGCTCACCGCCTCTTTCTTTGACTTTCAGCTGCTGCTGCTTCTGTTGTTGTGGTTGTTCTTGTTGCTGCTGATTCTGCTGTTTTTGCTCTTGCTGGTTACCACTCTCGCCACTATCTTTCGCGCCATCATTTCGTTCCTCCTCTCCATCACCTCCTCTTTCTGGCACTCCTATCTTACCATCCCCTCTTTCACCTCCCCCTCCACACTCGCTCTCCTTCCCGCCTCCACACTCCCTCTCCCACCCTCCTCCACAATCCCTCCTCTCTCTCTCTCTTCATCAGCAACAGAACCCTCTGAACCGTTCCCCCCCCTCACAGGCTGCACCTGCTCCGAACCTGAGCTCTCGCCTCGGTGAGTCAGGCATTCCGAGGCAGAGGGCGGAGTGGCATCATCACCAAACGCACCAGCAGCAGCAGCAGCAGCAGCAGCAGCGCCAGCTGCAGAGGCAGCAGCAGTGAGAGCTACGGCTGCTGCAACCTCTCCTTGTGACACCATCGGAGATGGGGATGGCGCAGAGACCCTGGATTGGGCAGAAGCAGCAGCAGCGGCAGCAGCAGCAGCAGCAGCAGCGTGTGAGGCAGGAGGGATAGCAGCAGGAGCAGCAGCGTCAACAGCAGCACCGAAAATGGTGGGCGGCAAGGGGAAGGGGTGGGTGTGGGGCGAGGGGCGGGCGAGCGAGGAGGAGGGCGCGTGGGACGGGGCAGGAGCGGCGTACACAGAGGCAGCCGAGCCAGGCAGCACCACAAACGACTCGTCCAGACGGGCGGGGGGCGCTGGAGGGGCGCAGGGGAGGGGCGCAGGGGAGACGAGTAGCGATGGTGAGGTAGGTGAGAAACAAAGGAGAAAAAGAGGGAGAGGTGAAGCGTGTTACCAGCAGAACAAACAGATGCGAAATGCAACACGGGGGCAGTGCAGTGCAGTGCAGTGTAGTGCAGTGCAGTGCAGTGCAGTGCAGTGCAGTGCAGTGTAGCGCAGTGCAGTGCAGTGCAGTGCAGTGCAGTGCAGTGTAGCGCAGTGTAGTGCAGTGTAGTGCAGTGTAGTGTTTCCTCCCACCTTCACTTGCACTCACAGTGAGAGTCTCTCTCAATTCCTCTTACACATGTAAAACACTAGTGATCGCCGCACTCTCCCCTCGCTGCACTCTCCCCTCGCTGCACTCACCCCTCGCTGCACTCACCCCTCGCTGCACTCACCCCTCGCTGCACTCTCCCCTCGCTGCACTCACCCCTGCGACCCGAGGGCGACTGGAATGCCGCATGTGATTGGACGGCCACGTGTCCCCCAACGGTTGGCAGAAGCGCGGCTCTGATTGGTGGCGGCTGATGCTGCTGCAGATGAAACTGCGATTGAGATTGGCTCTGAGGCTGAATCTCAGCCACCGATCGTCCCTGCTGCGGATGCGGTTGGGTCTGATCCTGCGGCTGCGGCTGCAGCTGCTGCTCTTCCGGGATGGACGCCGGGTTTGACGCACTAGCTGAGCCCGCAGCGGGAGACGCGGCGGCAGAAGGAACAGCACCGGGACTCGCAGAGAAAGTATTGCCTATAGGAGGACGCGGAATCGACGGCGGAGCACTGAGCGCAGAGTTAGTCGACGGTCGGATCGCCCCGGTAGTGGCTCCATGACGAGGCGCGTGAGAGGTGCCGTAAGACGCGCCGTGAAACGCGGAGGAGTTAGGCGGCAGGACGACGAAGGATTGATCCAAAATCGACGCGGAATTCGCGCCGTGCGGCGCGCCGCATCGCGACGCGCCCAGCGCGTCCGCCGCTGATTGGCTGAGCGAGGACGCGAGGTCATCCAGCCCTGTGACCTCGAGCCGCGTGCCACACCTCTGACACAACCACCGCGGCGACGGCGCCGCGTTTGCTGCCATGTTTAAAATCCCAAGAAAAAAAATTCGACCACACGGAATCGCACTGAACCGGATCAGAGGCCGTCAAGCCCTGAAGTGTCAAGTCAAGTGAACCCGTCGAGAAGGGCCGTGAAACCCTGAGGAGTTGAAGAGTTAAAAGAGCCTAGGACTTGCCGAGGCCGTGTCTCCTTGAATAGTTAAAAGAGCCTCGGACTTGACGAGACCGTCGCGCGTTGAAAGAGCCTAGGAGTTGACGAGGTCGCGACTCGCGACGTTGTGGACGGACGAGACACGCGGCTCCACCGGGATTGCCGATTGGGAGACGATCTACAGTAACGGACGACTGCTACGCGCCCGCGAGGGTCGCTGAGACTGGCGAGACTCACCGCGCGTTCTAAAGCCGCAAGCATGCGCGAAAGGCTTCTAAGCTGACCTGGTGGTTGTGCGCTCACTGCCCAATACTCGATACAGTAGTCACGAGCAACTGCGCACGCTTGCTCGTCACGTCACTGCTTGGCTCTGCTCATGCATTGTGTGTGCATTACTGCTGTCAGCCCCGCATTTTTTTTTTTTTTCAATAATAAAACATTCCACAAACGGGATGGAGGCACTATCTGTTACAATGTAGCATAATTACGCAAGGAAAAGGAGTGGAAACGGGAAGAGAGGAGAAAAGGAGGAATAACGTGAGTAGAAAAAAGGAGAGAGGAAGAAAGAAGGAAGGGAGTAGGGGAAAAATGATAGGAGGAAGAAAAACAGGGAAGAAGGAAGAAAAAGTAGCACACACAACCCCAAGAAAACCCCAATAGCACACACATTTAAAACACCATCAAGCCCTCCCATCAAAGCACCCCAACTGCACTCCCATCGAACCAAACCTCCCCCCCTAAACCCACTCCCTAAACCCGCATGTCTACCAAGTATGGTGCATCCGCCCACGGAGCATCCCATCCCATCTCCTCCTCAACATCCTCCCGCTCCACCCAAACATTTTCCTGAACCATATCAGGCGGGTCCCATCTGGTCTGACCGTTTGTTGCTTGAGACGATGCGATATAATGTCGCTCGCTTCAACGAAGCGGGATTGGTTTCGTATGTGCAATACACTCTTTACGCCACAAAAAAGTTAGTATGTACTTCAACACATTTCACCAGTATTGCTATGTAAATACAAAGGAAGTGCCAGGTTTCCTCCTTCCAGTCCAGTACGCGTTCCAAAAATCTGCCGGCATATGCATTCTTAACTGAAAAGGATCGACATAAAGATAATTGCTAAAAACGTGTAGAGGTCATGACTGTGTTGCCGTATATTTGTTGTTCCTTTACTAGGAGGCCAAAACGGGACGACGGGCGGTGCAGAGCTGCTCACGGCTGCAAATCCTGGCATTCCCGCATCTCTGGTGGCGGGTGTTGGTGGCAGATTTCTAGTCGGATTTGACTCCATTGGCGTTTGAGAATTTGACCCAACCGCAGTTGGTACGGTCGGCACAGCGAGTGGTGTTCGAGTCGCCGCATTAGGAGTATCAGGAGCAGTAGGGTTCGAATTAGGGATAGGATTAGGGGTGGCAGTAGGCTTAGGAGTGGCAATAGGATGAGGAGTGGGGGTGGGAGATGCAAGGGGAGGTCTAGTAGGCACTGGTTGGGGGGTGGGAGGGGCAAGAGGGGTAGGCGCTACTTTGGGCAAAGGGGCGGGTGTGGAGGCTGGGGAAGACGAGGGAGCAGGGGCAGGCGGGTTGGGCGACGGGGCAGGTGGGACTACAGGGGTGACAGGAAGGGGTGCTGATGCTGGTGCTACTGTGGGTGCTGGTAGTGGTGTTGGGATTGATGTTGGTATTCGTGTTGGTGTTGGTGTTGGCACTGATGCGGGCGCCGTTGGCGTTTGGGGAGGGACCACAAGCGCTGGCAGATGGGAATGAGCGGGTGCAGAGGGGGCTGGTAACGAGGGGGTAGCGACGGGAGGAAGCAGCTTGGGGCGAGGATCTGGCAAGAGAGGAGGAGGCAGAGGAGGGAGCGAAACCTGTTGAGGTGAGAAAAGGGAAAAAACGAAATGGGAAAAAATGGGAAAGAGAAGGTTGGTGAAGTCCATGAAAACACGGTTTTTAGAAGAAACTCCTGCATATGCTGCTCCTGCTCATGCTGATGCTGATAAGCGGTGGATGCAAGGGCAGCACAAAGGGTCAGAAACACATGAACTGCCAACGAACTGCCACGTTTGAGCGGTGAGTGAGAGGCACATGGGGTGTGCGCTAGGGGTGCGTGAGTGGCATATGCTAGCCATAGAATCCAAAAATAAGTAACAAGGCACAGCAACTCACAGGCAGCGACGGGCGCGGACGGTCGCACGGGCACGGGACTCGCATGTGGATGTGGATGTGGATGTGCATCTGAATGAGCATCTGAATGTGTATGGACGTATGCAAGCAGAAAACAGTGGGAGGAGGAGGATCGTGCATGGGCAGTGGGCACGGCACTCACAGAAGCAGGGGGCAGTTTAGCCGAGGCAGATGGCACGGTGTCAGAGGCTGGCTGTTTCTCCACTGGATTTGCTGCTGCTGGCCCTCTCCTCCCACCTGTCACATAGCCATCTGTCACATTCCCATTCGTGTCATTGCCACGTGTCGCATTCCCATGTTTCACATCCCCATGTGTCACATTCCCATTTGTCACATCCCCATGTGTCACATTCCCCTTCGTCACATTGCCAGTTCTGCCACCATCAGTACCATCACTACCACCACTATCACCGCTGCCACTGCCCCCATCACCGCTACTGCCATTAGCCCCACTGCTTTCATTCTGCCTGTCCCCCCCACCCCCACTGCTCCTTCCCCCAGGCTCATACGGGTGCTCAGGGTCTCGCCCCTTCATCCTCTTGATCCCCGAACCTGTCGAGCCATCAGGCTTGGAAGGACTCGGCTTAGGCTCGGATGGACTGTCTCCTGGCTCGGAAGAGCCCCCCACAGGCTTTGAAAGGCCAGGCTCGGTATCAGAACGGCCCGGTTCAGGCTCGGACGTGTTTTGTCCAGGCTTGAACGACTTGGGACCAGGCTCGGCAGCAGGTTCAGACGGGTTGTTTGCGGGTTTAGACCCAGTGTTTGGGCTTCTACTGGAGTTACCCGTTTTGTTGGAAAGAGGCTCTGAGGCAGGCGGAGGGAGGTCAGATGCTGGTGGCTCCTTTGCCGGGACGTGCTTGTTGGGGGTCTGCTTAAAAGGGGACTGTTTCTTTGCATGGGACTTGCGAGGGGAACGGCTGTTGGAATCAGAGGGCTTGGCAGGGAGCTTCGCAGGAGTGTCGAAAGTGTGGTTGGGTGTGGATGAGGCGGGAAGCTTGGATGGGGAAGGAGGGGGAAGGGAGGGAGCAGCAGGGGAGGGAAGGAGGGGCGATGCTGGGGGGGACTTGACTGGGGAAGGCTTTGAAGGGGGGGATGATTGCTGCGGGGGGGCCTTATAAGGGGGAGCTTTGGAGGGCGGGGCTTTGGAGGGCGGGGCTTTGGACGGGGGTGCTTTGGCGGAAGTGTTTCTGGCGGAAGTGTCTTTGGCAGAAGGGTCTGTAGAAGGAGGAGGTACAGACGGAGGAGATCTGGGAAGAGATTTTGGAGGAGGAGACTTGGAGGGAGGAGACTTGGAGGGAGAGGCTTTGGTGGGCGGTGATTTTGATTTCGTTGAGTTGGCGGATGGTGCCTTATCCCTTGGTGGTTGCTGCTGCGAGGGCTGCTTGCGAGGGGATGAGCCGGAGGGCACAGGCGAGGTGGTGGGGGGCGACTTGAGAGGCGGAGGCGAGGGCTTGGAGGGAGGAGCGCTGGAGAGGGGAGGGGTGGAGGGCGTGCGGACTGGGGGCGTGGGTATGGCGGGGCTGGCTGATGCTTCTCTGTGAATGGGGTGCAGTGGGGTGGGGTGGGGTGGGACGGGATGGGATGGGAGGAGAACGAAGGCAGGGAGAGGGGGAAGTGAGAAGGCACGACAAAAGAATGAGTGACGAGCGGAGCCGGTGACATTCTCCATTGAATCCCCGTGCATCTACTTTTGAGTCGTCTCAAAACTTAACAAAGCTGGAGCACCGCCAATTTCCATTCACGCACCCATCCTTTGCAGTTCCTAGCATCCCACAGCACCGCCCCCCATCTCACTTAAGCAGGGCCTTGACTTGTGGTGAGAAGCAGCCTGATCATGCCTTGACCATGCCACACACCGCCACACTCCCACGTCAGCATGTCACAGTCCCATGTCAGCTTGTCACAGACCCACGTCAGCATGTCACAGACCCGCGTCAGCATGTCACAGACCCGCGTCAGCATGTCACAGACCCACCTCACTCCTGCAACCAGCCTTGGCAGTCCCCTGGTATCCCACCAGCACTGCCCCCCGTCTCACTTGAGCATGGTCTTCACTTGCGGTGAGAAACACCCCGACCATGCCTTGTAGCCCGCGGCTGACAGATGCAGGTAGCGGAAGGAGTCCTGTGGGGGGTAAGGGACGGAGTGCAGTGCGGTGGGGAGGGGTGAAAAGGAGGAGCAGAGCCATGGGGGGCATGGAAGGGGAAGACAGGCAGAGCATGCCTTGTAGCCCACAGCTGACAGGTGCAGGTAGCGGAAGGAGTCCTGTGGGGGCAGGGCACGCAGTGCAGACAAGCGGGAGGAAAATGAGGATGGGGAAGGGGAGGGAGGGAGGCAGGGACATGAAGGGGAAGACAGGCAGAGCATGCCTCGTAGCCCACGGCTGAGAGGTGCAGGTAGCGGAAGGAGTCCCGTGGGGGCAGGGCACGCAGTGCAGCGCGGCAAGAGGGAAGAGGAGGGGTTTCGTGGGGGTGGGAGACGGGTGGTGGCCTAGGCATGGCTGACATAAACGGCAGAGGAACATACCATGCCTTGCGACCTGCAGCTGAGAGATGAACGCAGGTAGCGCAAGGGGTGCTGTGGGGAAGCATGCAGTGCAGTAGGGAGGGGTGGGGTGGGGTGGGCGAGGGGAGAGTGGCGGGTGCTCATTGCCAGCAGGAACAAGAACTGAACGCTCAAAACTCACAGGTGCGTAGGCGGCAGCATTGATTGAGCCTCCTGGGTTGGTGAATGCAGATGAGCAGTCGAGGAACGAGACCCCGTCCACTGACGGGGCGCAACAATGGAGGGAAACGGGCAACAGGAGGGAGAGGAGGGGGAGGGGAGTGAGAAGAGAGGGATATGCAGGAGATACTGTACTTATGCTGGCCGTGTTCTGAGGCAACTCAAGTTTCTTTCCTGCAACAAGCAATTCAAAGAGCTTGCAGCGGGCTTATTGGCAATGCAGCTGCCAGCCACGAATCAGCAAGTGCCACGTCATACTTAGGTCCTACCTGATTGGAGAGCCGAGGCGAGGATGACATTAACTTGAGCCGGCACAGGGTCAGGCAGTGACGCATTCTTGCTCGTGGCCGCCTGAAACGGTGGGCCAGGAGAGACCAACAGAAGAGCGACGATTTGTCAGAAACACCACAAATGATGACTCGTGAGGGCTCATGACACGATGGGCCACACGAGTGAGCACGTCACTCGATGGGCCACAAAACAAACACGGGAAAACGCGGTGATGGCATAGTGCTACGCATGATGAATGAGCAGAGGCACCAGTGCGCCGCTCTCACCTCGGGCAGCAGCCCCAGCACGGCGCTCTCACCTCGGGCAGCAGCCCCAGCACGGCGCTCTCACCTCGGGCAGCAGCCCCAGCACGAGCACAGAGGTGGAGGGGTGTGCCTTGCGCACACTCACTGCCAACGATGCCACCTGGACGCGGGCAGGGATGCACCGGGGGTGTGGGAAACGATGGGAGAGGATGAAGTGTGAGGGGAGATGGAAAAGTGAAAGGGGCATCCTTCCACTCAGACCCAACGTAGTAGCGGTTCTTCCTAGCGAGCCACTCTTCCCAGCGAGCCGCTCTTCCCAGTGAGAGGCGTGTGACTTCAAGAGGCGCTTGGTTGCAAGCAAACAACCAAGCACCACCTTGCTGGTGGCATACCTTGCTCACTCAACACTCATCCCTGCACCCCGTCACTCGAATCCCTGCACCATCATTCAACACTCATCACTGCACCATCACTCAACACTCATCACCGCACCATCACTCAACACTCATCACCGCACCATCACTCAACACTCTTCATTGCACCATCTTTACACGGTGGTGGTGCAGTGAGGAGTGTTGAGTGATGGTGCAGTGAGGAGTGTTGAGTGATGGTGCAGTGAGGAGTGTTGAGTGATGGTGCAGTGAGGAGTGTTGAGTGATGGTGCGGTGAGGAGTGTTGAGTGACGGTGCAGTGAGGAGTGTTGAGTGATGGTGCGGTGAGGAGTGTTGAGTGATGGTGCAGTGAGGAGTGTTGAGTGACGGTGCAGTGAGGAGTGTTGAGTGGCATCAAAAGGCATGTGGATTCAACAGACGCGTGGCTCCATGCGTACCTTGCTAGCCGTGGTGGCGGCGCTGGTTCTCCGCTGCAGCACGTCGTTGATACCCACACACACCACTGCCACCCGCAGCTGCAGCGATGGGGGGAACTCGCCGCTCTGCACATTGATTGACAAGGAGGAGGAGGAGGAAAATCAGAAGCATAGGAGACGACATTTGAGTTGACTCGAGTCAACTGCAGCACGTCGTTGATGCCTGCACATCCGGACCGTACTGACACCTTCACAAGTTCACGCAATCTCAGATTCACACACGCACGCACGCACGCACATGACGGTCAGCGCACCTCCATTCTCTCGCGCACGTCGTCCACAGTGTCGCCTGCGATGCCGAACGCCTGCACGACCGTCGCACCCACCGCCGCCTTCACCGACTCGAACACGCCCCTGGCGTGGACCAGCGGACGAGAGGTAAAAGAAAACAGGAAAACGGACAAGTGAGTAAAGAGGATTAGCGGGTACGAGCGGAAGAAAGGAAGATAGGAAAAGGGGGGCGGATGGGACGCTTGGAGTGAGGTGAGGAAAGCATCTCGCTGAATAAAGTTGTGAGATGTTTTAGAACAGTGACGGCAATGGGTGAAGGATGAAAATCCTGCTCGCATTCGCTGCGACTTGCCAGCACGATCAAGAGACAGACTCGCTTCTAGACAAACGAGGGCAAGCTATCACTGAGAATTTCACCGCTCGCTGCGACGATCTGTGCGACATACGACGATGACGACGACTATCCGGAGGCTGTGCGACTGCGACCGGGCGACAAAGGGACTGACCTCACGCCCGCGTAGAGACCGGTTGACGCTCCCTTGAACGTGCCGAGCCAGCCCTGTCCAAGTGGAAGCGACAAACACGGGGGATGCCGAGAAACCAGCGCGATTGAGCGTGCTACCATGAAAAGTCTATGCTTGTAACAAACTTCTCAAAAGTGATACACACTCTACGAGACGATTTCGTCAGACCATGAACTGTGCTGCGAGGTCTCGGCTCTCGTCACGAGAACCGTCATGGCTGCAACTCCCGGCTCGCCAATGATTCAAGATTCGACTGGCAGGTCGCAATCATCACTGCCTCGATCTCTACGGCCGCCCTGCAGCGTACCTCTGTGAGCGAATCGCCGTAAAAGATGACGTCAGCTGACGGCAGCAGATCGGCGGTTCTAGAGTACTTGTTGTGCAGCGCGGTCCACGTGGCGTCGTGCGGCTTCACTGCTGAAGATTTCGTCGCCGATGCTGCAGGGAGCACGACAGGCGACTCATCAGACGACTGTTCTGACGACTGTTCTGACGACTGTTCTAACGACTGTTCTGACGACTGTTGTGACGACTGTTCTAACGACTGTTCTGCCGACTGTTCTAGCGACTGTCCCGACGACTGTTCTAGCCACTGCTTTGTTGTCAGACTTAACGACTGTTGTGACGACTGTCTTGGCGACTCTTCCGGCGACTGTCGTAACGACTGATCAGTCGCCAGTACAACAGAGGACTGCACAGATGATAGCTGAGTCGACGCCGCGGGCTCCACGCCTAGAGCCGGACGCAGCAGCACGCGCTGCGCTGCCGCGGAGGTCGGCGTCGCGCCGGGGAACAAGGATGGGATTGAGCCGTCGAAGGGGTTACTGACAAGGTCGAGCAGTCTTCTAACGCGTCGCTTGGGAGAAACATGAATCGACTCTGCTGTTGCAGGACTGAGAGTGAGTGAGGAGATTGTGAGGGAGAGAGTTATGCTGAACACGATAAGCGGCGTGGAGACGACGCGCGGCTGCAATTGTCGAGCCATGGTGACGCGACGAGTTGGTTCGTGGACCATTCGGTGCTTCGTCCTGCTACCGATCTAGTTTTAGTGATGCTTCAACAATGATATCGAAGGCATAAGCGATGTTGTATGACGGTCGGCTTTATGAGGCATGCTACTAGAGGCAATGGAGGCTTGTTCATCGGACAGAGTAAAGTCTTAAATTTTGTCAGGAGCGAACCTTCGACTTTGCTTTAGCTTTCTCGTAATCTGGGACGAGAACGGTAGGCTAGTCTGAAAACTCTGTGCTGAACAGGCGGAATTGGCTAAGGGTCAAGGTAAGGTCAATGCTGGTCTTGTTGCTGGAGACATAAGAAATTCAGAGAGGTACAAGGCTCGGTCCAGGTTTACAAGCCTTCGTAACTCGAGAAGAATGATGAGTAAAGCCGAAAGCGTATATGTCACCGAACAATTACTATCCAGAGGCGAGGAGAAGAATCAGTGCCAGATTACCCGAATAGCCTGTTTTGAATTCATGTGGGATCTCTCGATCACGTCGCGTCCCGGCTGCTTCTGCTTTTCCTGTGCAATTCCTCGCTTGGCTGTGGTAGTGGCCTTGAGAATGTCGATGGCAGGAGATGTGTGGGTGGGTGGGGGCGGAGCACCACGCGGCTCGCTCGGAATGCCAGCAGCACTTCTTGCGTGGAAGTGGTGGGTGGGTGCGGGGAGAGGTGAGTTGCGCGGGAAATGGCAGCGCACATGCATGTGACACTGCTGCTGAAGCAGCTGTCAGACGATTTATACGCGTTGTAAGATAGCTGGAATGTGGTACACTTCTAGTTCCCACATTCAGCACCAGCTTTACCCATATTGCATGATGAGTGGCCCCATACATCCTCGATAGAACCCGTTGAAAGACAACAGAGAATAGTGACTGACGAGCGTCCTTTTTGCTACACTAGCACATCCTCTATTTTTGTGGACCAGACTGGCCGATTTGGCCTGTTCCGCGCCAAACCTGCACTCGTCTTGTCTCCCACGCAGATCCCAAGCGACCATCACCCAAATCTTTTCACGGCTTGTTTTCGTGCTCAGGCGTTGTTGCTCTTCTCCAGCGGAAACGTGGGAAGTCCAGTAGAATGTAATCTATCAGCGGCATTGACAGGTCGGTCGCAGCAATAGGGAAGTCGCGTGATCGGTAGAGGAGCACCTCACACGACCACGATGCTCACACCATACGTCAGACCGTCGCGTCGCTGCCTATCCCCATCCTCCGCCCTCGCATTTCTGATCCGTTCTCTGCCCGCCTTCCTCCTTGCCCTTATCATTGTCCCCAGCATTCCAATTTTTCGCTCATCAACTCATCCTGCCATTTCAAGACATCTCCCGTTAGCCTTAGTCCAAGCTCGAAATGTGCACAGCGGAGTCGATCAAGACAGCAAATCCGATATAAAATTCCATCATTCAGGCAGGCGCGCATCCCACGTGGACCCATCCGTGCCGTCCGTTTACAAGGAGGGCGACGAGGTGGTGTTCCAGTGCCGCCACTCGCCGTCCGATCCCTGGGGTCCAGGACCCCTGTGCTTCGAATCCGGCCGTCCATTGTCCGTCTTCGTCGGCGTCAACATCTACCGTTACTGCAGCCTCGAGGTGCGAACTCCTTCAGAGTACGAACGGTTAGCGCATCTGGTGCAGCAGGAGCTGACGTGGCAATGCCGCGTGGCAGCGGATCCCAGGAACCAATCGTACGTGCCGCTTACCTTCCTCCTCATGGGCTCTTATCACAAGATCAAAGACAGAAGCAGCAACAGTGCCACCACCATCAGCAGCAGCAGCACCAGTAATACCAGCGACAGCAGCAGGAGCAAAAATTCTGGGGGCAGTGCAGTATCTCTAGGCACGGCGAGCTCAGTAAAGGACATACTCAGAGTGAACAACCGCATAAACCTTGTCTTCCACGCATCCAAAAACCGAATCATCGGAGCTGCTGTGTACCCTGTAGCAGACCACATGCAGCTGGTGAAGCAGGGAGGGTTAGTGGGCCTGCATGGCTCCGTAGTGTGGTTTCACCACCACAGCTTTCAGACGGAGTCCAGTGTGGGGCTGAGGAGGGGAGGGGAGAGTGACTGGTGGTCGGTTGCAGGAGGGGAGGGTAGCTGGTCTAGAGAGGTGGGGGTCGCCATGGCTAGTGGGTTTCTCTGCTCGCTCTTCACGCTTGTTATTGCAGTTGTGGTTTACCAGGGGCAGCTGAAGCCAGCCATTATCAGGAAATGCTTGAAAAAGGAGTGATTGTATGGACTGCTATCAAGCTGCAAGCCTTCAACCTCACTTCCATTCCATGTCAACAGGACAGGCACTACCGTAGATGTTGACACCAGTGTTGTTAAGGACTGGTCCAATCCTGCAAGAGGCTCCTCGTCGGTCATCAAAATGCTAATAACAGAAACAGTACAGTATGTGCAATCACAGCACAATGGCAAACCATCAGGTTTTTACTTCCACACAGCTGGTGGCATGGCAGAGGCACCTCCTGCTTACCTATGTGAACATAGTCACTGCTTGGCCTGGGCAGACACACCAGCACAAATTGGATTGACATACGGTAAGCAGAAAGCAGCAAGAAAACACGGAGCAGGGTACTGTAAAAGTTTCACACAGCTCCACCGGCCAGCTGCCTGCCATCAAGTGGCCACTTCCCACTTATCTTAAACATAAGCCGCTTCTTATTGGTTGCAGAAAAGCACAGGAATATAATGGCTGGTGCAAAAAGACGTCCCGTGAGGCTCAAGGAAGACTTCTAAACGGTCTGGTCAATAGGAGCTTCTAGCAGGGGTGACAGGGCAAGACCGTCAAATTAGGAGAATGTGAGCGAGAGCTGTGCGGGAAGACATACCGGGCTGGTGCATTGGGCAGTGGAGGGATGGCTAATGTGAGGAGAGTTTGAGAGCATACAGCAGCATCCTGCCATCTTCCAGCCCAACAAGGATGGCATCCTCATCAGTTGTCGTGATTGATGCGGCAGGCGACCCCACACCATCAAACAGCAGCAATGGCTCCAGTGTATGCATGGACCTCACCACTACCATCCCAGCTTCTGAACCTCCCCCTCCCCGACCACTGCCACCCACCCCCCTTCCGCCACCCGCTCCTCCAGTGTCCCACCCTGCGCTGCATGCCGTGACAAGGAACTCTCCACAACGAGACATGGTAAGATGCGTGATCGGTTCGTCCACTAGTGCATGTTCCAGCCACTCCCCATTGATGGAGCACACATGGAGCATGCGGGCGGCGTCAGAGTAGACTGCAACGCGAGCAAGAGGCGCAGAGAGGGCGATTCTCAGCGCCTCGTTCGCGCAGTCGTTGGGGTGTTGCAGCGACCGCAGGAACCGGGCGGCACGGAGAGTGGAAAAGACGAGGGAGCCGTCCAGAGAGGCGGAGAGAACCAAATCTAGCTCAGAAGAGGCGATGACGGCTGTGACAGCATCGTCGTGGGAGCAGAGCACTGCGCGGGGCTTGGAGGAAATGAAGGGGTCGCCTTGAGCATGCGTGTGCGCTCCCAGGTGGTCGATGCGCCAGATCATGACTGTTGTGTCTCGGCTGCCTGTGGCCAACCAGTTACCGTCGTTTGACACTGGATGGGGGCAGCATATACGGGCGCAGAGACGGGAGAGTGAAATGGGGATGGAACGGAGTAGTCTGAATGGCTTGCCAGTAAAATGGACAGGGTTTGGGGTGTGATGCTGAAATGATATTGGAAATACGCAGTTTGGGGTGTGTAGCTGCAACTGCCTACTGTCACTGTGTTCAGCAGTCTTCAACAACAAGCCAAATGAACTAAACCATTCCAACAGAGAGGTGAAAGCAAAAGATAGCGCACCTGAAAGACAAGTGACGAGGTCACTGTGCTGCTGCAGCGCCTGAACAGTGGCAGCATCGTCGACAGACGTGCTGCGAATGGCATTGTCCCAGTGGCCTCCAGAGAAGAGGAATACTGAGGTGGCTCCTGGTACAATCCCGAAGCAGTCTCCATGGCTGCTAGCTCCTGGAGCAGAGAGAGGCGCTCCAATCCTGCACACTCGGCTCGGGTCGCCCATGCTGATGCTATAGTCCTGTTGGTTCGTAAGAATGCGAGTATGGACAGTTGGGGGGTGAAAGGGTGAGGCAAGGCATTTGAGAAAATTCAATAGTGCATGAAGGTGAAAGAGCACATTAGAGATATAGGAAGGATCAGGTGCAATGGAGGGAGGTCACTGCTGAACATCAACTTTTCCCCATAGCGGCGAAACCGCATCCATCACATAACATGGCATCCATTCAGCAATGTTAAAAATACCCAACCAGAGCCCTGCATTCAATCAACCATCACCACGCTCACCGTGCCCACTTTCACGCCCTTCTTTGGAGCATTCCAAGAGCGCACTGTCAGCACCTGCCCCCTCGTCACACTCACAACCATGCGCCCCACCACCCCGATAAACACCACCGCCATATCATCCTCCGACCTCCCCTTGCCCCCCCTCGTCCTCCCCCCAGGACTCCCGACACCCCCAGCATAAGCAGGAGCCACAGGGGAGGAAGCAGCCGGGGTGGGGAGAGCTGGGATGATTGCGGAGAGGGAGATTGAGGAGGGGAAGAAGTGGAGTGGGCGGGTGATTTGGAGGTGTGGGCCGCGTTCGGGGTGAGGGCGGGTGAAGAGCTGGATGGGGGTCTGGCCGAAAGCGGCAATCTGCTGTTCAATGGCTGTGCGCCTGGTCGGGTCCGTGATTGCATCAATGTCCACAGCGCCCTCGTAGGTGAGGTAGTAGAACACGTTGTCAGCCTGGAGGAACCAGGGGCGGTAAGACGGGCAGAGGAGAAACAGGAGGAGAGCTGAATGGGAGATTGGCTTACCGGGGTAAGTGCTCAGCAGCGCCCTCAAGGGTGAGGCAGTAGAACACGACGTCTGCCTTGAGGGAGGGACCGGGGGCAGTGGGACAGAGAAAATTCAGGAGGAGAGCGGAAAAGGAGCTTAGCTTATAATAGCGAAATCAAGAATGCCCTTGCAAGAGAGGTGCCATGCCAAACGAGAAGTCCGTATCACCAGATGAAGTTAAGAGGAGGGGGTCGTGGGTGATTGGGGGCTTCTAAGTGTGATGTCATCGAGCTGGCGCCCTTCGCTGAAAGCACTCATGCAAGTGTGGGAGCGGAGTTCATAGCCCAGGCACACCCTTCACAGAATCACCATTAGACTTTCTTCGTACTTCCATAATGGCATCTCATTTGAGGGCTTTCCCACATGACGGGATGGTCCTGAGTCACCCACAGACAGGTCCACACGTCCACATGCCCACGTGCCAACGTGTCCACACGGCTACATATCCAGACGCCCACACCAGACGCCCACACGGCCACATGCCCAGACGCCCACACCACTTGCCCACACGCCTACCTGAACAGCCGCCTCCCCCCGTTGCTTGTAGCCAAAGACAAGGTCGATCCATTGGTGCAGCCTCTCGCTCACGTGCTCACTCTCCAGGGCCTCTCGCTGCAGCCGCACAAACTCCTCCGGGGAGCCCTGGGGATCACAAAAAAACAGGCAGGGTGAGAGGCAACAAGAATACAGCTGGGTTCATTGCTCACTCTCCAAGGCCTCTCACTGAAGGCGCAGAAACTCCTCCGGGGAGCCCTGGATACCGCAAGCAGGCAGGGTCAGAGGCAGCAAGGGCACAGCTGGGCTCACTAGGTCGCACTCAAGGGTCTCTCACTGCAAATGCACAGATTCCTTCGAGCGAGCGGGGTGAGAGGCAAGAAGAGGGGTTGGTAGAGCTAGGCCAGGAGCATACAACATGGCTCACATGGTGGCACCCCAGGGCCTCCTTCTACACTCGCACAAACCCCTTATGAGGAACCCTGCAGCACGCAGGGTGAACGGTAGAAAGACTCTTCTTAACTGACATGGACTTTTAAGAACCTTCTGCTGCACTTGCGTATGCTACTTAGAGGATTCACGCGGCAAGTGAGCCGGATCACAGGGAAAAGGGGAGTACAGCTAGTCTCACACCGAACAGCCTTGCTCCCACACTTGCTCCAGCAGTGCACAAGATGGGTCAGAGGCTGCTGAGGATATTTAAGAAAAGTGACTGTTGCACCGACTCAAAAACCTTAACAGCGACGCTCAGACAAGAGCTGCACACACCTTGGCCCAGGGAGGCAGGATGACACCGTCAAGTGCCTGCCCGTCCTGCCTGAGGCCCAGGTCGAAGCAGTTGCTGTTGCGCAGAAACTCCGGCTGGTAGAAGAACTCTGGAAGCAGCTCCTTCACGTCGCTCGTGTTGCTCTGGCAGTTGTCCCATGCCGACGCCACACTGTCAAACAGACGATCTGCCTGGTCAAAGCGGCCCCCCTGTTGGGAGGGAAGGCAGGCAAAGGGGGTTGGAAATTATTGCACTCAGCAATAGCTCGCATTTCAGTTGCCGTTCCTTGCTGAGATGAGGCTGAGCTGCAAACGGCTGTTGACCTGGAGTGTAATTCAGAAATAACTTGGAGGATTAGGAAAGGACATATGATGGAGAGCTTGGAGGAAAGGTGGAGTATATCAACAGCAACCACATGCTGGGGTGAGCAACCTTGAGGAAAGAAGTGGGAGCATTGGAAGGAGAATCCGCACCTGCAGCAGCCGGTGGAGCGTGGCGAAGGGCTCCATGCGGATGAGGAAGTAGAGCACGACACCCGCAGACGAGTAATGCGATCCGTACAGGAAGCTGGAAGGCGAGGAAAAAAGAAAAGATGGAGTGGGATCGGGGAGGAAAGAACGGGATAGAGAGGCGACGGGATGGAGGACAAGATTATCGCCTCAGGAGACATTTCTCGGTTCAGAAATTATTTCACAGGATGAGGAAGATTACACGAAAATAGGATTCGGCACAAGGAGGATGCTGGAGAAGGAGAGCTCTACAGGAAGAAGATTTGACAGGAGGCGCAGAATGAAAGCATCTGGAGTTGAGGACAGTATGGAGACTATGTACATGTATGCTGGCCCTAAACCAGTAAAAGGAAGAAGAAGATAAACGATGAATGACAAAAGCATCCAGTGAGCAAGTGAGTGTGAGCGACCCATGTATTGGCCTTACCCTGGAATGTCCGTATCCATGCTGTCATATCTCTCCTTGAACAGCTGCAGCAGGTGAGTGGAAAGAAATACCAGCAAGTTCAAGGGACAAATGAGAGGAGATCGCTGGACAGAAAAAACACGCCTTGAACAAAAACACAATGGTGTAAACAAATCATGAGTGACTTTGCACCTTGCCTCAAGGCATACCTCCAGCTTCCTGCCACACCTCCCACCCAGGTTCCTGCTCCACACATACCTCTAGTCTCTTGGGGTTCAGTGCTCCAACCGGCTTGCTCAAATCTCGAAACGTCGCTGCATTCGACAAGTCCAGCTTGGTCGAGGTATAATCCGCAATAACCCATGGGAAAACAGGGTACTGCATCAGATCATTGTACGTGCGCCCAGCCAGGGTGTTAAGGATCATGAGGTAATCAAAGGTGGAGATCTTCCGCTTGCTCCATTGGGACCTCGCCTTCTCTGCCAGTTCCTGTCCTCTCTTCCTGTCCACAAAGTCAACCAGCTTGCTGCTGCGAGCCGTCGTCCCGCGGTTGGCGATAGCCAGAATACGGTGGGCGACTTTGTCAGCTAGCTGAGGCGAGGAGAACGAGAAGAAGGCAGGGGGCTGCGACGAGGAGAACTCGAGCTCGAAGGCGGATGTGCGGAGGAGGTAGCGTGTTATGCGGATGCGAGCGAGCTCAGAGAGCGACCACATGCGGTGCATCTTCACATCATCCAGAATATCCGTGTGCTTGCGCATCCTTACTGTCACCTTCTCCAGAGTCTTTTCATTTGGCTGGAACCTCGCTACAAACAACAGTTTCTGTATCACACGCTTCCATCGCTCTTTAGGAGGGATTTTCTCTCCGCCAGAAACGGAGCCAGAGGAGACGGAGTGGGGGTTGTGGAGGGAGCCATCGGGATGGAAGAGAAGGAAATCTTCAGTGCTGTCCATGGCAAAGTCCACGTAGAAGTGCAGCTCCGTGTGGGAGATGTGCAGACGGCCCGCCAGCTTGCGCTTGGTGGTCAGGAGGATGCAGGGGATCTCTTCCAATACCTGGGGCACCAGGGGAGGGTAAGTATGCCTTTCTTTGCTTATGTTGGGTGGCAACAATGTCATTGGGCCAATATACTGGGTGGCCTGAAGGAGAAGAAACGAGGTGGAGGGGGAGGAGGGTAGTCCGGCCATTGTGGAAAAAATATGAGGGCAACAACACGATAGTGGAGAGAACGAGGCAGCTGACAAAAGCAAACCATAATGTTGAGTTGGGGAAACGGACCAGACCTTCCTCAATCACAGGTCCTCACCTACGTAATTGTTATCAAAGGTTCACTCACCCCTGACGTGCCTTCTGCGGGAAAACCACCAGCACTGCTGGCCACACCTGTCCCCTCCACCCCCCCCTGCTGCACGCCTTTCTTCCCCCGCTTCTCTGACTGGCTCTGCTCGTTGCTCTGCTGCAGCAGCGCCATCTCCTCCATCAAGTCCCGGTCCACGTTCAAACTCGACACCACCCTCCCATGCTGCTGCATATCCCCTCCCACTGATCCTCCTCGCACCATTCCATCCCCCATGCCAAAGCTGCTCCCGCCAATAGATGTCAAAGCATCTCCCGCCACTGAAGCAGCAGCGTCACTCGTGTACCTACGAAAACTCCTGGCATCCGGCCCAGAGGCACTAGACGACTCCAACCAACTCCCCTCTGACGTCTTGTCTCCCCCTTTCCCTTCCTCACCTCCACCACCCTTCTCTTTACTCCCCCCTCCCCGATTCCCCTCCTCTCCAACACCAATGCAAAAGTTTTCGTCAAACCGGTAGTTCGGACGCATGCGGAATCGACGCCTCTGAGGGTCCTCTGACTTATCCAGCTTCCAGCGGGGTGGAGGGTCGTCAGGCGACGGGCCAGAGTACCATGGGCCCCTTTCGCTGGTCATCTGCCGGTACAGGGTGTTCCACACTGCCTTGGCGTTCTGCAGCTGCTCAGCATACGCAAGGGTCGCGACCGCTCGTCGCTTTGCTTCCTGCTCCATCATCCCGCCGAGCACGCTCCGTCGCTGCTGCTCCACCTCCTGCCGTCGCTCCTGCTGAGCCTCCTCCCATGCTTCTATGTTTGGCTGGATGTCCACCAGGCTGTCGTTCAGTGAGGTCACGATGAACATGACGTGTTCGCACTCGGTGCGTGCCTGAGGAAACACAGACGGGGAGGGTGCAAGAGGCGAAGGCGTGTGAGACATCTTTATGATGTGGAGAAAGAGAAGAGTAGAGGGTGGGAATTTGCTACTTTGCTTATCAGACTGTACAACAAAACACAGTCCAAAAAAAGGACAATGATGAGTTGGAGAACATTGAGGGTTGATAATGGCTCCTGATTCAAAAGGCAAGCACCTTCAGAAAGGGGGTATACGAATCAGACTTACTGCGCTGCGCACTCTGTCGGCATGGATCACTTCATAAAGAGGATGCCTCTGCTGCTCCCCCTCTCCTGCTGCACCCTGCGACCCTGCCTCAGAGAGCCCAGACGATTCAGCTGCCCCACGCCCTGTGCCACTGCTGCTACTTCCCATTCCATAAGCAAAAACTTCCTCATTCGAATCCTCATCATCTTCCTCCTCCTCCTCCTCTTCCTCCCCCCCCCCCTCATCATCCAGCATGCCTCCTGTCATCAGAGAAAAGTCCACAGGAGTGTACGCGGGAGGGCCGCCCCGTTCATCGATGCAGCGTGCCAGGATGGGCATGATCGCTAGGAAGACGTCACGAGTGCACTGGGCTATGATGTGGCCTCGTGCCCCGTCATTCATGTCACCCACTAGCGCCCTGGCTTCAAGAAGTGCCCTGAAAAGGGGAAGAAGCCGAGGGAGTGGAGACCGAGGGTAGGCGCTTTGGAAATTATGTCCGGAGCTGGTTGGCAGCAATAAGTTAATATCAAGAGCCAGTTAGGAGAAGAAACGAAGGATAGGTACACCGCCGTTAGTGAGAACAGGGGTCAACATAAGAGTATGAAAGCTATTCCAACAGCTAGGGGGGGATGAAGTGCAAATTACCAGATAAAGAGGTGCGCCTGGTTGTGCAGGCGGTTGTCATCATCATTAGGGAAGACAACAGGCAGGAGCACCACGAAGTGGTTCAGGCAGCGATGGAGCGCGGGCAGCTCAGCTTCAAACATGTAGATCAACACAAGGCGCAGCACAAACCACGGACACCCCTGCCGAGCCAAGTCCAGCATCTGTTCCTCTACCTCCTCCAATGCCACCTCGCCTGCTGACCTCTCAGTCTCTACAGCCTCTGTTGTGACCGTTAAGCTTCGCAACAGCCCTTGTCTCCCACTCCCCTTGTCGCTCCCATGTCTCCCACTCCCCTGCTGCCCGTGCGGCGCGGCAGCAGAAGCAGCTGAGGAATCGGGTTTGGGCTGGAGGAAGGAGCGGTGAGGAGGCGAGGGTGGCTGAGGATGTGGGAGGAACGCTGGGTGGACTGGCAGATGTAGTGCTTCAGGGTCATCATCGTCAGATTGGAGCATGCCTGCAGCAAGGGCCTCTGCTGCCTCGGCCTTGTTGTGCATGATGGTAATGACCGTCCAGAAGTGCTCGTACACCCGCCACTTGCTTTCAACCACCTTGGAGCCCAAGTTACTGGGATAAGCGAGGTACAGGAAAAGGGAGGTGCAGAAGAGGGATTTACAAAACAAGGGGACAGGACAGGCCAGGAGAGGAGTAACTTTAAGATAGTCAACAGGAAGCGCAAGAAATTGCTGACGAGAAGATATATGAGCTGAAGGAAGAGATGCAAGAGTACGAGGTTGGCTGGCTGTTTGGGGGAGAAAAGGAGGGTGGGAGGAAAAAGAATGGAATGGGGTCAGGACGGCGAGAGAGTGAGGGGTGCTTTTTTCTTTTTGTCTACCTGCATGTAAGCTCTGCACTGGCGGCAGCAGAGCCCGCATTGTCATCAGGAAGCATGTGCTGGAAGATAGTGGAAAGCGCACTCCGATCCACACTGCTCCATGTCCCCTGCTCGCCTTCGCCTGTTCCTGTAGCTTCCGCATCCTCCTCTCGACTCCCTTCCCCGTTCCCCCTTTCCCCACCCTCAATACCACCACCATTAGCACTGCCATCGCCAGCGGTACTATTGCCATCACTTCTCCTCTCAAAAGCATCACCGGTGACACTCCGCCTGGAAGGATCGACAGCCTTTTCTGAGTTTTCCTCTGGCAGGTGGCGAGGCTGATAAAGTTAGGCATAGGGAGAGAAGAACAGAGGGCCAACAGGGCAGGTCTAAAGATGGTCACGAGTGCAGCTACTGTGAAGTGGGCTTCAGGATGGCCGACATCAGGGGGGGAGGGGGGGGGGGGGGCATGGAGCTCATAAAAGTGGAACGCAAAAGAGAAAACGTTCTGCAGGGATATTGGTAGGGAAGGTACCCTACTGTGGGATATGGGATATGCCAGTGAACAAGTGACAGGAATAGTGCCAAGGTCGGTACTGTACTGCGCAGGCGTGGATTACTGACAGGGAAGATGTAGCAGGAGTCACGAATGACGAGCTCTTGCACGAGGACGAAGAGGTAGAGCAGGTTGGCGTGCACGGGCTGTTCCAGCAGATGGTCCCGCGTGGAGCACAGCAGAGGCACCACGCCCAGCAACTCGCCCAGCAGCACACGCAGAAGACCCGCGTATGGCAGCTTGCCCTGAGAGGGACAGAGGTGGATGGAGGAAGATGGGGTCCGGGAGGAAGATGTGAGGAGAGATGTATGTTGGGGTTGGTCTAGTGTGGGATATACCACATGTCGGTCGGGCATATATACCATGTAAATGCTTTTGTCTGAAATGTTCTGCTTGCAGCAATGGACATATTGGGAGAGAGGTAAGGGACTCAGGGGGTGGGTGAGTGACAAGGTGCATGCGTCTTCTTGCCGAACCCCACTTGCATACCATAAGCCCGTCCAAGCCTCACCCGTTCACCATAGATGCGCAAAACGTTGACAGTTTCCGCCACATGCCTCCACCCGCCCTGCACCTTCTGCACTGCAAACGAGTGCGCTGCCAGGAAAATGCGCCGCACATGCACCCACACCAGTTCCAACCCTCCCCCAGGCTGAAGAGGCGGCGGCGGCTGCCCTTCCTCACCCTTCACTGCGTCCTCGGCATTTGACCCGGAGTTCCTTGGGGCTGTAAGGTCCAAACCAGTGACCACAATATCCAGCAACCACTGCTGCCAGCCCCGTTGCTGCAGGGGCACAGGCAGGGTTTCAGGTAGGGGTTTCAGGAGAAGATGCGTCGACGCAGGGTATGAGGGAAAAAAGGGCCATATGGGGGCAATAAAAACGGCGAGTGTTGAGCATATGGGGCCTGAATACCTGTACGATCTCAGGACAGCACAGCCGGTCACCTCTAGCAATTCCAGAACGCAAAAAATGACTAGAAGTTGCGAGCATTTACGAATTGCCTCTGGCAGATGACAGCAGCACAGTTCTTACCTCCAGCAGCTTGAGTCTATTGGCTTTGCTGTTGGAGATTAAATCACCCAGCTTTTTCAGCGTATCCTCCACCACCTTCACTCCCCGTGCTGACAAACTACCCTCCCCAACGGCACTGCTGCTACTTCCCGGCCTGCTGCCTGAGCTGCTTCTGCCTACGGCCCCTCTGGTAGCTGCTCCGGATGAGCTGGCCGCCAACCTCAGCTGTCCAACCATAAGTGGCAGAAGCAGCCTTAGCATCTCAGGTTTCACTATTGACTTACGCGAACTGCCTGCATCTCCTCCGCCCTTGCGAGGAAGGATGCCCCAGGGGGAGGGCTTGCCTCCAGACGTGAAGTTACTAAAGGAGGTGGATACGCCTGGAGCTGTCCGCACTGGATCTGACGCTATCTCCCTGACTGCCGACTGTCCTCCAACTTCTCCATGAGCTCGCGCAGCTCCGCCTTTAACTGTTCCTTGTGGCTCAGGCTCAGGGGCCTGCGGGGCAGAGGCACTGCGGGGCATGCCAAAGGCTGGTGTCTCTCCCTCTGCTGCTGCAGTTTCTGCTGCCGGTGCTGCGGCATTAGTTGGTGCCAACTGTCCGGCTGATGGCATAGGCATGCGAGAAGGAATGGCATGAGAGCTCTTGGGCGGAAGCTTTTTGTGAACTATGGCCCCATGCATGTGCGTGCGAATTGATTGCTGATCCGTGGGTGAAGCTCCCAGCAGAAGCTCAAAGAGCAGAGTCTCAAGCCCAGGAGAAAGGCCGTATGGCATCAGATGCTGACACATAAGGTCAAGAAGAACCTTTCCCTCCTGCTCCACCTCCCAAAGTTCGTCCTCATCCCCCTCCTCCTCCTCCTCCTCCTTCATCCCAAGCCAATTCCTCCCTAACCCTCCTGCCCGTGCCGAGCCGCGACTTCTTCCTGAGCTTCCTCTGCCAGATGCCCCCCTAGTATCAGCTTTGGCTGCTGGGCCCTGCTTCTTAGTTTCGTCCATCAGGGTGAGTATGAGGCACAGGGCGAGGAGGCGGATCTCTTCTTGCGGCCTGAACAATGGAATGAGAAGCAGCACATGGGAGAGGCAAAACGTAGTGTGGTTGTGAACGAGATGCAAAGCAGGCAACTCTCAACGCCCCGATAGATAAAAAGCGCTTGCAGGTATAAGACGATCCACATCCATACCGAGCAAGCAGTCCAACAAAGGTTTGTAGCCCGGCTTGTGCTGATATGTGCTCCAGAAACGACTTGGCAAGGTTGGGCTGTGCTATGAGCCCGAAGATTGTCTGCAGCACATCCTTAACTGCCCCAGCGTCCTTGCTCGCTTCCATGTACACCACCAGCGCCTTCACATCTGCCTCTGTGAACCCGCCTTTCAGAATGTTCTTCATCAGACTCAGAACCAGCAATCGCAGCTTGGCCACTTGCTGAGGCAGTGGGCGTGTGCCAAGCACACGCCGAGTGACAGGCTCTACCAGGGGCTTCACCCCGATGGCGTGTCGACCCTGTGGCTTGTCCCAGTAAACCCGACGAACTATGTCTAGGAGGCGAGGAATGGAGCAGACGGAAGGCACGAGCCAGGGTTGACGCTCCATGTGGCGCTGAAGGGATTCAAAGAGTTCTCGCTGGACGATATAGGGCGCGTAGATCCAAAGGGAGGCGTCCATATAGAGAGAGAGGATGACACCACGCACCATCCGCTCCCGAAGGCTTTTCTCTATCAACACGGGAGCAGTAGGGGAAAGAGAGGCACAATGAATGGGTGGGTTATTCGTCGATCGATACCAGGACAAGTGTGTCAGTATGAAACGGAAAAGGATGAGGCGCACAAAAATTCTGCAGTTGCATTGCATCGACCTACCATTTTCTTCTGCGAATGAGTCCAACATGTTCTCCAGTGTGACAAGGTGCATGCGTCTTCTTGCCGAACCCCACTTGCATACCATAAGCCCGTCCAAGCCTCACCCGTTCACCATAGATGCGCAAAACGTTGACAGTTTCCGCCACATGCCTCCACCCGCCCTGCACCTTCTGCACTGCAAACGAGTGCGCTGCCAGGAAAATGCGCCGCACATGCACCCACACCAGTTCCAACCCTCCCCCAGGCTGAAGAGGCGGCGGCGGCTGCCCTTCCTCACCCTTCACTGCGTCCTCGGCATTTGACCCGGAGTTCCTTGGGGCTGTAAGGTCCAAACCAGTGACCACAATATCCAGCAACCACTGCTGCCAGCCCCGTTGCTGCAGGGGCACAGGCAGGGTTTCAGGTAGGGGTTTCAGGAGAAGATGCGTCGACGCAGGGTATGAGGGAAAAAAGGGCCATATGGGGGCAATAAAAACGGCGAGTGTTGAGCATATGGGGCCTGAATACCTGTACGATCTCAGGACAGCACAGCCGGTCACCTCTAGCAATTCCAGAACGCAAAAAATGACTAGAAGTTGCGAGCATTTACGAATTGCCTCTGGCAGATGACAGCAGCACAGTTCTTACCTCCAGCAGCTTGAGTCTATTGGCTTTGCTGTTGGAGATTAAATCACCCAGCTTTTTCAGCGTATCCTCCACCACCTTCACTCCCCGTGCTGACAAACTACCCTCCCCAACGGCACTGCTGCTACTTCCCGGCCTGCTGCCTGAGCTGCTTCTGCCTACGGCCCCTCTGGTAGCTGCTCCGGATGAGCTGGCCGCCAACCTCAGCTGTCCAACCATAAGTGGCAGAAGCAGCCTTAGCATCTCAGGTTTCACTATTGACTTACGCGAACTGCCTGCATCTCCTCCGCCCTTGCGAGGAAGGATGCCCCAGGGGGAGGGCTTGCCTCCAGACGTGAAGTTACTAAAGGAGGTGGATACGCCTGGAGCTGTCCGCACTGGATCTGACGCTATCTCCCTGACTGCCGACTGTCCTCCAACTTCTCCATGAGCTCGCGCAGCTCCGCCTTTAACTGTTCCTTGTGGCTCAGGCTCAGGGGCCTGCGGGGCAGAGGCACTGCGGGGCATGCCAAAGGCTGGTGTCTCTCCCTCTGCTGCTGCAGTTTCTGCTGCCGGTGCTGCGGCATTAGTTGGTGCCAACTGTCCGGCTGATGGCATAGGCATGCGAGAAGGAATGGCATGAGAGCTCTTGGGCGGAAGCTTTTTGTGAACTATGGCCCCATGCATGTGCGTGCGAATTGATTGCTGATCCGTGGGTGAAGCTCCCAGCAGAAGCTCAAAGAGCAGAGTCTCAAGCCCAGGAGAAAGGCCGTATGGCATCAGATGCTGACACATAAGGTCAAGAAGAACCTTTTCCTCCTGCTCCACCTCCCAAAGTTCGTCCTCATCCCCCTCCTCCTCCTCCTCCTCCTTCATCCCAAGCCAATTCCTCCCTAACCCTCCTGCCCGTGCCGAGCCGCGACTTCTTCCTGAGCTTCCTCTGCCAGATGCCCCCCTAGTATCAGCTTTGGCTGCTGGGCCCTGCTTCTTAGTTTCGTCCATCAGGGTGAGTATGAGGCACAGGGCGAGGAGGCGGATCTCTTCTTGCGGCCTGAACAATGGAATGAGAAGCAGCACATGGGAGAGGCAAAACGTAGTGTGGTTGTGAACGAGATGCAAAGCAGGCAACTCTCAACGCCCCGATAGATAAAAAGCGCTTGCAGGTATAAGACGATCCACATCCATACCGAGCAAGCAGTCCAACAAAGGTTTGTAGCCCGGCTTGTGCTGATATGTGCTCCAGAAACGACTTGGCAAGGTTGGGCTGTGCTATGAGCCCGAAGATTGTCTGCAGCACATCCTTAACTGCCCCAGCGTCCTTGCTCGCTTCCATGTACACCACCAGCGCCTTCACATCTGCCTCTGTGAACCCGCCTTTCAGAATGTTCTTCATCAGACTCAGAACCAGCAATCGCAGCTTGGCCACTTGCTGAGGCAGTGGGCGTGTGCCAAGCACACGCCGAGTGACAGGCTCTACCAGGGGCTTCACCCCGATGGCGTGTCGACCCTGTGGCTTGTCCCAGTAAACCCGACGAACTATGTCTAGGAGGCGAGGAATGGAGCAGACGGAAGGCACGAGCCAGGGTTGACGCTCCATGTGGCGCTGAAGGGATTCAAAGAGTTCTCGCTGGACGATATAGGGCGCGTAGATCCAAAGGGAGGCGTCCATATAGAGAGAGAGGATGACACCACGCACCATCCGCTCCCGAAGGCTTTTCTCTATCAACACGGGAGCAGTAGGGGAAAGAGAGGCACAATGAATGGGTGGGTTATTCGTCGATCGATACCAGGACAAGTGTGTCAGTATGAAACGGAAAAGGATGAGGCGCACAAAAATTCTGCAGTTGCATTGCATCGACCTACCATTTTCTTCTGCGAATGAGTCCAACATGTTCTCCAGTGTGAGCACAAGACTAGCTGTCAGGTGTGTGGGTGACACATGCTGCAACAAGAAGTTGATCACGGAGAAACCCCCAATAGACAGCATCGCCTGCTGACTCCCCGTGCTCCCAGCCAGCAGCTCTGTGAGCAGGTTGATAATATCCACTGCCAACTGCCCATCCCCTTCGACCACCCTTCCCTCCCCCATGCTGCTATCACTTCCCACAACTGGCAGATCTAGCTGCGTGAAGAGAGGCAAGAGGGCGGAAACGCCACCCACTGTGCTCAACACCTGCTGCAGCCGTTGCCGATGGCACCGCTGCACTCCTGGAAGCATCGCTGCATCAAACACACGCACAGGGGAGACACTCGCACGGGCCAATGCAGCCGCAGCGGCAGCGCTGTTAGCAGCCTGCTGCTGGGACAGCAGCCAGGCAGGGGAGGTATCAAGAACCAAACCAGCGGCATACGCTTGTGCGTTATAGCTTAGAGCGATACGGGAGCTGAGCGCGTCTGGTCCATCAAAGAGAGCAAGAATTGCATTGTCCACCTGTGTACGCAGGAGGGCTACATCCGTGGGTTGGAACGTGTGATTGTAGCCAGGGCCTAGCTTGTGGATGCAAGAGAGCTGAGGGGTAGTGAGTGTGTCACTGAAAAGGTAGATCGGCCCAATCTGACCCTGAAAAGGATGTGAGGTCTGGAACAAGCTAGAGGAGCGAGAATCCGACTGGGGCAGAGGAGCAGAAGCTCCTATGGTAGCACGAATAAGAGGGTCCTGCAGGCGTGGATAGCTGCACTTAGCCTTGCCTATCAGAACGCCGTCTATGTAGACTCGAAGCATGCTAGCGGAGGAGAAGGTTGCGGTGGAGTGGGAGATGGCGATGTGATGCCAGTGGCGCAGGGCCATGCTGTGAGGCACCTCCACTATCACGTCCCGTGATCCAGCCACCTACCAGGAAAATAGAGGAGCGATATGAACGGCAGATGAGGAGAACGATGATTTGCATGCAGACAATGTGGCTGTCAAGAGTTTACCAGCAATCCACTGGGTAACACAGGGCCAGGTCATTGGCTGGAAGATACTCAAATGGATGCATACATGTATGTATGTATCAACGGATGTTGGAAGGTGTGGCATGAGCCTCACATGGATGAGGAGGGAATCCTTGGTGAGGAAGCCACTGCAGCCGTTCCCTTGGTCCGTGTAGAAGCTGAAGAGTGTCATGGGGCTGTCATCTCGGACACTAACACTCAATGACTCCCCCAGCCAATGTCCCCTGCGTGTGATCGATCTCAAGCTTGGCTCCTTGGGTTCTGAGCTAATTCCCGGCCCCTTCTTTCTGAGGCTGCTGCCCCGTGCCGCGCTGATGTTGTTGTCACCGCCACTGCTCGCGATGCTGGCAATGCTGGCTGCATCGTAGCTTGGAAAATATTCACAGCGTACCCAGCAGCAAAAGGTATAGCCCTTAGTGCAGGGAAAGCGGAAGTCAGTGGGAATCTCAAGACCCTGGGGTAAAACATGGGAAGAGGAGAAATGATAAGGGAGTTTCATTTGTAGCGTTCAAAACAGATGTCGAAGGAAAGGGATGAGTCGGGGGGGGGAAGAGAGGGGGGAGGGTGAAGGAAAAATTCAAGGGAGAAAAAAACATGGAATAAGAAAAAATGCTGCGACAAGAAAACAACACGCATCAGCCATGATAGAAGGTTTTTTTTTTTTTTTTTTTTTTGAACTCACCGATTCAGACCCGTCCATCTCAAAGTAAGAAGCCGGACCATCATGCCTTAGCACGCCCACGAGTGTGCGAAGCAGCAACGACACCCTCTTGGGACGGCATCCATCGGCGGTGCTCCTCATCAGCTTGAATATCGCAGCAATCTCCTTACCGTTGATGCTGTGCTGCCCCAGCTTCGCTATCAGCTTCGACAGCAGAGCAAGTATTGCCTCCACATTCTCTCGGGTCAGCTTCACCATCCGCTCTCTGCTTTCTCCCTCATTCTTACCACCTCCAGTGCTAACCATATCCGTTCTCTCCGCCCCACGCTCCCCTGTCTCATCCACACGCTTCCTAAAACTATCCCTTCCCTTTCCCGAGATTTGGACGCCTTCCTTGGGTTCAGTGCCGTCCAGATGCTCCCCTTCCAGCTCTCCCAGCCACTCTAGGAGGTCAAACATGAGGCCAGCACGGGAGCAGGCAGCACAGTTGCCAGCAGAGCGGTCAAGCAGATTGTGCAATGACTGGAGACCAGACACTATCTGTTGAGGGTCGGCCTGAGGAGTGCAGGGACCAGTGGTGGGAGGGGGGTGGATGATGTTAGAAAGGGCTTCAAAGTAGAGGCCAGGAACGAATGGCAGAAACAAAGACCTGGGGAGGCGAGGCGATGCAGAGAGGCTATGAGTCTGGACCAATGGGACTGAGACTATGTGGTTCACATAGGAGCTATGGGACTAACGCATGTGACCGAGCAATTAAGAATCGGTGAAGCGAAATGACACCGCGCTTGAACCAGGCGCACCTTGTGCAGCAAGTGGAGCCAAAGGATGACGGCATTGGGAGAGTGGATGCTGCCCTGGGGTTGGTCCCCGGCCAGGCAGTCCATAGCCATGTCCATGACCGCACTCAGCAGCACCGGCGGGCAGGCTCCATCAAAATGAGAGGGCAGGTACAGCGCAAGGGAATGGAAGCCTGGGCCAGCATGTTTGACCAGCAGAGCCTGTGGAGAGGCGAAGAGTGGCATGACAGGGAGAAAACGAGGAAGGAGAATGAGCGAAGGAGAAGGTAGAGGGTTGAAGGAAGCAGGACAAGAAGTTTGAGCAGGAAGAACGGAAGGGAATTACTGGACCAGCATCACAGAATTGAAGACACAGGTTCACAAAGGAACAAATGCTGCATAAATGCAGTTTTTGAGCATGGATCGAACCCTTACCTTGGCAGCTTCATTGCACACGGAAAGGAGGGTGAGAGTGCGCAGGATCATGATGGCAAGAGAGCGGCCAGCTTCCTCCTCGTACTGCACCCGTAACAGGCCAATGAGGCGAGGAAAGGCGTCCACGTTCACACAAAGGTTCTGGTTCAGTGAGCTCTCATCCTCCTTCACCACCTCCTGCACCACTGCCAGCATCGCCTGTAGCTGTTCCGCTGCATCTGCCGCACTGAGCCCTGTGCCACTAGCCCCAGCTCCACCTCTTCCCACACCATGCCCGTCTCCTCCACCCGCGCCCCCTAACTTCTTGCCACTGCGTGCCACAGTCATGGCCTCAAAGAACCGCTTAAACAGAGTTGATTTAACCGATGGGTCAGACACCAGGGCCTGTGCAGGGGTTACAAAAGCAGTAAGGAACATTGAAGCATGTGCTGGGGTGGGGCTGCTGCTACATTCACAAGCACAAACCACATTCACGCATAAAACTCTGCATAAAAAAGACTACAATCGCAATCCAGGGTTTACTAGCATCTGTACGCTCGACTTACATTCATGAGCAAGGAAAGGAGCTGAAGAGCCAAGGGTCGCAAGCCTTTTTCCCGCAGCAGCCATAGCAAGGGCATGAACGTCTGTGGGCTGGTGGCAGCCTGAGCCAGCAGAGAGGGCGAGCACTCCAGATACGACTCCAGCAGCTTCAGCACCACCTCCCTCGCTTGCTGCCACTCCTCCCTCAGTGTTTCCACTTCAAGAAACAGACGAGCTGACTGAGGTTTCAGTGACCCAGTTCCACCTACTGCAGTTACATCAGCAGCAGCGTCAGCAGCATCAACGAGACCCTCAGCCACTTCTGAAACAGCATGCATGGGCTCAAGAAAGAAACCTTGAGCATCCATGCAGAGGTAAGCAGCCTGCTGCCGTTCAATGACCTCCCCAATGTGTTCGCCGCACGCTGTGGAGAGAAGGCAGGGGACGATTCGGTCCCCACCCTGGAGCATGCGTTGCAGGGCATGAGCCAGCAGCTGGGTTTCCGATGGTACTCGACAGCAGCTGCGCAGAGCATGAAGGACAGCATGGAATTCTTGTTGGAGGTCCTCCTGCCAATCCAGGGAGGCAGAGAGCTCAACGAGTGCGACTATGCTGTTCCTAAGATCCTCAGCAGTGCGATCGATTGAAAGAGCAACGTACTCCTCGTCTCCATCCAAAACTTCGGATTTTATTTTGACAGCCCCAGAAGGCTGCAGCGTGTTCACATGGCTTTCCCCCGACCCCGTGCTCTTCACCAGTGTCCTCCCAGCAGCTTGTGCCCTTGATGACTGCGCTTTCTGCCAATCTCGCCAACCCGCACTTTCCTCCTGACTGCCTAACCCCTGTGGTCCTGGAGTGAGAGGATCAGGGCTGCCTCGTGCAGAAGCAATGGAAGAAGGGGTCCATGCAGGGACCTGGGGTGAAGCGGTGGACAGTTTGGGAGGGTTCAGCCATGCAGCTGGGTTCTGTGGGGTTGTAATGCTGGGAGAGCCGAACTCATTTCTGAGACCAGAGGAATTGCGGACAATGGGTCTTGGAGATGGAAGAGGGATGGAGAAAGGAGGCTTTTCAGCCATGCCTTCACGTGCTGTTCCCCCCACATCCACGCCACTTGCTTTACTATCTCCTGCAACAGCAGCCCCACTTGCTGTGCGAGCTGTGCTTTCTTCCGAGAGCAGAACGGAGTCGAAGAAGAAGAATGGGCGGGAGAATAGAGCAGGCGCGACATTGGCGGTATGGAAGTGGCTAAGCGCATTGGCGTGTGACCCCAGGAGGAATCGAAGAACACGAACCACATAGTGCTGAAGCTCAGTCGAGGATTTTTGGAACATCACTGTTGCAGAATCGTCCAACCAGTCGGCGTCTCCCAGTTTCACTGGGTGGAAGGCGTGCAGAAGCACAGAAATGACATCTGCCATGATCTCCTCTCCATATGCCCTCTTTGCATCCAGCTTTCCAGCCTCTCCAAGTCCACCACCCGCCGCTGTTGCTCCTCTATGGCGGGATACAAGTTTTTGAGATTCTGAGAGAACGGGAGCAAGCACCCACTCGTTCCCATCCCACAGAAACGACATGATCAGGTTGCAAGCTGCAGCCGCCCTCAAGTTCCACGCTGCCAGCTGTCCGCCCACGCTCAGCTGCTCGTTCATCGCTGCAGAGAGAGCATCCATGCCCATACCCATCCCCATGCCAGTCTGTTCAGAAGTTGTCATGTCTGTGAAAGGGTCACCGCGCTCAGCAGGGTGAGAGGGGAATGCAGCATTGGCAGAACTGCTTGGTTTGGAGGCGACATTGCTAGGAGAGGTGGAGTCGAGGGCACCAGGTTTCGCAAAGACCAAGGAGGTCCATCGGATGAACTGAGCAATGTGTGGCACGGCATTGAGAGAGTGCAAGGCTCGGGCTGCTGGAACACTGCCGAATCTGGAAAACGACAGAAATGTTAAATGAGGCGGACGATGAGAAGTGAAGCAGAATGTGACATGGCAAAAGAAAATAATAGAGAATACAAAATCTCGCTTTAGGCAAATCTAGCAGAGCACATGGAGTACGTATCAAACGATGCGAAGCACATGTCAGGGAGTGATGGACGAAAACGGAATGGAGGATATGCAAGACTTTACATGCTGACTTACACAGATTCTTTGATAATGGAAAGAGCCAAGAACTGCAGGCTGTACTCCTTTAGCAACTTGCTCGCAAGCGTGGTGCGGTCCATGCACCTGGACATCACAAAGACTATGGTCAGTCACAACAGAACAAATGACAGTTCACTTCACTGGCAATGACTGAAGGAGTGAAAGGCAGATGGTCCACGCGGACTCACGGGGTCGAGGGCAGGAGCCATGAAGGCCAGGCAAGCAGCCCAAGAGTGACCTGCAACCCCTCGTGGGCGATGAAGGCAGAGCAAGACTGAGGGAGCACAGTGACCACTGCCCATACCGCCTCCACTACCTGCAGCAGTGCGTCCTGTGCTTGGTCTGACAGGGACGTCTCTGTCTGCTGAATGTAGCGGACCGAAGGGATGAAGGCTGGAAGGGGCCAGCGAATAGAGGAGCAGGAGAAAGTGGGAGAAAATGACATAGAGTAAGAACTTTGAAGATAGGTAAACAAAAAGGATGTTTGATGGAAAAGGCACTGTGAGAATGTATCATATGTTAGCCACCATAAGAATGCAATGCATGTAATCCGAAACTCCTCAAAGACTCACCTAGGAGCACAGAATGGCATTTGTCTTGCACACTGGTTAGGAGCTTGCTGAACTCTGCCATCCGTTTATCCTCGTTCACTGCCTTCCCTTTTGGCGCAAGCATCTCGTGAGTCACAGAAAACGCCTCGAAAACTTCCGTCCCCAGTGCCATCTCTGGCTTCTGGCCAGGGTCTTCCCTCTTTGAAAACCCAATTTTTGGGCCATCAGGCCCACCGCCAGAACTCGTTTCTCCTTGCTTGGTGTTCTTGAGCATCTCAGACCTCTTGCTTCCTCCCGTGCTAATAACAACCTTGGGAACCAGATGTCCCTTGCGGTGAATGACAGGCTTCAGAAAATTGATAACGACTTGCAGGATGAGCTGCGAGGCGGAGAGAAGGAACTGCAGCGCTTGCGACTTGGGTGTTGGAGCTACCTGGCTGCTGCGGCCTCCGTCACTCTTCCAATCACCATCATCCGCATCCTCTGTGCCCAGAGCACCAGCTTTTTGGGGTCCATGTTCAAGCACTGGCTCGGAATAGAAAGGTGTTTTGCTAGCTCGAGTTCTCGTTGATGCGTTGTGGGCATCAATATCCATGGTGATCCCTGCAGAACGGGAAGTAGAAGAGCAAATTTTACTGGACGAAGCTTGCTTTTATATCAAAGGTTGAAACTGAATAGAAATGGAGATGAAATTGCGGTTGTTTATGTATATAGGGTTAATGAAGTCACTCTGCAGCTCACCTTTCAGTGACGATTCCACGAAAAAAAACAAAACGCTTGCGGTTCTCAGCACTTTCAGTGATAATAGCTGCAGCCTGAAGGACATTGATGGCATGCTCGCGGTCTCGCTTCGGCACAAACAAATCAATGTCTTCATCTAATTGTTCGTCTTCGATCTCAGGCCCACTTCCAACAACGGGAGAACTTTCTTTAGGAATCTCATCCTTCCGCCTGGTTGATGCAGCTGAAAGGTTATGCGGTTACGAAAGTAAAAATGGCACGGATTAGCTCACTCTTAACCACAAAATAGAGTAATTGCAGCTTCGTGACTGATTACTGGCACAAGGAGGGCCTGAATGCGCACGTGAAATTAGCATGTAGGTAATGCAGAAATAAGGCCATTAAGACGAAAGAGGCTCACTTTGGGCGAGATCAGAGAGCCACACCAGTTCTCTGACAACGCAACGAATCATCTCCAAGGGATGAGCCTCCCGAGATGAAACGTCCTCCTTGTCTTCGAAACCTTCATCTGGTTCTGTTGGAGACGAAGAGCTTGGAGGTGTCCAATCGTCATAGGTTTCCACGAATAAGTCAATCAATTTTTTGGCTGCAGAACGCGTCGGGTCCTGTGTGGAGCCATCGCAGGAGATGCGACATAAAAAATCCACAGTGAACACTTATGGTGTCAGGAATTTAAGCGCGACCTCATAAAATCTGCTAAATAAACAGGGTTGTCAGGCTAACAAAGACATTCTTCTTCTGCCGCGTGATTAAGAGCCTGTACTTCAGGCCTTTCACACCCGACACGGAAAAAAAAAAATGACGATCATCGTCATTAAACATGATGTTGACAACGAATTGAATTCGCAGACTAACCTGCTCCTTCCTTGCAAGGTAAATCCAAAGCAGACGCTTTAACTCAGCTTCGTTCTCGTCATCATCCCTGGTGGACGCCAAGTGGTGATTAAAGGTGTTTCAGCGATAGATAGAATCATAAGAAATGTCCAGAAGGCTGACCCAATGGAACTCGTAGAGGAGATGAAAACGGAAAGCTTGATGGTTCATTGTCAAAGCATGCAGAAAAAAATGAAAGCATCCAAGCGACGACGAAATCGTCCACATTCTGATTAGACAATCCATATATGATGTAAATGTTTGTATTGACCAGCTGATCTGCAGGGTGTCAGGTAAGTTAGAAGAAAGCGTCCCTGACCTGAAGTGATAGTTGTGGTGCCATTCATCCGGCACAACCTTATCCACAGGCCTTTCAGCGGCGCCTATACCGAGAATGGACCAGATTCCTTGCATCTTGATCAAATGCCGGGACCAGACAGTGAAGTTGATGACCCGCTAAGTAGATTAAGTTACAAAAACGGGCGTTGCATTTTTATCTTCAAAATCTATCGGTCAATGAGGAAGCTGGTAATGAGCCGCCTTGGATTGATAAGTTTTTGTCACTCCCTGCTGATTAAGAATACATTAGTAAGTCGTCTCGCAGGCAGAAGGAAAGGCATGAGCTTACTGCAATAGCAAACCTTCCCTTGATAATAAGAATATCCGACGTGAATCGCGAGACGAGTCTCGAAGTTCCAGATTATGGTTTGAGAAAAGCCGTGTCTATCAGATTCTCAGTCAGCCATTGCTGAAAGTGAGAACCTGGTGCCATGAGGGAGAGGAAGTGACGAAAGGTGAGAATCTGTCATCCTGCGACGTTCTATGACAAAATCAAGAAGCCTTGCGAGCATCAAGCATCCTCTCGACATCGGAGTGTCTCTCGCAATGTTTCTTTGGTGAAGCCTTGCGACCGTCTCGAAGGTCGCACGCAGAACGATTCTCGCAAGTGCATTATTGCTTGAAGTGGAGCTAAGGACCAATCCCAAGAATGAGGAAGCGCCATTCGCGGCGAAGGCTGCGTCAATCGTATTGGCCGGCACCAGTCCAGCAAACGCTGCGATTGCAGCGAGGGAACCTCCAACCGACTGTAACAAGCGTAACTCATTCTCGACAACCGGTCATTATTTGATGAAAACATATACTGCCTACCACTATTAGAAAGCTTGAGTAACTAGGCTTAAAAGTGCATGAACCGTAAGAAATGTATTTGTTAATTTCAAAAATTTGAATTTTATTTAAACATAAAAATCACAACCCAAAATACAATCAATAACTATCATGTATTGTAGCACCACCGAGTTCTGATACTAAGTATGTAATCTGCTTGAACGATGATAACATAGAAAAAGGGAAAGTAGCTTATGGAGATTTCGGGCCCTAGTTTGCTGGGGATGCCCCTGTCCCTGCAGGTCCCGCCATGTTCCCCCATCCTTTCCCCTTTCTGAAACCCTCTGCTCCGCCACCTCAAGATTTCCATCACAAATTCCTGACCAGCTCACGATTCTGCGCGAAATCTTTCTTCTTCGTTCGCATTTAATCAGCGCTATCCAAAAAACGTGATGGCTTCCTCGCTTCCGTCCGCGTCAGAGTCCCTGGTCGACGAATTGCCTCCGGTTTCGCCCACTGCGGCGATTAAGGCGGCTGTTGTGCGCATTACTGCGGCCGCTACTGGCGGTGCTGTGCTCGGTGGTGCTCTAGGCTTTGGTAAGTCGAATGGTATTGAGTACACAATGGTATATACCTAGCGGTTAACTCGCGATTAGTGGCTGGTTATAACTGCGATGCCTCTCTCACAGTCTTTGGGACAACCACTTGGGACCAAGTTGCGCCTCTCGTTTTTTGCCAATCTCGGGATGGCGGATTCTTGTGTCTCGAGACCTTGGTGTATTCCGTCTCCTTTCCATCCTGCCACCCCCTGCGGACCATTCCGCTTCGCCGTTTCGGATTGCTCTCCGTTGAACCTCTCAAGAGGCTCATCTGCCACTGTCGCCGCGTTTGATGGGCAGCAGCCAGTCTCTTCAATCGACATTGTCCATTTCATACTTCCTTTCAATGCCCCCCTCATTCTTCCTCATTCTCCCTCATTCTCACTCATCGTCACCCTCATTGACCCATTCATTGTCCCCTTCCTTGACCGCCTCATTGTCCGCCGTCTCCTCACCCATGCAGGGCTGGGCTTCGTGGCGCGCGAGGGCACCAAGGTAGCGATGCGCGAGTCTGCCTTCGGCCTAAAGGTGAGACGAAACCAAATGATTCCGATGCCGTCCTGTTACGTCGTCTTGGCGCCAATCTGCGTTGATTCACCCTCTCAACAAATGACTTTCACGTAAGGTTAAAGTGAAAGCTGACTGTCAGGGGGTTCTGAGCCTTCTGGTATGGGAGCCCCCGAGGCTGATGAAGGCTTGCTTGCAATCCCCAACGTTCACTTGTGTGGACTGTTGAGATGGAATTTCACAAGTGAATGCGAACTAATGAGGAGATTTTATATACATTATTGAACCATGCTGTGTGCGAGATCTGATGTGTGCGAGCTTCTGATGTGTGCAATCCATCAATGCGGTGTGAACCAGCAGCTGACCCTGTTGCATTATCTGCCCATGCTTCCCATCCTTGTTCCCAGACCGTGGCTATCATGTCAGCTGTCTATGCTGCCACGTCAGCAGCTATTGAGAACCTGAGGAATGATCTGCTTGACAGTGAGTGCCTTGCTGACTATCTGCGTAAATGAACTCATGTCATCCTTCAATCGCTCTGCTTCAATTTACTTCCCTGAAATTTACTTCCGTTTCATGTCGCGTTTTTTTCTTTTGTGTTTGCATTCCACTTCTTTCCACTTTTTTTCTTTTGTGTTTGTCCTTATCTCACTCTTGTGTTCACATTCCCATTCATGTCATTTTCCCAATAATCCTGCCTGTACCAGGTGCAAAGCCAGGGCTTGCTGGATGTGCAGCTGGATTGGCAGCAAGTGTTCCAGGTGAAATTCGAGAACATCTCAATCACACCTGCTCGCTTTGTTTATGTTAAAAAAATTTAACGACATCATCTCTGCCCTCATGCCTTGCCTTCTCTGTCTCTTCTTCGTGGGCGCATTCTCTTCACGTTGTTGCTCTCCCTTCTTTTTTGGGATATGCATCGTAATGACTTCTGCTCCGGCTGCTGCAGGTCCACCAATGGCAATGTTGCAAGGGTGTGCTGCCTTTGGCCTCCTTTCCTTTGTCTTGGATTTCTTCGCACCGGCTGAAGCATCTGCCAGTCCGCTCAGACTCACAAAAGACCTTTGTTTCAACAGGAGAGCACGCAGTGCGTTGAAAAAGCTATCTCCAAGGCCTGAGTCGCCACTTGATAGCTTGCTCTCCCTCGCACTGCCCGCTCCCAGTGTTGCATCACCTCCTCGACACTAACATGCATACTGCAGTCAGAGTCTCTTACAGATCGCAGCCCACATATTTAGTTTTTTTGGGTTTCGGGAGTCGACTGGTAGGCAAAAAACATCATTTCGATTATAGCCAGGAAACTCTAGCAGGTGTTAAACGTCTTCCAGGAGATTTAACCAATGCCAATATTTCATGGCTAAAGAATACATGCTTGCTGCTTCCATAACGCTTGGATACATTGCTATAAACGGAGATTTTCTGTTCAGCCCAGGGTGTCAACTATTTTATTCTGCGTGAACCCGAACACCTGACCTGACCTGGACCCACAGTGCACGCATGTCGGGGTTCGTGTTGGTCAATCCAAAACTGGGCCCAGCACTATGACCAGCGCCTGAGTTCGCCAACAATAGTAACTCCTTTCGATGTTCGCAAGGGGACTCTCATTGGGTCTTGACTATCGCTCGCAATGCACCCAAAAGTTTGCGATGAAAGAAGAATTTTCAGCGCTGCCCATCAGTTCGGGAATCACCGAGCGAGATGCGCTGCTGCTGGTGACCCATCTGGCAAACAGCCTGGCGAAGGCATCTGTTCCCGCCCCTTTTGACCTCCCTCCTCGCTCTTCTTGCTCCCATTGCCGTGGCGTCTTGCTCCGCAGTTGTCGGAAGAGTTTCCCAGGCCACGCTCGCGAAGGTCGATGGCACCGCGTAGACCGTGATTCGCGCGCAGTCCGGCGTTTACTGGTGACAGCAGATTCTCAGGCTCGTGACGCTACGTGTATAATGGTAACACTATAGACCCCTTGACTCACGGACCTCTTCCCATTCATAGATCCAATTCGCTCTCAGCCGTTGTTTGAGACAGGCTTCCGTCATGACGAATAAATGGCGTCCGGCTGTTTCGAATCGGCGCATCGCGGCACGGTCTCTCGGTGCCTCGTTACTATCCCCGCGTTCTCCGGCTTTCGCGGCCGCGTGCCTGCTACTCTGCGCGCTTGCGACACCCCTCGTCTCCTCGCCTGCTTCTGCAGCCCCTTCACCTGATGGTAACCACGCAACGGTAACCGTCCGACGGTAGCCATAACCTTTCTCTTCCCCTCCCTTCTCGTTTTCCTTCATCCCTCCGCCTCCTCCCCCTCCCGCTCCCCCTCTCCCCTTCCTCCCCATCCTCCTTTTTCCTCTGTCATTCTCCCTGCTGGGCCTCTTTCGGCGCAACGGAGCCACTTCTGGCCCTATGTCCTGACTCTTTTTCGACTTGTTGAGTCGAATTCGACAAGGCCCGTCGGTGCTGTGTGTCCTTCCTTGAAGTTCTCCCCTTACATCGTTTTCCCCAACGTCATTTTTGTGCTGTCTTAGTCTCGGTCCCATCAATTTGCTGCTGCATCAACTCTCCGCCACCCCCCTTCCCCCCCTGCCCGTTTTCCGTGTGCATTCCCCGCGCCGATTTTCCGCGTGCATTCCCCGCGCCCATTTCCCGCGCGCATTCCCCGCACCCACGCCGCGCGCTTGCCCTTCCCCCACTTTCTGTTCCATCAGCGGAAGCTCTTCTCCGCGTGCGCGCGACGCTGCAGCTGTCGCAGGAGTCCGCACTGCCGTCGTGGTCCGATGCGACGAGTCCGTGCGACGGCGGGTGGGAGTCGGACGTGAGATGCGACCCCGACACCAATCAAGTCGTCCATCTGTGAGTATCATCATGACACATCTTTTCTCCCAGGGGCGTGTTTCACTCCCCTCCATCGGGTCTCACTCATTCCCCCAGGCTCATCGTGACACGTCACGTGCACCACCCAACTCGTATCCATCAGGTCCCATCCTAGGGGCATCACATCACTGACACGTATCACAATTCTGTAACACACACGTCCGACCCTATCCCCCTCCCTTTCCCCCTTCCGTCCTCCCTCCCTTCCTCCCTTCCTTTCCCACTTCTTTTCGTCCCCATGCCCTTCCCTGTTCCTTTCCCCTTCCCCAGCGACATATCGAGTCTGCAGCTATCGGGACCCATCCCAGGCGCGGACCTCGCGCACCTCTCCTACCTCACCTACCTGTCAGTGCCCTGCCCTCTTGGGTGTTTGGAACCGGCAGGCAAGCGCACAGCAGTAGGCGTGCGATGCGATGAGCTGTCAGTGTCTACAGCTCAGTCGAGACTCACAGCTCAACCTCGCGCACCTCTCCTACCTCACCTATCTGTCAGTGCCCTGCTGTCTCGGGTGCTTGAATCCGGCAGGCAAGCGCACAGCAGTAGGCGTGCGATGCGATGAGCTGTCGGTGATACCGGCGCGCACAGCTCATCGCATTGCAGCTCATCTGTGGTTGGTCGTAGAACCATGCGCGCTTGAACGGCACAGGATTGAAACGTGAGGGTGTTCAGCGCAGGGGAATGAGGCACCCGTGAGGCTCATCTCTGCTTGCCAAACGGGGATGCCTGCCACTGTTGAAAATTCTCAAAAGCAACACCATCATCGAGTTGTCATCTGGTTGTTTGTCAGGATTTGATGTGCAAATGGAAACTTCTACGGCTGGTATATGTAACTCTGGTGTCGCTCCTCAATCCGGTGAGCTCACAAATGATTCATCAAGTGCTCTCCATGCGGTTCCATCTCTGCTCTTCACTCACTCTCCCGCCCTCTCCCCTCCTCTCTCCCTTCTTTTCCTCCTTCCCGCACAGGGCGTTGGATGGCAACAACTTCGCGGGCTCTCTGCCTGAAGACCTTTCCAAACTGTCTGCGCTAAAGCACCTGTACGTGCTGAGTCACCTCTGCCCTCCGGAGCACCTCATACGCTCCTCAGCATTCAGCTCTCTTGCTCCCCAGCACTCGTCTCGCACGCCCTTGGGGCAATTTATAAATTTCAGCAGCAGCGGCGGCTTAAGGGGTTCCACTCGTTTCGCTGTCTCCACTCCACACGACCCTCATCCTTCGCCCACGCCTGCCGCCTCCCTCACACTCAGCCCCCCCCCCCCCCCCCCCCCCCCTTCACCCCACCAGGTCGCTGGAACTGGAAGGCGACGCAGTGGAGGGCCCCATTCCAGGAGACGTACTGCCTCACTGCGCTCACCCTGCTGTTGATGTGCTGCTGTCCCGCATCCATGCCTCTCACCTGCCTCACCCTCATCTCTACCCCCCCTCTCCCAACACCCCCCCACACCCCACCAGGTCGCTGGAAGGCAACGCAGTGGAGGGGCCCATTCCAGGCGACGTGCTGCGCTCCCTCACCGCGCTCACCCTGCTGTGAGCCCCCCCCACTCTCTGCCCCCACTCTCTGCCCCCTCTCTCTGCCCCCACTCTCTGCCCCCTCTCTCTGCCCCCACTCTCTGCCCCCTCTCTCTGCACTTCCTGCCATGCCTCCATAAACCTATAATCGTGTGTCTGTCAATGGCACGTCTCGAAATCAACCCGCAGTCCATCCCATTCATTCCTCCGCGCATCCCCTACGCCTCATTGCAACCCCACCTGCTGCGCCCGTTTTTTGAGACGTGTCAAAACTCCATCTTTTTCTTCCTCGCAACCCTTACGCCTCATTGCAACCCTTACGCCTCATTGCATCCCCACCTGCTGTGCTTGCACCGCAGCAACCTCAAGATGAACAACTTCTCGGGGCAGCTGCCTGAGTCGCTGGGCGCACTCACCAACCTCGTTGCACTGTGAGTCGCTTTCGCCCTGCCACTCTCCCATGATGCATTGCAATGGCGCATGCATTCTATCTGCCTTCGTTCCTTCGTTCCTCACGCCCTCATCCCTTTCCCGTCTCTCATCCATGCGTCCCCAGCAACGTGGGCAACAATCAGCTCACAGGGGAGATCCCAGCAACCTACTCCGCGCTCTCGCAGATCGTCTACTTGTGAGTCATGCCCCTGACATGATCTCCTTGCCACCCCTTTTTCGACTGTTCCCCCTGCTGCCCCCTTCCATCTGCCCTTCTGCTGCCTCACTTATCGCACCTAACCACATCTCTACCCACATCCACCATCCCCCAGGGCACCACCACGCCATGGCAGCAAGGCATCGCGCAACCAGCTGGATGGTGCCATTCCCGACTGGTTCGGACTGATGGGGCCATCACAGCTGGCCCCTCTCCCATCACCTCTTCCCGTGTCCACCACCCCCCATCACCCCTCATGGCACCACCACACCATGGCAGCAAGGCATCGCGCAACAAGCTGGACGGCGCCCTTCCCGACTGGTTCGGCTCATGGCCGCGCCTCATGGACCTGTCAGTACCCTCGCTTGCCCTCTCTTGCCCTCGCTCGCCCTCGCTCGCCCTCACTCCCGCCCCTCACCCTCTCCCTGCTCTACCACACCCTCTATACTACTTACCTCCCATCCATTCCAGACCCTGTGTTTCTGAAGCGCTTCTTATGCCTCGTACTGCTTCTTCCTTCTCCCTCCTCCTTTCTCTCCGTGCCAGAGAGCTCTTCAAGAACGGCTTCACAGGCTCCATTCCCGAATCTCTTGGCAACGTGCAGTCTCTGGTTGCCCTGTGAGTCTCTGGTTGCCCTGTGAGTCTCTGGTTGCCCTGTGAGTCTCTGGTTGCCCTGTGAGTCTCTGGTTGCCCTGTGAGTCTCTGGTTGCCCTGTGAGTCTCTGGTTGCCCTGTGAGTCTCTGGTTGCCCTGTGAGTCTCTGGTTGCCCTGTGAGTCTCTGGTTGCCCTGTGAGTCTCTGGTTGCCCTGTGAGTCTCTGGTTGCCCTGTGAGTCTCTGGTTGCCCTGTGAGTCTCTGGTTGCCCTGTGAGTCTCTGGTTGCCCTGTGAGTCTCTGGCTGACTTCTCCCGCCCGCCCATCCACACTGCCGCCCTGCTTTCCTTCTCCACCTTCTCCTCACTGCACCTCCCCTCCCTCCCCCACTCACTCATTCCTTCCACTTTTAAGTTGACCCAATGGCCTCTCTGCATTCACTCACTTTCTCTCCGTGAAAAGATAAATGAGCAAATATGTCTCTCCCAGAGGCATCCCCACCGCTCTGTACCCTCTTCCACCCCCATAGCCCGTCTCCACTCGCCTAACCCACCAATCAGCTCTCGCGCCGATGGAATCTCGCTTCAAGACCTCCCATGATTGCTCCCCCATATCCCATGTGAATCGCCTCCCTGCGACCCCCCTTTCTGTGAACCACACCCCCCGTGTGCGTCAGGTCCTTAGGCGAGAACGCCCTGTCCGGCTCGCTGCAGTGACTTTTGAATTGACTCAAAAGTCAACCCCCAACCCCCTCCCCCCCCCCCCCCCCCCCCCCCCCCCCCCCCCCCCCTCCTCCTTGCTGCGTCAGGTCCTTGGACGAGAATGCCCTGTCCGGCTCGCTGCCTGCGTCTCTGGGGTTGCTGCCGCGCCTTGAAGCCCTGTGAGCTCCCCTCCCCCGCACACACACCACTGCCATTGGACGATTCTCATTCCAGCAGGGCTTGACTTGTTACTTCCACGCCATTCTCATTCCAGCAGGGCTTGACTTGTTACTTCCACGCCATTCTCATTCCAGCAGGGCTTGACTTGTTACTTCCACGCCATTCTCATTCCAGCAGGGCTTGACTTGTTACTTCCACGCCATTCTCATTCCAGCAGGGCTTGACTTGTTACTTCCACGCCATTCTCATTCCAGCAGGGCTTGACTTGTTACTTCCACGCCATTCTCATTCCAGCAGGGCTTGACTTGTTACTTCCACGCCATTCTCATTCCAGCAGGGCTTGACTTGTTACTTCCACGCCATTCTCATTCCAGCAGGGCTTGACTTGTTACTTCCACGCCATTCTCATTCCAGCAGGGCTTGACTTGTTACTTCCACGCCATTCTCATTCCAGCAGGGCTTGACTTGTTACTTCCACGCCATTCTCATTCCAGCAGGGCTTGACTTGTTACTTCCACGCCATTCTCATTCCAGCAGGGCTTGACTTGTTACTTCCACGCCATTCTCATTCCAGCAGGGCTTGACTTGTTACTTCCACGCCATTCTCATTCCAGCAGGGCTTGACTTGTTACTTCCACGCCATTCTCATTCCAGCAGGGCTTGACTTGTTACTTCCACGCCATTCTCATTCCAGCAGGGCTTGACTTGTTACTTCCACGCCATTCTCATTCCAGCAGGGCTTGACTTGTTACTTCCACGCCATTCTCATTCCAGCAGGGCTTGACTTGTTACTTCCACGCCATTCTCATTCCAGCAGGGCTTGACTTGTTACTTCCACGCCATTCTCATTCCAGCAGGGCTTGACTTGTTACTTCCACGCCATTCTCATTCCAGCAGGGCTTGACTTGTTACTTCCACGCCATTCTCATTCCAGCAGGGCTTGACTTGTTACTTCCACGCCATTCTCATTCCAGCAGGGCTTGACTTGTTACTTCCACGCCATTCTCATTCCAGCAGGGCTTGACTTGTTACTTCCACGCCATTCTCATTCCAGCAGGGCTTGACTTGTTACTTCCACGCCATTCTCATTCCAGCAGGGCTTGACTTGTTACTTCCACGCCATTCTCATTCCAGCAGGGCTTGACTTGTTACTTCCACGCCATTCTCATTCCAGCAGGGCTTGACTTGTTACTTCCACGCCATTCTCATTCCAGCAGGGCTTGACTTGTTACTTCCACGCCATTCTCATTCCAGCAGGGCTTGACTTGTTACTTCCACGCCATTCTCATTCCAGCAGGGCTTGACTTGTTACTTCCACGCCATTCTCATTCCAGCAGGGCTTGACTTGTTACTTCCACGCCATTCTCATTCCAGCAGGGCTTGACTTGTTACTTCCACGCCATTCTCATTCCAGCAGGGCTTGACTTGTTACTTCCACGCCATTCTCATTCCAGCAGGGCTTGACTTGTTACTTCCACGCCATTCTCATTCCAGCAGGGCTTGACTTGTTACTTCCACGCCATTCTCATTCCAGCAGGGCTTGACTTGTTACTTCCACGCCATTCTCATTCCAGCAGGGCTTGACTTGTTACTTCCACGCCATTCTCATTCCAGCAGGGCTTGACTTGTTACTTCCACGCCATTCTCATTCCAGCAGGGCTTGACTTGTTACTTCCACGCCATTCTCATTCCAGCAGGGCTTGACTTGTTACTTCCACGCCATTCTCATTCCAGCAGGGCTTGACTTGTTACTTCCACGCCATTCTCATTCCAGCAGGGCTTGACTTGTTACTTCCACGCCATTCTCGTTCCAGCAGGGCTTGACTTGTTACTTCCACGCCATTCTCATTCCAGCAGGGCTTGACTTGTCACCCTCACACCCCTCCCCTCTCGCCCACCCCTGTCATCATTCTCACTTCTCCACCCACTCTTCCCCGTAACCGCCTGCGCCCTTTGTGTGCAGCTATGTGGTGTCCAACAACCTACAAGGGCCCATCCCGGAATCCTTCAGAGGCATGCAGAGCCTCAAGTACATGTGAGTGAGTCGCACGTGAAATACAATCGTTCTTGAGATGTCTCAAGAACAAACTTGTTTCACATGGCCATTCCGGATCCCTTAGTGGCATGCAGAGCCTCTCAAGTACATGTGAGCCCATGTTGCAATGAAAGGCATGTCATGTGTGGGGCACGTGGGGCACGTGTGCACCCATGCATGCAGCCATGCATACAGCCATGCATACAGCCATGCATACAGCCATGCATGCAGCCATGCATGCAGCCATGCATACAGCCATGCATACAGCCATGCATGCAGCCATGCATACAGCCATGCATACAGCCATGCATGCAGCCATGCATGTGTGCAGCCATGCATGCAGCCATGCATGTGTGCAGCCATGCATGTGCTCTGCCATCCGTGCACCGGTTTCCACTCCCACTCCAAGTCAAACCATGCAGATGCATTCCCACAACCACACAACGCCAGAGACCACACAACATGGGACCATGGGGTCGTACATACAACCACACAACGCCATCCCCATGGTTACAACAGCCAAGCCACCCATGGGCGTGTATCCGCGTACCTGAACGCTGTCGAATCGAGTCGATGCATAATCTTTGTCCTCTGCATCTCCACTGCGATCCTGCACTGCAGTGATCTCAGCTTCAACCTGCAGCTCTCAGGCTCGCTACCGGATTTCTTTGGCGCCATGCCTTCTCTCGAGTCCATGTGAGCCCCTCTCATGGCCCCATTGCTCCGCACCTCCAGTGCTCCGCACCTCCATTGCTCCGCACCTCCATTGCTCCGCACCTCCATTGCTCCGCACCTCCATTGCTCCGCACCTCCATTGCTCCGCACCTCCATTGCTCCCCACCTCCATTGCTCCGCACCTCCAGTGCTCCGCACCTCCATTGCTCCGCACCTCCATTGCTCCGCACCTCCATTGCTCGGCACCTCCATTGCTCGGCACCTCCATTGCTCCGCACCTCCATTGCTCGGCACCTCCATTGCTCCGCACCTCCATTGGCCCCCACTTCACCGCACTTCCATTGCCCCACAGCTCTATTGCTCCCACATCCCCCTGCCTCTACACCCTCCCCGCTCCCCGCCTTTGCCTTGTTCCCCTGCCCTGCAGCAGTGGCCACTCATCTGTCATTCTGTTTCTCACGAGTCACTCTCTTTCTCGCCTTCCCCTCTCCGCCCATTGCACCGCTCCACTCCGTTTCCCATGCTCTCTGCCCCCTTATCCCATGTGCTTTCCCACCCTCCTCCACCCACTCTTTCTTGTCTCTCCACCCTCCCGTCCCACTCCCTCCCCCTAACCTTCCCCCCTCACCTTCCCCCCTCCCTCTCCAACCCCCACCCAGCGCCCTCGAGTCATGCGGCTTCACCGGTCCCATCCCACCCACCCTCGCATCTCTCCCCAACCTTGTTGGCCCACCCCTTTTCCACCCTCCCCCTTGTGCCCCCACCCTCCCTCTCCAACCTCTCCCTTCCCTCCTACCCCCACCCCAGCGCCCTCGAGTCATGCGGCTTCACCGGTCCCATCCCACCCACCCTCGCATCTCTCCCCAACCTCCGGGAGCTTTTCCTCGACCACAACTCGCTGCACGGCGCCCTGCCACCCTCCCTAGCCACCCTCTCAGCGCTCACAGCGCTCTACCTCAACAGCAACCAGCTCTCGGGAGCAATTCCCGAGGACCTGTGTGGGCTGGGGTCGCTTGGGGTGCTCATGCTAGGGCATAATGATTTGGAGGGGGGCATTCCCGCGTGCCTGCTAGCGCTGCCCAACATCACCACGCTGTGAGTTTTGAGATGAGGCGTGCAGCGAGTTGGGTTGTGATTGGGATGCCTGTGCGGGGAGTGGTGCTTGTGGTTGGGGGAAATGTTTTTGCTGGAGGGGGGTTCTTTTGTGGTTGCATACTGATCATAAGGGGCTTTTTTCTTATATAGCTCGCTTTTCCCACTCTTGTACCACTTTCTCCTTTACATCGCATGATCTGCTTTTCATTCTCACCACACTGCACCCCAACACTCTCCTCTGCACGCATCCTCACCCCCTTCAACCCCTCTGCACCCACGCCACTCTACAGGGATCTGTCATCCAACTGCCTGTGGCCCTCCCACCAATCCCTCTGCACCTCAACTCTCCTGCACCTGAACTGTCCTGCACCCGTACTCACCCTCTTCAACCACTCTGGACCCACCCACACCACTGTGCAGGGACCTGTCATCCAACCGCCTGTCAGGCTCCGTCCCACCCGTCCCTCCTGCCTCCTCCATTGACTTCCGAGTCGGCGGAAACTGCCTGGAAGGAGCGCCGCAGCAGCTTTCCCCTTGCCCCACAGGGTCCCACTCCCCCTCCTCCCCCTCCTCCCCCTCCTCTGCCTTTCCCCACCTGTCAACCGGCTCCCAAGGCACTAGCAGCAGCGGCAGCACCGGTGGTGGCAGCAGCGGTGGCAGCAGTGGTGGCAGTGCGGACACTGGTAGCAGCGGTTCAGCTTGGGACAACATTTGGAATGTACCTCCCTCCGAGGACGAGGGCGCATGGCCTGGCACTGCCGCCCGCAACACTGGCAGCAGCAGCAGCACTGGCAGTACTGGCAGCAGCAGCAGCAGCAGCAGCAGCAGCAGTGGCGGCAGCAGCAGCAGCAGCGGCGGAACTGGTTGGGAGGACGTTTGGAACTCGTCCCCATCGCTGGAGGAGGGGGCATGGCCTGTGGACCCCCTCATACAGACCGACAAACAGAAAGACACGGGGGCAGCTGCGCACTCACCTCCACCGTCGCCCGTGCAGCAGCAGCAACAGCCCCCTCCGGTTCAGCCTCCCCCTGTTGAACCCCCACCAGTTGAGCCGCCTCCGGCCCAGCCTCCCCCGGTGGAGGCTCCCCCCCAGGCGACATACGGCGGTGAGTGGGCCTTGCTGTGCTGGGTGGGGTGCCAGGGAGGGAGGTGGGTGAAGGGCGAGGAAAGGTGGCGGGCGAGGGGCCGGACAGGGAGGTGGGTGAAGCGGGGGCATGGGGAACGAAAGGGCGGAGAGACAAGGTAAAGGTTGGGTAATGGCTGAGAGATTTCAAGCTCTCTACTTCACTGCCCCTTTCCTATATGCCTATGTGCTTCTCTACCTCGTTTCCTCATTTCTTGCCTGACTCTACGGGCGTCTCTTCTCTCCCGTTTCCCCTCCTCTATTTTCTCTGTCCCTCCCTCATCTCCTCTTAACGCCGCTCCCCTTATCCTCCCGTCCCATCTCTCCCTATCCCCCGGCCCCATCTCCCCCTATCCCCCCCGCCCCATCCCCCCGCCACAGTAGCAGCAATGGCTGCTGCGGACCAGAGCAGCAGCAGCGACAGCACAAGCACAGCGGGGACGGGGAGAGCAGCGGGGTGGGGGTGGCTCAACTTCCTGCTGCTCGCTCTCGCCCTCGCATCAGCCATTGCCATTGCGGCTGCATGCTTTGGATACATCACCCAGCGCAGACCCCCCTCCTCATCCGCTCTTGATGTTGCTCCACCCCTCACCCTGCCTCCCCCGCGCGTTGAGGAGTGTAAGTCATTGCAGTACCTGCGAGCGAGTGATGTGCGAATTCTCAAAAGCTTTCTATCCTCCTCCCTTCCTCGCTGTTCCTCTGCCTCTCACCCTGCCTCCCCCGCGTGTTGAAGAGCGCAAGACGATTTCCATTTTAAACTGCCCAACGCGCAAACGAGCCGTACTTACATGTATAAATACTTACTTACGCGCAAACTGCTGAGTGCATGCAAACCCTTCATTTCTTTCTCTGCAGCACTTCTCCCCTTGTATCTCATCTCCTCATCTTCCCGTGCCCTCAATCTGTTCCCTACCTACACCCTATCACTTACACACCCCTCCCCTCCCTTTTCCCCCCAGTGCCAGTGACGGAGAATGGGCTGTCTAAGGTAAAGCGCGCCACAAAGAACCTCCCCTCTCACCTTCTTCGTTTGTCCCTCCGACCTCCTCCCTCCTCCCTCCTCCCAGTGCCAGTGACGGAGTACGGGCTGTCCAAGATAAAGCGCGCCACCAAGAACCTCACCACGCTGTATGGCAAGGGCAGCTTCGGCACTGTGTACCTGGCCCAGGACTTCCTGCTGGACCATGCCAACCCACACGTCATCATCAAACGAGCCCATGACCCTGAGAGTGAGTGGCTGTGCCCCTTGTTCTTTTGGGTTGACTCAGAGCATGCTGTGTGTGCGGCACCGTGTACCTGGCGCAGGACTTCCTGCCGGACCATGCCAACCCACACGTCATCAAACGAGCCCATGACCCTGAGAGTGAGTGGCTGTGCCCCTTGTTCTTTTGGGTTGACTCAGAGCATGCTGTGTGTGCGGCACCGTGTACCTGGCGCAGGACTTCCTGCGGGACCATGCCAACCCACACGTCATCATTAAGAGGGTGCATGACCCGGAAAGTGAGTTGGTTTGCCTTCTGCCTTGGGTTGACCCAGAGCATGCTGTGTATGCGGCACCGTGTAACCGGCCCAGGACTTCCTGCCGGACCACTCGCTTTCAACCGCAGAGATGAGCGATGAGAAGTTGAAGGAGGTGGACGAGCTAGCGAGGGCACCTTGCCATGCCACTCACAATCACCGTCCCACCATCCCTCCCCCCACCACCTGGGTTTTATTGCAGAGATGAGCGAGGAGCAGTTCAAGGAGAAGGTGGACGAGCTGGCGAGGGCGAGGCACCGCTGCCTGGTGGCGCTGCTGGGCTACTGCATGGGCAAGACGGAGCGCATGCTCGTCTTTGAGTACATGCCCTATGGCACGCTCTTTGACCGCCTCCACCGTGAGTCCACCCATTTTTTCCTTGTGCACCCACTGTTATTGAGACATCTCAACACTTGCTGCTGGGTTGGGGTACTGCATGGGCAAGACAGAGCGCATGCTCGTGTTTGCGTACATGCCCTATGGCACGCTCTTTGACCGCCTCCACCGTGAGTCCACCTATTTAGTTGTTGACGCGTCTCAACACGCGTCACACCCGAGCGCATGCTCGTGTTTAAGTACATGCCCTACGGCACGCTCTTTGACCGCCTGCACCGTGAGTCCTTCCAGCATATGCCTATCTTCATGTCAAATAAATGTGCAGCCTATGTCCATCAGTACATGCCCTGTGGCACGCTCTTTCGTCCTGCACCATGAACCCTCATCTCCGCCCCCTACTCCCCCCATCAGAAGCCCAAGATGCAACACTTAACCCCCTCATCCCCCCAAACTCCCTGCTTCCGGACCCCCCCCCCCCCTCCAACACCCCTCCCCCCAACACCCGTGTGTGTCTCTCAGGGTCCAACCTGGACCCGATGCCGTGGGATGCGAGGGTGCGGGTGGCGGTGAACGTGGCATCTGCTTTGGCCTATCTGCATCACGGCGTGGACCCGCCTCTCACCCACCGCGCTGTCACCTCCTCTAACGTGCTGCTCGGTGCCGACATGACTGCCAAGGTGTGCTTCCACTGCTGCTCTAGTGGCGCTGCTCTAGTGGCGCTGCTCTAGTGGCGCTGCTCTAGTGGCGCTGCTCTAGTGGCGCTGCTCTAGTGGCGCTGCTCTAGTGGCGCTGCTCTAGTGGCGCTGCTCTAGTGGCGCTGCTCTAGTGGCGCTGTTCTAGTGGCGCTGCTCTAGTGGCGCTGCTCTAGTGGCGCTGCTCTAGTGGCGCTGCTCTAGTGGCGCTGCTCTAGTGACACAGCTTGTCAGGCGTACCTGCAAACTGATGCTGCTATATGAAGTGTCTTGACTAATTCGCCCGTTGTCTCCCCTCTCCTTGTTTCTGCTCCACATCTCTACTCCACATCCCTTTCACCTTTCCCATTACTCTCCTGCCCTGCCCTGCCCTGCCCTGCCCTGCCCTGCCCCTCGCCCCTCGCCCCTCACCCCTCGCTGGTCGCCCATCCTTTCCCACACGACGCCAGCTGTCGGACTACGGGCTGGCGAGGGGCTGTGCGGCACAGGCAGCGGACGACCTGGCGAGGCGGCGCCGCGCGCACCGCAGCTCGCGCAGCCGAGGCACGAGCATCGGCAGCACGGGGCAGCTCGACAGCCTCCGAGGGGGCACTAGCCCTGGCAGCAGCGCCCGCAGCAGCACGGTTGGCAGTTCTGGTAGTGACTTGCTAGGCGGCGTGGGCGGACGGTCGTTTGGGAGTGGCAGGCGGAGGGGTGGAGGGGGGGAGAGTGGGAGCGACACGGATGGGGAGAATGCGGTGCTGTCGCGGGAAAGCACTCCGCACCTCGCGAGGGAGAGGGAGCCGATGCTTTCGAGGGAGAACAGGATTACGAGCATGGATGAGAGGAAGGCGGATGTGTATGGGTTCGGAGTGGTGCTGCTGGAGCTGATCACGGGGCAGAAGGCCATGCAGGACGTGCATATCACCAGCCTGGTAAGATGCGGTGAAGGGCGGTGGAGCGTGGTTTGGTGCGGTTGAGCGTGGTGGGGTGTGTTCACTGGGTGGAGTTTCTCTGGGGTATATGGTTATGTGTATGGGTTCGGAGTGGTGCTGCTGGAACTGATCACCGGGCAGAAGGCCATGCAGGACGTGCATATCACCAGCCTGGTAGGATGCGGTGAAGGGCGGTGGAGTGTGGTTATGCATGGTGTGCATGCATGGTGTGCATGGCGCATGGCACCAGTCTCACAGGCTGCATTGCCACCATAATCAGAGCAACTTACCTTAACATCTCACCTTCTCTCTCTCTCTCTCCTCATCATCCCCCCTCCCCTCTCCCCCTCCCTCTCTCATGCCATCAGGCGGCGCCCTTCCTAGAGGATGACCAGATGATGCCCCTCATGGCTGACAGTGCCCTCGCAGGTGAGCTCTCACTCTCACATGCTCCCTTGCTCTCGTGCTCCATCCCATGCCCTCGTGCTCACATGCTCCCATCATCTCCCATGTTTCATGCTCCCGTGCTCACATTATCTCCCATGTTTCATGCTCCCGTGCTCACATTATCTCCCATGTTTCATGCTCCCGTACTCTCATGCTCCTATACTTCAACTCTCCCATGTGCTCATGCTCTCGTGCCCATGTGCACCCATGCTCCCATGCCCCATGTCCCATGCTCCCATACTCCCATGCTACCATGTGCGCATCCTCACACGCCCCTACAACACGCCCCTACCCACCAGGCTACTTCAACCAGGACGAGCTGGTCTCTCTCGCCTCCATAGCCCGGGACTGTGTGCACCAGGCGCCCTCCCAGCGCCCTTCCATGCTGGACGTGCTGCGAGCCCTTGAGGACACAGTGGACGAGGACCTCCTCTCCTCCCTCCAGGGCCCCTCCACGCGCCTCCTCTCCCCGGGCTCCACTGCCAGTGGCATCACCAGCACCAGCAACGGGGACCGGTATTCCGCCCTGGCGACTGACGGTGCTTTTGACGATGCTGCTGGGGGAGTGGCGATGGGTGGAGGTGCGGGGATGGGGGGAGGGGGAGCGGGGAAGCGGAGTGCAGGATCGTCGTTAATTGATGTGATTTCGGCGTCGTTCCGGAGGCGAGGGGGTGGGGAGAAGGGAGGGGGAAGAGAGGAGGGCATGCAGAGGGGGTCGGGGCAAGGCCCCCCGTCGCTGAATCTGTCAGGGAGGAGTGATGCCTCAGACATAGAGAGCTCGTCCCTGCTTTATATCACCCCCAAGGGGCACTGAGACACTGACTCCTCTCCTGCATTCTCTCATATCCAGTGGGAAAGGCTCGGTTGGGGAGGAGTGATTCATCGGATCGGACATAGAGAGCTCATCCCTGTTGTATATCACTTCCAAGGACACTGAGTCATTGACACATCGTCTCCTGCATGCTCTCACATTTTTTACGCAGTGACCCCTCAGGGCTGGGGTGATGCTGCATCGGATGTGGTGAGGTTTTCCACAACACTGACTCGTTCTGGGAGTGATCGAAAATGGGCTCATTTTCTCACTCTCACATACTCACGTGGCTCAATCGCGATCATATTGCACACGAGGGTCACTAAGCTATTTTGCTTGCCTCTCTTAACTCCAAAAAGTGTGTTGTGCTTTGTGCACTGTGTCGAATCAAATTTAGGGCTGGCAAGTTGATTGGGTGGGCGGGTCTGTAACTAATTCCTAGTGAGTATTCGATATTGAAATATTTGCTGTACATGGCAACATCATGCTTTGCACAATGTAACAGGTAGATTTTTTTTCCAAAATTCATTCATAACATTTGAACTAGCGTAGAGACCTGATGCCTCCAGTTCAATAGGATTACACATGTTGACCTTGCAAGAGTACAGCACACCAGCATGTGGTGTGGGATTGTGCTTCAGGAAGGAAGCACTAAGGCAGCAAGCGGAGCCTAGGAAAATGCCCCAATTTGTATTGGTAAGGTGTAAGAAAGAACACTCCCTGTCCATTACCCTCTGCCACTCCTCCATCCGCCGCCACCACCACTACCACCCCTCCTGTTTCCCCCATATCCCCCTCCCCCACCGCCTCTGCTGCCACCACCACCACCAAACCTGCCACGCCCACCGCTGCCCCCTCCTCCCCCTCCCCCTCCGCCTCCTCCCCATCTTCTTGGGCCTCCAGGACTGAAAGAGACAACACACAGGGGGGTGCGCGGTGAGGAGAAATAGGGAAGGATGAGGAGAAGCGGGAGGAGAGTGTGGAGGGGAAACTTTGTGAGTGAGGAGGGGAGAGACGAGAGGAGGGTGCATGGTGGAGGTCCACTAGGGAGAGGACGCGGAGGAGAGAGTGAGAGGGAAGTGGGTCAAATCAGGGGAAATGCGATCAGCACCGTTGATTCATACTGCACACATCACGGCACATCCGACCCATTACAGGGATGCAGATGTCAGCGCAAGTTGGGTCATCCCATCGCCAAGGCAATAGAAAGGGCGATTGGAAAAAAGAGCAATCTAAAGAGATTAGATTGGATGGGAGAGACCCGTTCATAGGCTACTCAAAGGGGGAAACGGCAGCTGAGAATGAAACAGAGGGGGTACAGTGAAAGAAAGAGGCAATATGTGAGAGGGGCTGGGCGCTTTGAGGGAAGGGAGGTAGAGCTAAGAATGTGGCCGTGAGGCTTGAAGTGAGAAAGAGCAAGTGAATCCTGGAGCACAGCTGCGATCAGCACCGTTGATTCATATTGCGCACATCACAGCACATCTGACCCGTTAACAGGGATGCAGACGTCAGCGCAAGATGGGTCATCGTTTCGCTAAAGAGGAAAGATGGCAACCGAAAGAGGCAAAATAGGATGGGCAGTCTCATAGAAGGTTGCTAAGAGGGTTGCTAAGAAGGTTGCTAAGAGGGTTGCTAAGAGGGTTGCTAAGAAGGTACAGGCATGAAGGTGGCCTAAAGGCTTCAAGTTAAAGTGAGCAGCTAGGTGCGCAAGCCAGGAGACGTAGATTAGCAAAGCTGCGATCAGCACCATTGATTCATAATGCGCACATCACGGCTCATCTGATCCGTTACAGGGATGCAGATGTCAGCGCAAGTTGGTTCATCCTTTCACAGCACACCCTCATGCCCAGGTGGTGTCAGAGCATCAGCAAGCATTCCGCAAAAAAAAAAAAGAGGGTTCAGATTTACGTTCTGTGCTCAGCAAGGAAAAGAGAAAGGGCAACAGACCTTGGTACGTTTCCCTCCTTGTAACAGTCCCACCTAACACCTTCATTTGTTGCCCATGCGCCCTCACCTGCAGCCCATGCGCCCTCACCTGCTGCCCATGCGCCCTCACCTGCAGCCCATGCGCCCTCACCTGCTGCTTGTCATGGGCGCTTGTTTGAGCTCGGGGAGTGTCTTCGCCTCCTCCACCTGGATATTTGAAAACCCGTTGCCTGCCGCCGCCGCCGCCGCTGCAGTGACAGGGAGACACAACAACACACGAGGCAATTTTTCCTTAGTCATCATATTAGAAGGAGAGACGAGAAAGGCAAAACAGAGAGGCGAGAGGCGAGTGGCGAGTGGCGAGAGGCGACGACACCAGTCAGAGGAGGTTTGAATGGAAGGTGGTTGAATCAAAAGCCTCACCTTTGAGGTAGAGGTCCTTGTCCTTCACAGGCACGTCGAAGACCGCCCCACAGCCGTCAGCCGTGAGCGTGATGCCGTTGATTGCCCGCGTCTGGTCCGGTGTCAGGTGCTGCTCGAAAAACCGTAGCACGTAGCTGCAGAGGATGAAGGGGTGATGGTGGGGGGAGGGGGGAAGGAAGAAAGGGGGACGTGTGAGAATGCTGCGCTTTGAGGAGGGTAAGAAAGACCTACAGGCACACTGGAAAAGCCAAGGGCAAGGGCAGAAGGGCAAGGGCTCACGAGGGCGAGTAGAAGGGTGAGACGCAGCGCAGCAGCAGCGTGACCTGGTCCTGCTGGCTCAACAGCAGCGAACGCGCCTTGAGCTCCGTGTGACCCTGTGTGCGTGCGTGTGTGTGTGTGTGTGTGTGTGTGTGTGTGTGTGTGTGTGTGTGTGTGTGTGTGTGTGTGTGTGTGCGTGCGCGTGCCATCCATGCCATGCCATGCCATGCCACGCAACATAGAAAAAAAACGGAGGTGGCCGAGAAGGAAAAAGAAAAATGCGGTTTAGGGGCATGGCAGGGAGAAAACACACGTGGCAACAATATTATGTTATGCTGTGTGCGTGCAAGTCCATATGTCATGCCAAAAGACCAAACAGGCAGGCAGGCAAGCAGTCAGGCAAGCAGTCAGGCAAGCAGGCGGACAGGCAGGCGGACAGGCAGGCAGGCAAGCAGGCGGACAGGCAGGCAGGCAAGCAGGCGGACAGGCAGGCAGGCAAGCAGGCGGACAGGCAGGCGGACAGGCAGGCGGACAGGCAGGCTGACAAGCAGGCGGACAGGCAGGCTGACAAGCAGGCGGACAGGCAGGCAGGCAAGCAGGCGGACAGGCAGGCAGGCAAGCAGGCGGACAGGCAGGCAGGCAAGCAGGCGGACAGGTAGGCAGGCAAGCAGGCGGACAGGCAGGCAGGCAGGAGCAGAAAAACTCACAGCGAGGCAAGCGAGGGCTTTGGCAAGCGCAGCGAGAGGCGAGAGGCCAGTGGATTCAATGAGCTCCTGGGCTGAGCCCTCAAAGAGTGGAACCACACTGTTGGTAGGAGGGAGGGGAGCATGACAGGGTGTTTGGGGGTTAGAAGACAAGGGTCAGAGCGGGACAAGGGTAAGTGCAAGAGTGAGTGAGCTCAGGTGGGGACAGGGGTTTGGCACAGCAGCTTTGTGGAGGAATGTCTAATATGGGATTCCACGGACGGTCTCCCACACCCTCAGATCAAGCTTTGAGGTAATTTTTAAGGCGTCTACAAAAAACACCTCAATTCAACGCACATAGTGGAATGCTTGTAAAGAGGATTTTCACGAAAAGTCTCCCATATTCTCAAGCATTCAAGCCCTCTCTTTCCGCATTTCAAAACATCTCAATAAGCACCCAGAACCCTTTCCGCAAATAAAGCCTGCCTCCTTCTGCCCCACCTACCCCCAACGCCTCCCTCACGCCCTCACCGGTCCCTCGCGCCCTCACCGGTCCCTCACCTGTCTCCAACGGCTTTGACTTTGGTTGTGACTGCAGCGGAGGCGACTTTAACGAGGTCAGCGGGCTGTGGTGGGCTGACGCGCTCGAACTTGACGCCTGCTGTGTGCTCTATCTGCGCCACTATCCGCCCCGCCCACCTGTCCGCCACCAACACTGACACCCCCGTGTTTCCTGCACCAAAAAAAAGGGGGGGAAGGGGGGATCGGGCATGGAGCAGGTGGGGAAGGGCGGCAGAAAAGGGAAAAAAAAATGGACCGATTAATATTTTTTCAAGTAGCGGAAGGGGCATGCAGAAACGGAGAAGACGGTGAAGGTGGACGTGAGTGAGGAGAGGAGTCGAAGAGGGGCGAAATCCGAGCGCCTGCCTACAGCACCACTACCCCCAGACCTGCACTTTCATTGATGCCACTCTACCGGGGCTATTTCCGTACCTGCACGACCGGTTCGGCCGGACCGATGGATATAGGTCTCGACAGTGCGGGGGACTTGAGCCTGCAGAACAAGCTGCACGTCGCTGATATCCAGCCCCCTCGCCGCCACGTCTGTTGCCACTAACACCTGGAACGCGCCCGACTTGAACGCTTTTAGCACCACCTGGGCAGGCGGAGAGGGGGGAGAGACGAAGGGAGAAAGAATTGGGGGGAGAGACGAAGGGAGAAAGAATTGGGGTGGGTTGCGTGCAGCACAAGCTGCACGTCACTGGTGGTGCCCAGGCCCCTCGCCAGCACGTCCGTTGCTACCAGCAACTGGGAGGCCTCCGACTAGAATGCGCGCAGCACCACCTGGGCGAGAAGAGAGGAGTGATGGGAGAGGACGGGAACGGGGAGGATAGGCATGGGAGTGGGAAACGGAACTTGAACCTCTTGGTCATGGGAGAAGGAGGGAAAGGAATCAGCAGAAAGGGGAAGTGAGGGGAGGAGAGGGGAGGAGAGGGGAGGAAAGGGTAGGAGAGGGGACGAGAGGAGCCCGATTGAATTAAGCACGAGGCATAGCTGGTGATGGTGCTGCTGACTCATTTCGCGATGCTGCTGACTCACCTCGCCCTGCTGCTTACTCGCCTCGCGCTGCTGCTGCTGACTCACCTCGCGTTGCTGCTGCACGACGTCGCCGTGGAGCGCGCGCGCCCCCAGGTGCGCCAAGTTCTGCGCGTA